CGCTCCTCTGGTTGGGAGTCGCTGTGGCATTTTGATGTGTCGCGAAATATGCAGAGATACATCACACAATGCGCACATTGATTGAATGCCAAAAATACCCTGCTCGATGTCATCAAAATCAATCAGGGCTTCCGCCCACCCTCACCATCACGTGGGGAGTGATTTTTGGCACCGCGAAGCTCGATATTTATGCCCTCTCTTGCGCTGCCACTGCCCGAGTCAACCTCATAATGATGGTGTATCGCCACGCTACTGATGATCATCGCGATGCCCCGGCAAACAAAATTAGCCAGCCGAATATCAAATAAATGGGCAGCAATATTCGGTGGGTGCGGCACTGAGGACGATGGGCGAAGAGGCCGCAAACACACTTCGCTTGTTTGATGCATTGCAAACTCACTGTTTTCTCATCGCCATACCAATATTCCACATAGTCCGTCGTTATGCGGTGACTGATGGTGGGCTTTGCGCCAGGAAATTCCTTCATATCCCGGATCTATTGCATTAATTTTTGAGTTTTCTCCCCCCAAATTAACACCCCTGTGCCTATTTGGGCTATCCTGAGACCTACAATAAAAGAAATAAAGAGATTTCATACAAGTTTCTCATTAAATCTGTTGCAAAAGCTCTCGAGATGAATGTAACAAAACCCGTAATAGTAGAGCTCATTTCCCTTTCCTCACTTCCTCACCATCGGCACCCTGTTCTGTGGTGTTTATTGACGAGACCAGTGATCATTAATAAAGCTTCAATGCAATATTAATCATCTGTCCCCGCTTTCAGTATACGCCTCTTGCAAACTCTGCGGACTCTTTCGCGGCAACGTCCATCGGCTCTTTGGCAAAATGTGTGCGCGATCGCCTGTGTTGCAGACCTGTCGTCCGGGCGGAAAACCACACAATGGTGGCGTTTCCTCCAAATATTTGGGGTGAGGCTAAATGTAAAATTATATTTTCAATAAAGTGTCGTTGTCCATCAAAGGGCCGTAAAGAGTCGGAGGGCATATGGGAGAGACACCTCTATTTAACACCATCCCATTGTAAATGCAATCACAGTGCAAATTCACCGGGAAACGAGGAGCTTTTCCATGGGGTTGCATGGATGGGAGTTTGGCAGGCTTTTGTGCAATATTTGAAAGTTCGCGGAATGCTGGTGTCACACCCACGACAATGTGTGCTTTGGCACTAGCGAGAAAATTAGGCTCACAAATGAAGTCTCTTCCCTGATGCGCTGATGAGCCATCAAAGAGACGACTTGATTTTAAACAGAATGTGATGCTTCAGTGGTTTTAATTATGTGTAATAATATACATTTCAATCACTTTGAAATGATTTTTTTATGAAATTCACTTACACTGCTTTAGGGTTAATTTTTGTATTGATTTTCGAAAAATGTGTTTCCTTCCACCAAAAGCATAAAATAAGCCTTCCAACTGTCTATACACATTTATATCGTTTTAAAGTATTATTCCTCTTCCGGGTGGTCATTATCCAAACTCCATTCTGCTTTAGCTAATTGGTGAAATGTTCTCCCATTGGAGAGGAAAAAATCCTGTCAATTCCTCCAATTGTGCGGAACAACGAGAAAAGTGGGATTATCATTTTCTGTCGGGGGTGAACTTTTGTTAAAATTGTATCCCCCACACCAAACCGACCATGCACACGCATTCAGACGCTCGTAAAATCTAATTTGCTCCACTAGCCCAAAGCTCATTTGTTCAGATTATGTCCAGGCACTTTGGAGAATCTCGCACCCTCTTCCCCAGCCCGGGCATTCAATTGAGTCTTTGCCCAGGGTCGCCCAAGTGGATTGTGGCGAATCCCCATTGATCGGGTGTGAGCTATTTTTCAACCCAGAATTCCCCCACTCATGCCCAAGCCGAGGAGATTTCATCTAATAAGATAGCAACCGAGAGTTGGGAATGATGAAAAACCGAAAATTAATGATGTCTTTTATTGAAATTTCAATTTTGTTGATTGATTTTGATCCTGGCAAAGCAATTTCACATTGAAGGATGTTGAGAAAATCTTCCATTCTCAATTTATTTTCCACTCTAACATTGTCTCCTTGTTTTTGCCCACTGAACTACATACAATATGGGTGCGACTAGGAAGACAGTAAAGCCTTGAGATGGATTTGCTGTGTATAGTTCTTTGCTGGAAGATTCACTTGAAATCCACCCGCCCGATATGTGTGTGTGTGTGTCTGTGATTAATGAAGCGATTCATGGAGAAGCTTTTTCTCATTCTGAAGCTTAAAGTTTCTTGAACTCCCGTTTTCAGTTCTTTTTAGATTAATTAACACTCGCCGTTACAGAGCGAGTCACTTCAGTTCGTCCTCTTTTCTCTCTTTCACCCCCATCTATGTCTTTTGTGTGGTCAGTGTCTTTCTCCCACCACAGTTGCTCTTAATCTCCAGCTCACATGCATTCTCTTGCAATTTATCAGCTTTTCTCCCTACTAAATTAATGAGATTTTTTTTCTCATTTAAACTGCACCGAGATTTATCTTGTGCTCACGAGAGAATATCTTCCTGGCATTTCCGGGATGCTCTAATATTGGAAAATTCCTCATCATTTCAGCGCTGGTGGAAGTGGGAGAAAAATGTAAAGGAGTAAAATGAAGATTGTGGCGGAAGATATTGAAATATTTCGTGCTATCTCTCATCATTCTTCGTTGCACATCGGCAAAATATGAGCCCCAACAGCCGGAAAATTGTGAAACCCCCAAGGGTGTGTAATTACAAATATATTTGTATACTTTAAAACCCACCCAAACATCGCGATTTCGGCCAATTTTACCATTACCACATTGAGTGCGAAGAAGAGAGTTCAAGTGAAAAATGAAGCATAAGAAATGTTGCACTGATTTGCCCCTGCGCTTCAAAAATGATGCGGAAACTTGTGCTCCCGGCACCATGATGAAATCCACGAAAGACTGGAAAGCTCATTCTATGTGTCTCCTCCAACACAGCAGAAAATTCCTCGACATTCTGTCAACATTAATATTGAGACGTTGTGTGAATGTAGGAGAATATCTGCAGGGTGTTTGCTGACTTCAATCCCAGTTCCATTTGTGTGCGGTGCTCTCGTGAGCTGGGATGGTGATATGAGCTTTCCTGGAGGCACACCGGAGGAGCAGCTAGATTTGTGTGAGTGCTCATCCTGCCTATTTAATAATATTCTCCATCATATGGGTGACTTCTTGTGTACCGAAATGCTTTTATGTATGAAAATGATCTGCAATAAATCTCTCACTCTCGCCTTCCCTCGCATCTCTGATCCCTGTGTTCGCCTTCAAGGGCCAAAAGCACACATTTGCGCTGACTTTGTGACATCTGGTGCTCCTCTTATATCACTTCGCTACCTTCTCTCGGTTGATTCTGCTCCCACCCACGCTCACTCATGACCTCATTTGCTAGTAGCAACTGGGAAATGTCTTCGCTCTGGAAAATATTAATTTTGCGCGAATTAATAAAACACCCAACAACCGTCCACGTTCATCATCCCCTTGTTTCGCGCCCACCAAATCATGCCCATTTAGAGGCTCTCATCGATAACGTGTGCGGATAGCAATCAAATGATAATCTGTGAACTAAAACCGGTCGGAAATTGATAATAAATTAAACACACCGTGAACTGATTAATTTTTTATCCATCTGTTGTCTCTCCATCCCTCGTGCAAACATTTTTCTCCCATCCACTCAACACGACAAAATAATTTATTTAATGGACCACCGCTCGGGGCAGAATTCTCGTGGGCAAAACAGACACACGAGCTGTGTTGATGTGTGCCCATTGAGAGGCCAATTTTGGTGTCACAATGCCTATCATGCATTCTCTCTCTCTCTCTCTCTCGTTCCACCGAAAAATCCGCCCCTAATTGACTCCTTCCAATCTGCATGTGAGTGATTTGCCCGAGTGATGCATTGTGTGAAGCCATCGATAAATTATTATCGAGTTGCATTCGCACGGGAAGGAGTGAGAGTGGTAAAAATCAAAATATACTTACCCACACTAAATCGAAACGAGTCACTTTTCGTCAGACAGCTCCTATGAAAGCCCGCAATTGCATTTTGCTAATTGAGTCAGAAAAGTACAGGCAATTGACGCTGTCACGAAGTCCATTGGAAATCGTCCCATTGCATTTCAATTCCATTTGCACGCCAAAGTCAGTTTGACCTAATGACATGGAAAGCACAACAAAGGATAACTTCTCTTCCCAATTTCACGCTGATAAGCAATACGGAATTAACGTGTAAAACTATTACTCACTTCTCTCTTGCCATCGGAAATGCCAATTTATGCACCGAACCATCCTCAAAACCTTTTTTTTGTTCCAGGACTAAATGATGCGTCGCACATAAAACCAAATTGGCAACCAATGCAGTTTCCCCCAAAAAAGCTCCGTAAATATATTGACAATTGACAGAGTGGGCCATTTTTTTCGCCACATTTCTCTTTTCCCATTTTCCACTGACACCAAAAATCACCCACATTTTTTCGGTTTGTGGATTTTTTGCCACAAGCTCTGCGCGTGCCAAATTTTTCCAACGAAAAAGACAATGAAAATGGATAAAGACAAACAAAATGTAAATATATAAGAGAAATAAATAAATAAAACAATTTATTGGTGTATATGGGTAAAATAAACCGAAAATTTCCGTAAAAGTTGATTTAGGATGCAATTTCTGGCCACGAGTGGATATTCAAAATTACGAGGAATTTGTTCCAATCATTCACGCATTTACGCGGCTGAATTTGAATTGAAATAGAGGGAAAAAACCAGATGGGGAGGAAATCAAATGTGCCCACCAGAGTGAAATGCAATAGAAAATAAATTGTTATTTGTTCAATTTCCGTATCCCAATAAAGTTTCGACCGAAAGAATGCCTCAATGTCTGTCTGGCCATTCACTCGTACCACAGATTAGTGATAAAGTCCATAGAAGCATAAATTTACTACGAAAAAGAATATCAAAATAAAGAACACACCTTGACAGCTATATTTTCAAGTATTATTCATTATCTATCAACATTGTTGCCTTACAACTACTTCTGATGAATTATTTACAAGTTACGAATAATTCCCATTTTTACACACATCTCATGTTCCAATGACCACAAACTGAATAGATCAAAATGTGATTTGTAAAGGTGAAGGATATCGCTGACAATGGGAAAGTAAAGGGAAATTAAATTAATCACCGGAACTTTAAAGATATCATTCCATCTTGTTCTGTATTAGTAGGGCCTCCAGACGTCGCTATGCTTGGGTGTACGACATCGATTCGCCGCTCCAGTCGTGTCCAATTTCTTCTCACTCCTGGTCTCTTCCATATCCTCAGGACTGGGAGATCTCTTGCTCGAGCTTACGGGCGGCGATGAGCGATTTTCTGCGTCCTCCTTGCCTGAATTCGCCACATCGTGACCAGAATGTGAAATCAAAGTCACTGAGGATCGCTTCAGAAGTCCAGGCGGAGATTCAGTTGATTCCGGACTCGTACCACCACGGAAAGTGTTCCTGAACCACGGGAAATCATGATAATTGCCATACAACTGCGTGTACAGCCACTGACTTGGCGGCGGAATAAGCGGTGTTTGCAGAAAGAGTTGCGCCGCGAGAGCATGATTGAAGGGTGCATGATGCAGATGCCCAGAGAAGCCCGATAGCAGATCATTGGTCTTCTTCATGGACGCCAAAGAAGTGTCTCCTGCATTTCCACGGTGGATGAAGGACGTGAAGGCGCCCGTCGGCGTGGGACTTCTCTTCTCCTCGCCATCCTCCAACGATGACGAGTGCACAATCCGCGGTGAGCCCGTCACTGATATGTTGTTGTCACTCTCATAGCTGGCACCATCGACGTTGTTGTTGTTGTCGCCATTTTCATCCGGCGTGGCGCGTCCAGGCTCACCGCCCGCCGTAGCAGCCACGGACAAATGCCCCGGTGACCCCTTGGGACTCGTTGTACTGTGCGGATTGCACGAGATTTGATTTAGCGCTGCCAAAATACAATTGATTTCAATTAAACATGGAGTACTGTAGCCTCTAATCACTCATAATTTATGGTCACAATTTCGAATCAACCTCTCCTTACCCTCCCCTTAGTATTGGCCCCACAATACATTTGTGCAACCCCATCAACGGGCAAATTACTGATCATATTTGATGACCACAATGGATTGGGGCAGAGAACTCTGACCAATATTTAAAGGTATCTGAGGCATGCAATCCTTCCAGATTGCGGCTTGTCCAGCAAATTGTGGAATTCTCAAAGTACTCCCCAGTTATCAACCCTCTTAATGGGCGGAAATACACCCGGGATGTGAGGATAATGATTACCTCGCGGTGACCCATTCATCGACCTCTCCATGCGATCCATCGTCGCCAGCATATGTGGATTAAATTGTGGTGGGTGGTGATGATGGAGGAATTGAGCCGGTGGAAAGTTGTGACGCGCCCCAAGAGCACGCCAGTCGCCAGCCAAGTGAGCCCCCGGCATTCCGGCCAAGTGATGAGCGAATCCTGAAAAAAACATATCCAATTACAGTCACTGAAAGTATTCTCATAATGTGCATCAAATGCCATCATTTCATCATATTTCTCCCGGATTAAAAAAAAAAAAAGAAAATACTCTCAAAGAAGCATCTTTCAACTTATAACGCTGTCGCAGAAAAAGCACAATGACGCTCTTTTCTCCATGTACAGATGCGAGGAATATCAGAAAATGCGCCATGAGAGCTTCGGGTGCAAGAAAAGCCACGAGGAAAATCCGAAGCTTTCTAGCTGTGCTCGCATCTCTTTCACCCACACTGGGACAGACTTTTCTGGAGGATGTGAAGAAGCGAGAGAAAAGTTTGCCACCGCGTTGCCCAGAGATATGGCTAAGTTTTCCCGGTGTGGAGATGCGCGCCAAAGAATTGATGGGTGTGCGAAGGAGCTGGCAAGATGCGAGGAGCTTTTCCACCCCACTGTTGCTCCTTGTCACCCTCGAAGCTCTCGCTCACTATGTGCAGTGAATGTCTGTGGAGTGCGGGCGGCTTTGGTGGAGATGCTTTGTGGCGCACCAATGGGACCACGCTGTGCCCCACTATACTCCAGTTCGCAGCGTACCAGTGGCTAACCCTTTATCGCCGAAGGTTTCCTTACGGGACCGCATATTTGGGTTTTTAGTGGGGGGCAGCAAAGTTGGAAGCCAAAAGCTTCTCTTTCTCACGATATTCACACAGAAGTACATACATACACATCTCAACTACACTCTCTCCCTGTCGCGCTTACTTAAAGCACAATCTTCCGCTTTCTCACGCTGGCGCACACACTCACATACACATACAAATAAACACAGAAACCACCCACAAAAGCTCTCTCCCCCAAAAGTTCGTGGACACAGGAAAAAACGTGAACATACATTTATAACACCACGACCATCATTTGATACCCACTCCATATCCCCGCAAAATCCACACTCACATACGAACTCTCTTGGTCTGCACCTCCCTTTCGGAATTTCTTCATCTCCACGAATGGCCGCCTTCATTTTTCCTCACTTTAAGACATTTCCATGCAATTTCCTTACAGCGCTTCAATTGAAAACCCATTCTTTTTCATTCAATAAATGTCTTTAATCTCATAAATTATTTAACATTAAATCTCATTGGCAAAAATTTGTCTTCTCAAGGGTTCTTTCGACATTTCAATATAACTGACGAATCACTCGTTCAAATGGCATAAAACAGTGCTGATCGGCGCCTTTGTTCGCACACCCACTCACCCAATTTGTCGCTCCGAAAGACAAGGGTACTTTCCACTAAGGAGGTTCACAATTTATTCCTTGTCTCCCGCGCGTCATTCCTTAAGCCTTTCACAATTATTTCACACATTATTCACCCACCAAACCACCCGAAACGGAGTTGTGAGAAAAATCTCATCACCAAATCCAGAAACACTGCAATGTGTTCTTCATGATTCATCTAACGCGCGCTCAACTCTGCACACACAAATGCAACGGAGAAAATGAGTCGTGAACACAGAAGATGAGATTGATGGTTTGGGGTGAAGATTTTTGGTGCGCAATTCAACCGATTACATTACACATTGTGTGAATTAAGTCGCAAAATAATCAGCACAACTCGCAAGAAATGCGAGGGGATTTAATGAGGTGGTTGCTTCTTGGGCCAAGTCTGCTTCCTCGCGTATCTTAAATGCATGTTTTGAATTTCCATGACAATTTGTCCCTCAAGAATCCATTAATATTTCACTAGATGTGATTAATCTATCGAAATTTATTATGAAAGACAATATAATGAGTATTAGACTCCACCCACACACACACACCCTTTCTTCCATTATCCCTCGCCATTTTGCAAGTGAAAACCCTTAAAACTAAACAAGAGAGTGGATCCTTTTATAAATGTCACGACTCATTTCTCCACACGTCTTTCCGAGATATTAAGTAACAATGGGAATTTATAAGTGGAATATAATTTACTCCTGATATATGCAAGGCGACACAATGTGGTAAGATCACCAAATAAGACTTTCACCAATCTCCTCCATCACTCTCCACATCCCTGCATGCTTTTCATATTGAGCACTCAGAGTGGGGGTGTGATGAAGAAGAGCCCCTTCCAATCGCCTCTCACGTCAACTGAAAGCTCAGAGATAACCGAAGGATTTGCCTTCATCCACACATTTGTACACTTTCCCATTCAAATGCGCGGTAAAGGGGTGACGCGGATGAAATTGATGGTTCGGACCGGGAAATTTTAAGTACTTTGGCTATTGATTTTCCTAAGCTCTTCTCACGTCAATTATTACAATAAAATAGTCACTTTTCTCACCTCTCGCGTACACCCTTAAATGTCAACTCATTTCCTGCACCCTTTTCGCAAGATATATAATCCTGTCTTGTCTCGTGTCAATTCGCAAGTCTTTCAATTTTGCGAATTGTATGCTCAACTTTTCCATAACATGACACCGAGAGTGTCGAATAAAATATAAAGTGAAGCACGCGGGAAGAATCCCCAACCATTCTCATGGGAAAATCCTCAGAAACTGTGGAGAGACGTTGATGTGTCACGAGGTAACGTGTAATACATGATGAGAAAGTAAAGCCAAAACTTTGTGGAGAAGACACCGAAGTGTCTTGAATTACCTTTGACAGTAATTTGTAGATAAGTAAATTTTAATAATAATGGTATTTCAAGAAAGGGGATCCAAAGTGGAGGAAAATATATACCTGGAGGGAATCTTTTACACACACACACACAACACATCATTTGCATACATTTCTTCAGTGACACACCGAGCAAAATGACTTTAATTATCACTAAATTATTTAACTTTCACCACCCACCGTGCGTGTGTTGATTACAGAGTCAAATGGGTGTAAAATTCACACCTCTTCTCCCCTCTCACTTGTTCATCCATCGTGAAACTTTCAACGAATAATTCATTTATTTCACCTCTTTTATTCCCCGCCACCACCACCCATCACCTCCATCAACGAGCACGATAATGAGCAAGTGAGAGGAACAAGCTTCAAATTATCGACTTTCTCCCCACTTTTAATTAATTATTTTCCACCCACACCCCCCAGTGTGTCTTCCTTTCTTCCCAACATTGTGTCAGTGCGAAAATAGAATTAAATTAAAACCGTTAAACTAAAACTCTAGAGCACAGAAAGTATTTCCTTATACTTCCTCTCACTCCCACACAGCATTACGGAATGACTGGATGAGAGGAGATAAAAGTATACAAAAACACATTTTATGGACTCATTATCTAAAACAGTTTCACATTCATTCCTTCAAGCCATTTCCCGCCACCACCAACCTCATGAACTCCACAGATCTTAGCCTGTTTTCTGCTCCTCGGCGACCCCCAAGGATCAATGGAAGGGGTAGATTGTAAAGAGACTGAATAGGAATAGGAGAAGTCGTGCTGTGTTTCTTCATTTTGTAAATTCTAGGGAAAGGCAAAAAAATGTATTTCGCCTCTTTAATCACTTTGTAAACTCCTTCAGCTGCAAAATTATCAACTTTACCGCCGAATGGTGATTACGTTTTAGTGAAAAAAAAAGATTCTCGGTGTGGAGATAATGGTTTTACCCCTGCAATTTCACCTTCGATTATTTGACACATTTCCACTGATTATTCCTCACTCTCAAGCAGCTTTTCTTAACCCTTTTATCGTCATTGTTTCACTCTAGAATGAGGAGAAATGGCCCGGTGAGGAGAATTGCACGAAAACCAATTTATTTAATTGCTCAGATTGTCACAAACACGAGATTGATAAAAGAAAAGAGCATCTCGCGACGTCAGAGGGGTGAATATTTAAGAGAGTAAAAAAGTTGAAATTGAAATTCCTTAAAGCCGGGCTTCTGCCGATTATAATTGTCCTACTGTGAAATTTCAAGCAAAAAATACAATTCTTTCAGGATTATGCATGGATGTTTGTGCACGCTTACAGCATATGTGGAAATTTCGGAAGCTTTAGAAAATTTAAATATTTGCATGAATATGAGCTTCTGATTGTATATTCATATTTGCCATCGCGATCAATATATGTGCGTGTTAAGTGTTTGTTTGATCAATCAATCAATCAATCATCCACACACATTTTCCACCCCGACCACCCGAAAGCCATTTGGACGTCTTGGAGGAACACCAGCGTCAACATTCTACTTGTGATTTGTTCATATTGATTCAATTTCTTGTCAATTCTCCCTGTCAATAGCATTCAACACACAATTCTCACATATACAAACCTCCCACACGCAAATTCAACTTCTTTACATACCCCTTCTCACTCTTTTTCTCCTGCATTCACTCGACATTTCTATTCACGTTGGGGATATTAATATTAAGAGGCAACACGCGCTTTTTCAACTTCTACAAATCGAACATCTCCATCGAAATTCCTCCTTCAAATAAGCAATTTTTTACTCAATTTACCACTATTTTCAGAGCAAATATTAAAAGAGCATGTGATTTCGTGACTGAGGGTGAAAATCACCCTCTCTGAATTTAATATCAAACGAGAGAATCCATCATTATTCTTTCCCGCGTATGCAAATGATTAGAAGCATATGTTGCAGATAAGGAAAAGCAATGGAGAAAACGTCTTGTTTTTTGCAACACAAGAATCAATTGATTGTGCTTTTCCTCCTCGTCAATCTGTCAGACATTCTTCTTTTTATTAATTTTCAGCCAGTGAAATCTAATTTCACCAATTCCATCTCAGAGACAGAGACGACAAAAATTCTTAGATTACGCATTTGGTGAGCAATAAAAGTGGCATTATTGGTGCGACACACAATCAATATAAATTTCGGGGCATTTAAAATGAAATCAACCCCTCATTATTGGGCGAACAAGCCAGAAAATCACAAATTGTCTCGAATTCTGCCAATGAGACATATGGCGAGGGTGGAAAAGTTTAAATAGACGCATGGCGAGAAGAGGGTGAAAAAGTGTCAATTTCTATTCAATAATGCCGACATCGTGTTTTATTTACCCATTTTTGCGCCAAACTCACCCTTGAACTTCACACACTCTGTCGGTGTCTTTGAGATGGCACACAAACTCACCCCGGGATGGGAGTAGCAAACATCACACATTTTCAGCCACCCACACCTCGACTTCTCCCCCTCAGAAATTCACTGCCTGGTGGAAGCAAAGGGGCTCCTCCTGTGTGTGTGTCTCTGGGCGCTAGAGGAAGAGACACCATGCAGGGAGGCAATTTGTAGGCGGCACAAAGAGGCAAGCAAGGTGTCATTACATCTTTCGCCCCATCCTCATTTGTGGCACCTCTTAATTTTATTTTCTTTGTCCCCTTTTCCAACCAGACGCACGGGAGTTTTTAAAGCAGGGCCAAAGGGTAGATTTTATGTGGAAAAAAATATGAATATATTTAGTAAAATTTTGCACACAATTCTTGAATTTCTAAGCATCACCAATTACTGCACAAAGACTATTAACCCTAGACAGTTACCATGGTGGAAAAGCAGGATTATCTGCTAATACCCCCGATACTGGTCTCGAGACAAGTCCCTTCTTTTGTGAGTATAATTTTTATTATGGATAGCAGAGAGTATCTGGTATGGACTCACCTGAGAGCTTAAATGGAAGACCTCCCATTAAAGGATCTGGCGCAAATCTCTGTGGACCAAATGCAAATGGATGGAAGCCTTGGTGACGCACTTTCGAACGTGGCTCTCTTGGACCATCAACAGTCACCTTAATTGCTTTCGTGTATGTGGCAATTTGCATGGGAACGGTTGATATCACAATTGTGAGAGTGAAGCTCTTGCCTGAAACCAAGAAAATAATTATTACTTCATGCATTTGAGCGTGAAATGAGGTTTTCGGTAGTAATTAAAGAAGCATCAATCGATTAAGAAATTTTTTGGAAAAGCAGAAAGAGCTATTGAAATAGTGACTTTATATCAAAAATTATATTTATAAACTTTAATGTTCTTCTCGGAAGGATAATATTTGTGTAAATTCTATTTTTATCTGCGTAAATATTACTCGAAAGTCCCCTAAAGATGAGCTCCCACGCGAAAAATCCGTCAATTCTCGGAGTGAAATCAATAAACCGGCCGACAGCGACAACCCCAAAATATCATAAATTGCATCCCACCACTCCTGTTTATTGTTTATTCTTCCTATGCTGAAAAATCACTGAAGTTGCCACACCAAGACGTTGTTGGGGAGAAGTCGGAAAAACAATGACTTCAGAAAACTCGTAAATATTTACTGATTTTATCATATTGCCGCTATTCCGCTCCCTTCTGTCTCGCCCCACAATCTCTTGATGTGTTCCTCCAGGCGACTTCCGCCTCTGAAGCGCTCTCTAGCATCAGTACAAAACTCAGCTCGTGGGGAAGAGGAAAAAGGAGCATCCGCCGCCGCCAAATCCACACGCGGAACAATCTAACCATTTGTCATCCCTTGATAATTCAAGGGTGGCGAGAGCACATTGAGATACGAGGTTCACGATGTGCGGGGAAAGCATAAAAAAAATCACGGGTGAAATCTTCATTGTTTAAGCATTAGAGAGGCATTTTCCTCCACGAGTTCCCAAAAAAGAATCAAAGGAGAATCTCTTCAAAGAGGGATTTTTCATCTAAATCCCCATAAATCTACTCATGGACTATCATTCTCTCTGTTGTGTGATTATTGAGAGATTTCCCTCTGCTTAATCGTGTGATCCTGGCCCATGTGCCTGTGGAAAAGCAATTCACCTCATTCTGATATCTCGTAAAACATGACAAATTGTATCTTTGACATGACTTTGTGGGGGTGATTTAATGTTCTTCCACCACCAGAGGCAACGTGAAAACAATTAAATCAGAAGCAGGAAATCTGCCTCCGCATTCATGCTCATTTTGATGCCTCGGGCCTCCAAAATCACTCACTTTTGCACCCTCTTCTCTGTCACTTGAAGCCCCTTTTATGCTCTTCTCCGGACCATTGTCAAAAATAGAATGTGATTAGTGCAAATTGGCGATGGAACCAGTACAAAACTTATACATATGTAGCAATGCATACTTTTGCAAGTATTTTGCATATCGAGCATATCAGTTGAACGAAGAATTTAGAAATCGCTCTCCACTGCCACTGCTTTCCATCAGCTACCTACTAAAATGAATAATTTACATTTCAGCATCTCCACTTTCAATTTCCTCCTCTCATAACTTCGTACATATTTAATGCTTAGCTCTGTCCTTAATGCATTTTTTCCTCTTACTTCTCGTCTGATACATACGCTGGAAAATAAATAATCGGGCGCTCCTTCCCAACCACAGTGCTCAATGCGAAAGAATTTCTGTGAGATAAAACGCCGCCTCTTTGGGGCGAATCATAAAATATTACCAGCAAGTGGAGCCAAAAAGGGCACCACTGAATGCACATATTTAGTGGTGAGAAAAGTTAAATTTATTTATTCAACAAAATGACCACATTTGAGAAAAGATGGTGTGCTTTTGCACCATTTCAAGCATTTTTGAGGCCTCACAAATCTCTCTAGAAACAATTCTCTCTCTCCCCCACCCGTGGACACTCCTTGTGCCAAGAGAAAGAGCGAACCTCCTCAGCCCCAGAGGCATACAGAGAATTATTTCAGTTGGAGAACAGACCCCATCTCAGATGGGGTCGGCCCATAAATTTCATGGCGGAGGAAATTTCAGAACAAAAGTCCAGAGGAACGCGATACAAGGAATTCAAAAGGCCTCTCGCCACACATTTTCAACTCTTTGGCCAAGTGCCGAAAGACAAACCCCCACGAAATATGCTTGGAAGCCAAAAAATATTGCCAAAACATATAATATCTCAGTGAATAGACAAAATTGAATATTTCTCCGCCAGAAGTTATGAAGGCATTTGTCAAAATGTCAGAAGCAATGCCGAACTTTAATATCTCCGATTTCAGCTTAGCTATGTATTTGAAGTCATTCGGGGTGTCCGCCCATCTAAAATCCCACCCTAACATTTCACGATATGTGTCCGGAAAGTATTTTCCACTCAGAATGGAAGCACTTGAGGAGAGACAGAAAAGTTTAAATGTACAAAATATTTTGCAAAATACTCACATTCCTAACACTTTCCCACTCCCTCAGCGATGAAATATGCAAATATTTCAAAGTTTTTTGTGCGGTACAGTTGGAAATAATTTAGGTAATGTTGGTGGAAATTGCTTTTGGAAAATATTTGATCATCTGCAGAATTTATTCGGAAAACGAACATAGCGCCAAGGATTTCTAGCAAATGAGGCCATTTTCCCCAAGGCTTCTCACATGTTGAGTAAAACCAATTTAATAAAGCGAGCAATGCAAATAAGTAGGACATCTTTGCATGTTGAATTTCTGCTTGGATGACATTAGTGTCGTGACACGTAATTACAATCTGCCTGAGACGATTGTTTACACACATGTTACACTCTCCTTTTGCCACCCACCGAAACTCAGTCATAAATGGGGCGGAGGGTGGGCGAAATGAAAGGCACACACACGAGGCACCTTTCAAGAGAGATATGTCATGATGGAACATCCACATAAATTCTAGATTGAATTTACATAGTTGCTTGTACACTCGACAACTTCCACCTTCAGCCCACTTGACTCAATGCCTCAATCTCGCACACCTTATTTGCTAACTGGCCTTCTTCCCACCCAAAACACTCCCCAGCCGAGGGCAATAATTTACCACGAAAGGCAGTAATTATTGCAATTATAAATCATATTTCCTGCATCAATAACTTTACACTATATCTCTTTAACACTCCTCCATTGAAAATTTAATTACCAGCGCCCGGAAGGCGAATCTGGTGTGTTCCTCAAGAGTGATAAGAGACGATCACCCATAAAATTTGCGTGATGTAAAACACCTTATTCCCCTCTTATTTTCTCTCTATTTAAACTATAACACTCGAATGTGATGAATAAAATTATTAAAATTAATGAGCGCAATAAACTCAAGTAGAGTCTCACATATTTCATCGTTAAGTAAGAAAATGAGGAGCAAATTTTGTGGATAGGATTCTTGTGAGGCATTTCGGGACTTAAATTTGAGAGGGTATTAATTATCCTTGTTTGTGTTTTAACTCTCATCTCCCACACACACTTTCTTCCATCTCTCATTTGGAAACTCCTCGCAGAGCAAAAGGTTGGAAACCCTTTTTGGTGCCCTCTTTACCAGATGAATCTCCCCCACAACATTTCTTCATCGCACCACCCTTGCCCTACCCGTCAAGGTGCAGCTACTCCGATGGAGTAATGTACGTTTTCCTTCAGTATTCTCTATTCGAACTATTTTGTGGTACTTTTGTCCCAGACACAAAGTAATCAAATATCCCACTCTCTACATTACTATCAAACTTAAAGCTTTTCCTTTCCACTGGATACAAATTTCCCAAGTCACTAAGCCTTGATTTATCCACCCATGTTTAAATTCAATCCCGCCTGTCTTGAAGCTTTAAACTCTCCAATGCCTGTGCGCTTTTGTGTAGATTGGAGTGGTTTCATTATTATAAATTTTGGTACTCCTTTGGGGGTGTTTTAAGCTAATTAATATTTTGGCAATTTCGCACAGCTCCTGGTGCGCTCATTCTCTCATCTTTCATCGGAAAAATCAATTCAATTTCCACATGAGCTAAACGAAAGCTCAATGCATTTTTTTCTCTTCAAACACAACATACTTTCCATATTCACTCAGGATGAAATTTCACAATCTCACATACAAAATGTATAATTAAAAATTCCATACTTTCTTCCTTCACGTCTTCCCACGCCCTGTCTCTCTGGCATGAAAGCGCAATGAGCTTTTCGTGTTTCCATCTCAAGAGTTCAATGGAAAATTCCTCAACTGTGCGCTCTTTGACTTTTTTGCCCTCTTTTCTGCTCACCCAATAAGAGCTTTGGTGTTTTAATTCACAACATTCCAACTTGTGCGCTCTTTCTCCCAACATCAAATAGTGAAATCAGCAAAATATTTTCATCATCATTCTCTGCAACATCTCGCCTCGTTCTCTTGAGATTCTTTTCCTGTTAATTCCAAGCACACATTTCGGATTTTCTCCAGGGCAAAGAGACGAAAAGTCCTGAGAGTTAAAAAGTCTCACATCTTCTTATATGTCCGCTCTGTGACATGAAATTGATTCCCCTTTTGCCTTCTTTTGAGCACTTTTCGAACTCCCAGAGGAATTCGGTGGAAAACTCTTGTTGAGAGAGTTCAATTCTTTGGTGACTTCTTAACCATGACTTTCCCAGTCCACGATCCTCATGACTCCTCTTCGATTTTATCCATTGAGTCTCGTTTCACCCATCGCCACCCCCCAGGCTTCGTGTCGCATCCACACCCGAGGGATGAGATTGCCAAGGAGGCAAAAGGAAGAAGGCAAAATAATAAAACATAAAAATCAAGTGTTGTGCTGTCTGCAGACTGTGGGGTTGGGCGATGAATTCGGATGGTTTGAAAAGAGAGCAGAATTTAAAGAAACGAAGCGTATCAAGAGCGTTGCTTAGCAATTACTGTCGTCCCATTGTCACCCATTGTACTCCTCTCGAATCCTCTTCTGATTCTTTTTCTTCATCTGCACGCAGCATGTCTCATTGTGACTCCCTCCATCAATCAAACGAAGGATAGGAATTAGATCCAGCAGAATCACGGTACGTTTTCACAACATTTCAAAAATTATACAGGAAAAGAATTGAAACTTTTCAATAATTTCACCCTCAATATATATTTTCTATATGGTTATCAGAAGGTTAACAAAATCATATTGATTAATGGATTAATGAAGCGAAAGTGGGAATGTGAATTTGAATTGAAAAAAAGAAACAGGAAAAAAGATAAATCGACCCATGAAATACGTGATAAAATTTGAAGGAATCTCTTCTGCATTCCTCTCCGAATGACTTTTATCTAATTTTGTTCTGTACGTTTGTCATTTTGTTTTTTACTGAATTTGAATAGAACAAGTTTCTCCAATAAAATAGGTCTTCCTTAGTCATGCATTGTCAATTCAGAATCCATTACATTTATCTCTATGGAAAATGGCAGTTCAAATTGACAGTGAAAAAGTGAAAAATTTTTTTTTATTCACGAATGATGTATTAAAAATGAGATCATCCATTTATTCACTTTATAAATACATAAAATTGTCATGGTTGTATTTTAAAACAACCCTCAAAGGAATACCAAGTAGATTCATTCTTTTTCCTCCTCATAGCACTCTCATTTCCTCTCCTTATGCCTTTTAACCATCCCCATTCCTGTCTTCTATGTGCAGAGGAGGGACAGTAAAATGAGAACATTGGTGAGAAGAAAGGAAAGTATCCGGTTCCGTTTCAAAGTAGAAAAAAAGCCCAAGGTAAGAATTTCTCTGTTCATTATTCACTTCTTCATTGCCATCCACAGTGGCCACATTTTTCCACCCACTTCATCTTCAAATTCACCTTCATCAACCCCCTGTGATGGAAATTTAAGCGGAGGGTCGTAATTATAATTCCTCCCAGACCGTCTCCCACAGCACACACTCTTGAAAAGGTAGAAATAGGTGTTTTTAATAATTTACATCAACTTGAAAAGAAAGATGCAAACTAGGGGAGAAAAAGGAACAAGTGGAAAAATTATGTCTCCCTGTCTTTCCTCACACCAACAACTAATTTTACTTTAATGCCAATTTTTCCTCGCCTTAATTCACAATGCAATAAATTTAGGAGAGTTTTTTCATGGTGGTTTGAAAAACAACAAACTGCTTGCAATGAGGAAAACAATTTCACGAACAACGAGAGTAGCAAAATAATGACGACGATGATTAGGTTTAGGGTGGAAAATGGATTTTCATCATCATCAGAGAAGGAGCCAGAAAAAAGATGAAAAATAGCTTCATCAATTGATGAAATACATCTCTCACGAAGCAGAGTAGGAGGGATATTTGCCTCTTAATGTTCATCTCTCAGGCGTGCTCATCTCAATAAACAATGAACCCTCATGAATTTACAAGGGAGGGCGCACAATATTTGATCTCCCAAAAATGCGGCTTTGCATTGGAAAATTCTAAATTTGAGAACACGAAGCTTATCTCTAATTAAATTCAATTTCACAATGTCTTGGAGACACGCTACAGCTTAAATGGGGGATGATATGGATTCTTTTCCTTCCCCTTTTTTCAGCATTGCTTTTCACCGTGCAGGGTCGGGAAATTAACGCGGAAAAATCTCAACCGTCACTTTTTTTTATCCCATCGCTGTCTCTGATCTCGTCCACACCCTCCAAAGAATAAATAAATTCAAATGGTCTTGAGAGTCATGAAGAGGACTTAAAAGCGAGAAAATCTGCTAATGCCTAATTTTATCCACAAACAATTTACATCCATACCGGAAAATAAGTCGCTCCAATGGGAATAAACTGGCATATTACATGTTATCGCATCATATTCGGAAGATTTTCATTATCACTTTAGACATTATACTATAAATTTGTTATACGAATAATCCTTAGCATGTTTGGAAAATGAAGAAATTTCATAGCAAAGCTTATTCCTAATGTGTCACTAGAAGTCATCAGCAGCGAACCCAGAGACCATAAAGGAGATTAAAAAGGACTCAAAATTAGTCACCCTTCAATAGCTTTTCACTCTTATCTATGACTTTGAACTTTTTCTGGACGATTAAACCTCGTTTTTCCGCCACTTCTACAGATCGCAAATATGCCGATTAATTGCGTCATGGAGGTCAAATTTAAAAAATCAACAGTGCTTCAGCAAATAAGGCGAGAGATAGAGTTTATAGGAAAAAGTGACATACTCTTACCTCTTCCGCTTCGACCTACAAACCGCAAATCGTTGAATTTAGCCACTTGATTCTTCATCACGGCCGTACTATTTCGCAATTCGCCGCAGTAGTTCTCGTCATTGCCCGCCATCACGGTGACCAGAGTACCATCACCGACCTCACCGAGAGCCACCACTTTGAATGCCACCGGGAGGGTTTTGTTTGATCGCCAGTGCTGAGGCAGCACCGTGCACACCTGCCCAACGGAAACTCAACTCAATTAGTGCGTGAGCTGGCGAGAGAGGGTGCATTCCTGGGAATCACTTACCACGTGTGGGCATCCCGTCCGCACGAGTTCGCCCGGATGCTCAGCCATGAGACCCTCGAGAGTGCGCTCAGCCAGATTCTCCGCAGTCAGAGCAGTCATAGATGAATTATTGGCAGTGGCACTGCTGCCAGCACTCCCGGTGCCCCCGCTACTTCCATTTGTGCTGTTCATTTGCATTTCAGAGCCTTCTAGAGGCACTGAATTCGTTGTGGAACTCACTTCAGATGCGAGGTGCATCTTTCAAACAGTCTCTGACCCCACTGTCACTCACACTTCACGATATTGTAGCACATACCAGCATTTCCCAGGCATCTTTTCCACCAATATCACTCCAAAGATCTGAGCATTATAGCCCTTTTTTTAATAGAGACGCCCTGGTATGTGAGAAAATCCTCCGCACGTCACACTTCACATCTCAATTTCATGCGTCGAGTCCTGTAAGGAGGAAGGAAAAATCAGTGAGTCTTTATACTATAGAAGGGAGACCAAGGAGATCAAAGAAATTCCCCTTTTATGACTCTCAAACATGTCACAAAAATTTTCTTCCACCAAATTTACAAGTGAATTCATGTCAGACTTCATCAAATTTAACCAATGGATGATGGTTAGGAAAAATCCTCCATGGAAATGCCTTCAAAGTCACAGATCAATGGTGTTATTTAGAGAGAAAAAAAATCACAGTCGTTATTTCCTTTCCCGGCTCAGGCACACGCACACACCCTTTGAAAATACTGTAATTCTAAAGAGAGCATCAACAAGTGAGGAATGAGAAATTATCCTTCAATTTGCACCAGCAACTATGAACACTCTTCACGGCACTGTGGCGTGATTTTACCGCGAGACTCTGGCTTAAATGAGAAGTCATCCAGCAATGGCAGGTTGTGGATTAAAATTTGTGTGCAAATGCAGCGCAAGAGCGAACATTTGGAATATTTTGACGCGCCATGGGGCACAAATGTTGGCATAAAAATATTGAAAAGTCCCTAACATTATACTCTGGGATAATCAAGGGCTAAACCATGTGGCTGTTTCCACCTCAAAATCAGGGAAATTCAGTGGGAATTTTCATGGGAGCGCTACAACACAATAATGGACCGGATTTACACACCTGCAGGCACAAATCTCACTCATACACCGCATTCATCACTATTTTGGCCACTCCACCCCAGAGTGATGTAATGAAAATTTAGCTCTCTCTCTCCCTCTAAACATTCGCATTCTGGGAAATCAGGAATACACAACATTATTTGAGCTCAAAATTGCTAAATCGCAAATCAGACACTCATTTATGGATCAATTTGAAAAATTATTCTGTGAAGAGAGATCTTAAAAAATTACGGTTGCAATTATGATCATTAACGAGATGGTAAATCTTTTCTAAATTTTTCAATCCTACTATGAAATCATAATAGGATACTAAATACGTCCCTGTGAAATTTTATCGCATATGAATTTCACTGACTTTCACCACCAATGGATTATTACACAATTTGCCCCAACGTGTGTGAAAGTCTGGGACTTGCGATCAGGATGTGGTTTTTTAGGTGGATGATAAACATAATGACTTTTGCAAACTTCTCTCAGCACACATTTCACTGGACAAAAAACTCAAAATCCATTTTCCACACAGTGCAAAAAATGGACTTTCTATGGCATTTTCACATAATCCTCTGGGTTGAATATTCACCAGAAATCACTGGAGGAAAAACTAATGTGGAAATCCCACAAAACACTCACTTTCCAGACACAAACAATCACAGATGTTGAACTCTTCAGACTTCACTGAAACTTCCGTCCAAGATGCTAGTTGCTTCTCTATGGAGAATCCTGCGGTTTTCCAAACATAAGCCTCAGAAACCGCAAAATCTTCGCAGCTTGTCCACTAGTCGCTCCGGATGCACGATGAAGAAAGGCCTAGTCACAGACAAGTTTTGGCTTTAGCGAGAAAAAAGCGCAGTGCCAAGTTGGATGCTCTTCGGCAGATGTTCATTGAAAGACTATCTTGTGGTGAGTCCAAAAAGTCCCTCTCAAGTCATCATCTTTTCTTGGGTCTCGATCATCACACCACGTCACCAGCTCTAATGGCCCCTCTCGCCACCCATTCCGCCTCCCACTCGTCCCAGCCACCTCCGACCAATGTGTTGTGGCCAAATGTTGTGGCGCGCGTGAGGGGTGGTTGTCGGTGGGTAAAAGTTGATCGGTTGTTGCGGGACTCCTCGTCGTCTTCCACAGAATTTTCCATCCCACCCCGACAGCCAGGGCCAATATCCCCTGTGTCTGAGTGAGATGGTGGCATTCCTGGGAAGAGAGAGGCGACATGTGAGAGTGGAGCCAGTAATGTTGATTATCGGGGAGACCGAAGGATACCATCGCCCGCGTACTTTACCACCTACAAAAAAGCCTCAAAATGAGGGCGGAGCCTTAACAACAACCACCAGAGTAGTACATTTTTCAGCCACATCGTCGTCGGTGGTTGCCTCTTTGGTGCACCGCTACGTCCTCCGCACAAACCTCTAAACGTCTTCTTTCGCCCACCCAACCTTCTCCACCCACACACACACTCTCACACTGGATGCGCGCTTTTCCCAAGAAGCTCGCCCAGAAAGAAGCACTTGTGGCGTGTCTCATGGTGTATTTTATGGCACATCTCCGCACACAACTAAAAGATACCACAGAAAGATTTTGGTGGGTAGCGTGGAGAAGAAATGTGCGAAAGAAAGACATTTTCCCCCTCGTTTTTCCAACACGCCTCACGAGGGTGCGACAGAAACAGCTGCCAAGAAAGAATTCTCCTTCATCGACACAGTTCCTCTTCTGCTACACACACTTTTCTTAGCGACTTTCTTCTCCAGGGCCGAGTAGAAAATCACCCACCCCGTAAGCGAGAAAGAAGGCCCCAAGAAAACAACAGTCACCCTTTTCTGGTTTTCCTCCACCACAAGAAAATTCTTACAACTTACACCACTACATCCACAAGCCTAAAAATACTGTATTTCACTCACTTTTTCACTCAAGACGCTCGCCTCTTGCTATTCCTTGAGGAACTCTCAGCGAAGTCGGACGCACAGGTAGAAGTAACTTGAAGACCCTTGCGAACTTTTCACGTGATTCTAGCGCGGCACATAATTTACCCCCTGCCGTGCAATGCATTACTATTTGTCTGTGAACTTTCTGACGCATTTTCATTCAGCCACCCTCGAGGGGAAAAACCTGCAACGAGAGAAAAGAGTTTATGCACTTCCTGAAGCAATCACACACATTATATCACAGCTTGGTCGAGGGGTGATATTCAGTTTTTCTCTCAAAATTTCAATTCAAAAAATTCACATCTGCATGCTAAATGTTTCTCATTCAGTATTCAAAGAAACATTTAGCATTTAAAGTTCACTTCGAATCATCTATAGTCCCCTCGATTTTCACTTACCGTGCCGTTGAAAGGACAAAAGGCAAAGGATTGCTCTACAAAACTCTCCCCATCCATCTTCAAGAGGATGCCATTAAGCGCCTCTCTTTGGCTCATTGTTTCACACCCCGACTTGGAGTTCATTGTGCCCGCCGTTGTACATGTGTTACCACCGGAAGGGGTTGAAATTGAGGGTTGACGCGGTGGGCTCAATGGCAGATGACTGTGGAAATCCACCCAGTCCAGCTTTTTCACTTTTCCGCCGTTTTTATAGTCGACAAGACGCTTCCATTCTTCTTTCTATCTTTGTTCTCTTCTCACCTCCGCAGGCATTCTCCATCCGTACCATTTCGCTCAGAAACTTTAAAAACTCACTCCACTTGACTGGATTCGCTTCAATGAGTGCCACCTCGCATCAGGTGGAATCCGTCGCAATCTACCATGAAATGAATAGAATGTTGTGTGTATGAGATATTTTCAGGTGAGATGGAATTAACGTGTGTCTTCATAAATGAAAGCATCCTGTCGTGCCAAAAGGGAAATATCTCATATAAATCCAGCTAAACAAAGTGAAAACCACCATCGAAATCTCACCTAGGCAAACAGGATGACTCCGTGTGGAATATTCATAAACCCATACAGAATATATTACACATATTTTCCACCAGTGATTCGCATATGAAATTTTCGCATTATATTTGCCATATTAAATATTTAAACATCCTCAAGTGTGAAACGCCTGAATTTCTGTCCCATAATTACTTTCAACCTATCAACAGTTCAAGTATGATCCTAATAACACAGGTCGACACAATTCTCTAAGAACATTAAAAGAACATGAGAAATAGAAGTGAGGCAAAGCAAAAGAAAATACTTGCATTCGAACCATTGTCACGTATCACCAATACCCATAATATCATCTCATTTCCCCTTCACAACCTTATAAGTTTTCATGGGATTTTCTCTACACTTATTTCAACAATTTTTCCAACAATCTGAATGCACCCGACCATTACACTCTGTGTATCCACCACCGCCTTCCTCTGGACGGCGGAAAGAAACACCGGAGAATTTTCATTCTTCTCGCCCAGAACAAATTGGACTGAGAGGAACAGCATCTGGTATCAATTGGTTCAATTGCACAATGTCACATGATTATTACTTTTATTGGGTCACTTAATGGCATTGTCGCCCCCTAACAACTAACGATAAAAGGTGAAATACATCAATAATGATACTGGTAAATTCAAATAATGTATTCTGGACACGAAAATCTCTCCTTTACACCATCACATGCATGTGCTTCACACTTTTTTCTACGCTCAACCCCACCCAATATCGAGGCATCTCTTTTTCCATCGACCCCAGACTTTTTGCAATTGTGCTCTCAATAAAATCGACATGTGTAGCAAATACACAGGAGTTGGGAAGTGATAGGAGTCGAGGGATCACTGAATAACCTCTTGCACCGGGTCTGAGGGTGGCCAAAAAAGTAGAGACATAAAATGTGAGAGTGGCTAAAGTGACTGAAGAAAATCTATCCCTAAACAGCAATTCGCATAGCCAATCGACATAAAATACAATGATAGGCCACCGTGGTTAATACTCCCGAGAGTCCAATTTTTACCATCAACCCCTGAGACGGCCTAAATCTTCTCGTGCATTCTCAATGTAATCACACATTCGCGTCTCGTGAAATCAAACAGCAAAAGTCTGCTCATTCTCCTTCCACCCAGTGGTAGAATTTACAATTTCACTCGACTAAAAATCCCATACAAACATGCATTCTCATCTCGGCGGGCGAACAAACATTCCGGAGAAATGATTTTCTCACCCTCAAACCCATGCCTTCGCGGAGCAAAACGACGAAAGAAAAAAATGCGGAAGGGGATCAAAAGGGAGGCACACAAAATAATACGAGGGAAAATGGGAATAGCGAGATTTGTCTCATGAGAATTGTCTTTTATGGTAAATTCATTCAAAAGAATTCATACTTGTCGAGATTGAGATTTTTAAATGACACTCCATCCCCAAAAATCTCTGCCATATCATACATTCAGTCACATTCTCAAGCATAAAATGAGATTGGAGAATCAAATAATTTCAACTATTGGGTCAGAGACGATGTCAAAAGACACATACTTTAAATTTCCTGCTTGGGAGGAAAACAAGGCCGGAAGGAGACACAGGGACACACTTTGAAGTGCTGAGAAGCATGATGTTACAAGTACTTAAGAAAGCCCCCAAAGGGTCAAACTCGGCATTTAAATAATTCAACATCAACTCACATTATTCTTTGTGAGAATTCTACATCATCTTCACAAATTCAACCTTTCCTTTTATGTCCATTTCCCCTCATTTGCATGGCTCCAGCCAGGTGAAATATTCATCACATCTGCAATAGAGATTTCCATACCAAGGCGATGATCTAGGAAAAAATGAATAAAAGTATTTAGAGATCGCAGCACTGCTGCGGCAAATTGAGTAAACCATGGCAACTCAGGGTTAGGGAACATTAGGAAAATGAAACAGGAAAATTAGTGAATTCCTACTGGATGTAACTTCATTCAATGGAATGACTTAACACAGCCACAGGCCACAATAAATTATGCAAATCGTACAGAATGGCATGGTATTCAATTGATCAAATAATTGGCCCCCTGCGAATAGCATCGTCACCCCCATTTCTCGCCTCCATAATCAATTTGAGAAAGTCCATGCCCATTTCCCACCCACACTCACTGATACAATGGAAATGTCTCACCTATGGAGGTAGCTCGCAATTCAATTCCCTACTGCCTGATATCGAGTGAACCTTCGGCAATTGCGAGTGAGAAAATGCCATAGGGAAAAAAGCGACAGTCACTGGAAGGTGTTGATTATATTTTCAAATCAATTTACTCCAATTTGCATTATACCCAGCAAAATGGGAGTGACTTTATCAACATTAAACCACCTCTTTCCACCTAATTTCTTTATTAATTACCTATTCTTTCACTTAATAAATTTTTTCAAGATACACCAATGGAAAAAAAATCTTTTACAAAGCATACATTCTCAGACAAATGATATAAAGAAGTTCAAATGGATTTGGTCCCCATCCTGAAAAGTTCTCTCCAATTACTCCACACCTTTTCCACCTTCTTTTCTGCCCTCCCCGAGTGATTGGTAGTTCAATAGGAATTGCAGGAGAGAAATTGGAAATTTACCTTTGTAATTTGCATACATTTATCATTTGAGAAATCCCCACACTCCACCCCTGCACAGTCCCATCTCCCTTCCGTCCCTCCCCCATACACCATCATCATTCTTCGATCGTGGTTGTATCATGTAAGTGTAATTTGTCCGGCACATCCCCAAAATTTCATTATCTCACCCACTTCTGCTCAATCCGCCTGCCATTGAGCGCTTCCAGTTCACCGTGCAGGGAGAAAGAATTTGCCGAAATATCCTTTCTCTGTCCTGTAATTTGTTTACCAGACGATCCTATCCAAATAAACGCAAATAAGAAGAGAATAAAAGGAAATCGGACGAATACATTTCCGATACTTACACCAATTCACACTAATGTTACAGGAAAAATCCCTTCTTTTCCTACACCATCCATTCCACATTCTTCATCCTCTATCGTCAGAGTTGATGAGATTCCAACGAAAACAATTCATAAAGATAAGCATCAACTCTATATATCCCTTGTGAAATAATATGAATAATACAGTAAAGAAAATGCTGCGTTGCTGTTCTTTTTCCCCATTATTTCAATTATCAAAATCTATGATACTCACAACTTTGTTTCGCCATCCTCTTTCATCGAGTCCCTTCTTGAGTAAAACTTTTTCATGGAATTGAAAATCCGAAGCAAGTGTGATGGACACAGCTGCGGGATAGATTACGTCCTGTCCCTCCTTCCTGATCCTGATTTGCATCGTAAAAAGAGTGGGATGAAAAATGTGAGAAAATCCATCGAAGACTCATTCATTGTGCGAGTCGCTCATAGCACTACTCACTCGCTCATTCCGTCAGATGACGCCACTGTTCCCGGAATAGCCGGACGAACTCCCGGATCGCCTCTAGAAATTGTTGATTGTCAATGGATGTGTCAAATAAAGTGGAAAAGTGAATAATAAAAGGCAATTTTGCAGTTTTATCTTGAGAAAAATCTCGCGAATTTCTCAAGAATCCTCATCCTTCCATCGCGACGTGATGCTTTTGGCATTACGATTGGCCGCGTGAAGGTGATAAGACAATCTTTGATTGTGGTGAAATGGTTCTTGTTGTTGCAGCGATAAAGAATATCTTCTGAGGCTTCCAATGGCTCAACAGAATCCCGCTTTGGCCAAGCCATTCGTCGAGGAGGTGAACTTTGCGGAGATCAATCATTTGGCGGTAAGAACGAATTGCATAGCTTTGTTTGTTGCCAATCCCACGGAGCCATCTCACCTGTCACGATATCTCCGCATTCCTGCACTTCCAGATTGTCGGGAAGGGATCCTTTGGCACAGTGTACAAGGCCAAATGGCGAGACAATTACGTGGCGGTGAAGTACATTGAGAATGAGTCCGAGAGAAATGCATTTGCGGTTGAGGTGCGTCAGCTCTCGAGGGTGGCTCATCCCAACATCGTGGCCCTGCACGGAGCTTGCACTAAGAAGCCCCACGTGTGCCTGGTGATGGAGTACGCCGAGGGAGGGTCACTCTATGCCGTTCTCCACTGCACTCCCAAGCCAATGTACACGGCCGCTCATGCGATGAGCTGGGCTCGCCAGTGCGCCCTGGTAAAGAGAAGGAATATCCGTGATTAAGTGGTGAACAGCACTGAATTACTTTTACTCTTGCAGGGAGTGGCCTATTTGCACGACATGAGCCCAAAGCCACTAATTCACCGTGACCTGAAACCACCGAATTTGCTGCTCGTCCAGGGAGGAACAGTGCTCAAGATCTGCGATTTTGGCACAGTGACAGACAAGGCAACGCTGATGACCAACAATAAGGGAAGTGCCGCTTGGATGGCACCTGAGGTCTTCGAGAGTTCCACATACACGGAGAAGTGCGACGTCTTCAGCTGGGGAATCATCCTATGGGAAGTGTTATCGCGTGAGCAGCCCTTCAAGGAGATCGAGCACACCTTCACCATCATGTGGAGTGTCCACAAGGGCCATCGCCCTCCTCTGATGGAGGGATGCCCGCGACCCATTGAGAATCTTATGACTTCCTGCTGGGACCCGAATCCTTCAAACAGACCTTCCATGTCGAAAGTCGTGGCCACAATGCAGGAGCTCTGCAAGTTCTTACCCGGTGAACATGTCCCCCTGGAGTATGAGGACATCGAAGGGGTGAGATAGCAATGCCAATGATGATCTATTGTGTTGTTGAATAATATTTTAATCTTTATGTATGCTTTGCAGTGCATAGACAACGATGTCGACAGTTTGGACATAAACCCCGAAGGTGACTACATCGATTGGGGCTTTGGGACAGAAAGAGACTCAACCATTGGCACAAAGAATTCTAGTCATGTTCCTGACCTCATTCAAGTCTTCAACCAGACAAAGATAGCAGAACCAAATCTCGAGAAAGACAAGGAGAATCCTGAGGGAACCAACACGTGTAGTCTTCCTCAGGGTGGCGCTCTTCTGGAACCGATTTCCGTTCAAGTGGATCCAGTGAGTATTTCACAGATAAATCCGCAGCCGATTAAATTCCCTTCACTGATACATTTTTATCCATACGCGAAACAGAACGCCTGGGAATTGGACCCTAGTAGTGAGGACTTGCAAATTCTGCTGGGAAATTTCGGTGAGTGGAAGTAATTCTAAGGAAAACCAATATCATTACGCCACCCAGGAAAGCACATACTTCAACTGTTTCAACTTATTTACACAAAAAATACATATATCGTGAAAAAAAAGCAATTCGTGTGCGTGAACGCGCGCGCGCAAAATCATGTGGTTAATCAATGCGTAGCGAGAATTAAAGCACGACTGACTGTTTGGTCGGAGGAAGAAGAGCCAATGTGAGATGAGCAAGAAGCCATCATCTCCCCAAAGGCATTTTAAAATAAAATTAGATTAGGGTACTGCAATACATTCCAATTCGATTAGATTTCACACCACGAGGTATGAATAAAATGTTTTGATAAAGCAACCCATCACAAAGATATGTTCACACATAAGCAGTGCTCAGATAAATCACCGCGCGGGGACATTGAATAATGCAGCAGATGGGCAAACAGGAGCATAATTAATTGATTATTGCATGTATAAAAAAATGCAGCAAGGAGTAGACAACACATGAGTGCTCACCTCCGTAGAAATTCACTCGTAAAGCCAAATGAATTAATAATTTTCAACGGAGACGCGTTAAATCAGACAGAAAATGTGACTGAGAACACTGCATAAATCTTAATTAGTGCTCCACATCTACACTCTATAAATTATATTACAGGGTATATATTAGTTCTTATCACTTAAAAAGAGTTTCTGAAGCAATCGATTAAAAAGTAAAGATGAGAAAAGGAGTGTCCCAGAAGAAAATTGATATTATTGATCAAATGATTGGCAATCTCGGAGGAAAATCACGGTGAAGTGTTTGGCAAGATGGGGAACGAAAACAAATTGCTAGTGACGAGCATTGACTCATTCATCTTCAAGACGTTGTTCTTGGCAATGTTCAAGGAGGGCAAAAATGTGAGTAATTCAAATAACATTTCTCGCATTTTGAGAAGGGATCGCACGATGACGATCGTAAGTGGAAAATGAGATTTTCTACCCTCCACGTGGTATTCTTATTCGTACTATTTCATGTCAGAAAGGGTTAATCGTTGAAGAGAGAATTATATCCCTGTTCGTGCCTTATTACATCGGTTTTCTTTATAGTATTATTATTATTATTATTATTGCTGAGAACGGCAGAGGCAAAACTCAATCCCAAAATACATCATGCTAGCAAATGAGTCACAGCAATTCAATGTGTGGCAGAGAATTTCGCGCGCGCGAGATTCTATCACATAAGCCTTCGAGAAAGAATAAGATAAATAAACATCTGTTCATTCGCATCAAGTCAGTCTCTACCATCGATATTTCCTCGGCACTTTTGCTCCCTTTTTGGGGAGTGACTGAGCAACAGTGCGTTAAAGTGGAGCCAGGAAAATAGCTAAGGCCGAAAGCCACAAATTTCTAGTGAGATAAAACAGACCATCTCATGCCTCGCTTGCAAGTTATGTTACGATAGAAATTTGCCGAGTAGGAAATTTCGTGTGAAATTGCAAATTGCACAGTATTTTGTGTAAAATCCTCCCCCCGTTTGACTGAAAATTCCACTTTACACTTGGTGACAGATATGAAAGGTGTGCGTTAATTGAATTTTCATAGGATTTCCACTGTCTGAGCCAAGTTTTCTAAATTGTTCTCAAATTGACGCACATTTTCGCACTAGTGAAATTGCTAACTTACTGATAGGCATAGCATAAGACGTCAATATTTCGCACAAATTCACGTAAAAGTAGCAACCTGATGATAGCAAAGTTATCTCGTTTATTTTCAATCACTCCAATGAATAAGAAAATATTAATTTTTATGATAATTGCTCACGATTCTCCTATATGCAGAAAAAGTATGTCATAAGAGCATTTAATAAACCAAGTATTCTAAAATTGCTCACATTGTAATGCAGTTTGCAACAGTGATCTCGTGCCTCTCAAGTCGCATTTTCAAACCTTAGTCACCTCACACACTGATACTTGCATCGAAAAACAACAATATCTTCTTATGCAAAAGGGAGACATCTACACAACTTCAGGGAGCCTTTAGTTTAGTGTCGAGAGTCTCGTGAGACAGTTTGGCGATCGACTTTTTCAACGCAATCCTCTGTGAAGTTAAAATCCTCTCGACACACAAACTGCAGAAAGATCATTTGTTTTCTATTTAATTGAAACCGAGATATTGCAACAGAGAAGAACCAACCATGACGGGTAATTTTCACGAATCCCCTTTCATCACTGTGATTGCAGCGAAAGATTAACGACCAAGAACAATTAGTTTGGCTTAGAGTTAAATAACCCCAAGTTCGAGAGGCGAGAGCATCGTTTGGATTTTGTGAAAGAAACAATCATGAAAGCCCAATTGGAAGATTCACAATATTGTGGAAAGTGTTGCCAAGAAAAATAAGTTTTTTTACCCTCTCTAATATGATTTTCCTCGCATCATAGAATTTTCGAGGAAACATTTGTTCACTCATATGCCCAAAAATTCTCATTAAAAGAGATCCATCGCATCAGAGGAAGGAAAAAGTCACATAAACACGTTGTTCAACACGACTATTCCAGATGAAGATTCGATTTTGTGTTAAATAATTAGTCTGAAATATTTTTTTTGCAATCTTTTGAACTAGTTTCTTTTTGATAAAATACCTTAAATTATTTATGTCATCAAATTTAGCATTATGCTATCGCCAAGTGAAATATCAACTCTGTTTATTGTTATGCGGTTTTGAGAGAATACTTAATTTTCTTTGACGTCACTGACTTTCTATGAAATACTGTAAAATTCATGCACACAATCTAACCTGACGTGTCTCTTTTGCGAGAGGCAGGGGATGAATTCTGGCAAAAATGTTCGCGTGAAAATTATTAATTAGGTCAATCAATGAAGAGACACGTCTCAGATTATACATTACCACAAGCTGGTTGTGTACAAATGTGACAAAAATTATAATAAATAAGTAGGTTAATCGCATGAGTTGATTTGTTGAATAAATGTGGGGTGTTTGAGGACTTTTCTCCCCATATATTCTCTCGTGTGAATGGAGGGAAATGTGAGGCAGTCGTGGGAGAAAAGAAAATACAAAGTCATCAAAAATAGATCCCGGAAAATGAAAATACATAAATTTAGTAGAAAATCAAGGAAATCAGCTTATCGTATTCAGACTGAAATCGTGGTGACAAATGATTTTTATGCGTCTCCCTCATAATCAAGCCAGAGTTAATAGCTTTCCTTGGGTGGCATCATCTGAAATTTCTCAATATCTCCTTGGCTTCATTCCGATTTTTCCTCGCTCTCTCTCACTTTCACATCCTATACTTCATTTCGCGTTGTATCTTTGATACAATCCACCAGATGGATAGTCAGATGTCAGATACTCCTTCATCATCCACTCATCATACTTTTCCCATTTGTAATAAAGCATTTTTTCATCACCATCGCATCCCACCTTCATCTTCTTTCTCCTCTCTGTTGATCCACATATCGCAAAATTTACGTTAATCGTCGACGATGTCAAATTAAATGTTGAAGGCGCGATCATGTCGGGCTTTATTTCTCATTTCTCTGATTCTCCAATGTCTCTCTCTCTGTTCGCCCTGAACGTCGTCGTGCGATCATGAGCTTGTGGTTGTGCTGCTCGTCAAGGCGTCTAGAAGACGACGCTCTTTGGGAACGCGAGACGCTCACGATGAGTCACTCTTTTCACACCCATATAAACCGTACCACTCACTCTCCTCAGTACGGAAATAGATTTGTGGCCTAAACTCGACTGTTAAATACAAATCACACAATCTTTTCACACTTTAACCCTTGCGCCACAAAGGCTTCTATTGATAAACAAATAAGTTGATTGGAAATTCTGGACAGTGTGTACAGAATGCACGACAATGGGTTAAACGACAGCAATTTCTTAGAGATTGTTTAACAATCTATCAGCTCAAAACATTAATTAAATCCCGAACATCTTTTCTGTGACACGAAATAGAAGGCAGACACAGGAAAATACATTGAGTAAACTAATAATTTGTACTGATACCGACAGTACAAGAAGTGTATAACAAAAAACACCACATTAACCACTGCTGTGGGGACTTGGGAAGAAATCAACAATAAAATATTCTTTTTTGCAAAGTCCGAGGAATTTTCTCGTAAAACGCTAATTTCCCTGGTGGTGTCGAAATGAAAAGTGGACTGAGAGCAGTGCTTTTGAGAAATACAAAAGAGTGTATCAATATTTACGCATTTTTTTTCCACTTCTCAGTGGAGGCGCCTGATCATGTGATTTTATGAAGAAAGAGTGGCAAAAAATTAGCAATTGTACGCATTCCATCTGAGCAAGAATTTCGCCACGACTTTGCAATTTTTCTTTTTCACTTTCTCGAGTGTCTCTAATTGAAATGTTGCCTCTCAATTGCCTGAGACTTTTGCCTAAAACTATATTCTGATCATTGACCTCGACATTTTACCATTTTCCACCTACAAATTCTGTTTGGCAATGTGAGAGTGCGACATCGAGTGATGAGGCATACAGCTGAAAATGACTGTTTTGAAAGGGTAGTGCACAAAAAAGAATCCATCGATATAAATTGTGTCAAATAATATTAATTTGACTGCCAAGTTTGCTTGAAGCTTCCGTCAAAGTGGCGTGTAGAAAAAAAGGGAAAACGCGTCGAAAGGAAGAAGAAAAGGAGTGGAAATGGTCAGGGAGAGTAAAAAAAGGAACAGATAAAGTTATTTGAAGAAAGAGATAAAAATAGAGCGAAAAAAATTGGCATGAGTAATATTTTGAGGGAATTCATTGGGTGATTCTCCAATCTTCACATGTAGTTGTTGAAAGACTCACTTTGGCGCAGAACTTGGGCGCATCGCATCGACTTTTCCTGGCAAATGTGCGCGCTTCTTCTCATCCGAAAAATTACTCATATGTACACACAAAGGAGAAAAAAGAGATGATCGTGTGAAAAAAACACACTTTCCTTGTGACTTAACTCAGTCTGTGAGAGCATCTCATTCGGTCAACATCAATTTTCAATCAATTTTTCCTCACTAATTCATTTCTTATCTCTGTCCTCACAGTTCAACATAGTGTAAAATATATATCTCTAATACGTTTGAGAAGGATTAACTGATCTGTGTTTTATCACATTTCACTTTAATCACGGCCCGTTGAAAGTCACTTCGGTGTGTTTTCCTCTCATCATTTTTCCTCATTGTTCCTGTCCCACCAACAACATCATCTCGAGGCGAGAAAATTAAAAGCAATAATTAATTATGTGTGACACAATGCTCTCAAATAGAGACACCCTGCATTGCTGTTGGATAATTTATAGTACGGAAAGAGAGAAAGAAATGACTATTCACCAATATATGAGCTCATTACATAGTACTATCTGAATGTTTGACACTATAGTGCAAAAGAATATGTGAAGACTACTTCCAACAGCGGATTATTACGTAAAAAAATGGTTTGCCGCAAAAATTTTGCACATTAGTGGAAAATATCTCAAACAATCAATATGGAAAATTTGTGGAAGACACGTGAATGCAATTGGCAAATGCTCATACCATTGCACAATGCTGTTTAAATATTAATATTTGCGTACAGTGCATTTTTTTCTAACTATCTAATTTTCTGCTACTGTCAAACAGCCAATAGTGAGGGGAAAGAGCGCCTAAGTGTCGCAGAGACGAGAATTCCCGCGGAAAAGGATCCTGAGAGACCGGCAACTGGGAATTGTGATGTGGAGGACGATCGTGGGGACAGCTACGCATCCCTTAATCTAGAATCAATGCATCTCATGTTGGAGCCACACTTGCGTCCCGCCACTCCAGATCCTGAGAATGAACTCTCAATGCAAATATTCGAGGAGCACAAGCAACTTGCACAGGACTATTTGAAGGTGAAAATCAGTGTTTACCTTGAATCCTACTTAAGAATTCATATTTCTTTGTCTCTTTTATCAACAGTTGCAAACTGAAATTGCTTATGTAAAGAAAAACAGGGATGAACTTCTTGCCGCAATGAGTCCGCAGGAAAGGCAGGCACGCCAAGAATACTGTGAAAGACTAGAAGAAAAGGTACAAAGACAAAAAATCAACGATCAATCAGAACAAATTTATATCGGAATATCTTTTTCAGGAGGCTCTTCTGAAACTGCATGCAAACCTGAGGCGCCAGCTTGAACTGCTGGAGAAGGCGCCCAAGAACAATAACAATTTTGGCAATCCACCAGAGTACAATGACATTCACAGGGAGGAGCGTGAGCGATTCCTTCTGGATGAGCATCGCCAATTTCAGCACCTGAAGGAGCAGCAAAAGTTGAGAAACCAACAGAATCATACGCCAAATAATAATCAATCCCTACACGTTCCCACACGAGTGGCTCCACCTGTGCCCGATTGGGTCCTGATTCCATCGAATAACAACTTTGAGCACGGCGGAAAGGAGTCCATCCACTGAAAGTAGCTCCCATAGGACAAGAAGCCCACATGATGTGATATTTTCCTAAGTGTACGATGGAGAGAGGGAGAAAAGAAACTAAGGAACCCTTTCACTGTGTCCTTATGCGTGTCCCACAGTTCATCTTCCAACTCTCTCTTTTTTTTACCTTTTACTTCAAACTGATTAATGTGCCAGTGCCAATATATTTTACACGCAATCTTGTGACGATGAAATGATAAAATATAACTTATCTACCACTCATCATTGTAACCTATTTTTAAATTCAATATTAATAGTATTTGTCTCGAGATTTCTTTGTACGACCTTTTATTGCCTATCATTGTGGGACATTTTGCTAAAATTTATTAAAAAGAAAAGAAAAAAAAACAAATCACTGTACTTAGAGTTGTTTGTTAAAACATCAGAGTCATAACTTATTTCACGTTGAAATAATGAGTCGCTATATTAATAAAGAACTATTTTATCAGACACCCAATGCTGTTATCAGTTCCATTCTCCTCGATACTCCACACAGGCGAACGTGACCCCCGAGGAAGTAATACAAATTGACGACTTTTTGATACATTCCACTCTGCACATTGCTTTTGCGGCAAGGAGATAAAATTTACATTTCTGTGGTTATTTTCCCATGAGGCCTCGAGTGGAAACGGATACATGTGTGTGGCTTTTTGGGATGTGAAAGGAAGGTTCATTGTCCATTTGCTAAATTAAATATTTCGTATTTCTTCCGCTGTGATTTTTTTCACACATATTTCTTCCTCTCCTAATCTCACCGATAAAGGGATTAAAGTCAAAAGTCGACGAGAACGTTTATTTTTGCACTCTCCATATCGCGTATTTCCTCCCATCAGACTCTGGCGCCACATTTCAATGAGGTTCCCAACTCACAATGCCAATGGGAGGGAAAACAAAATATGGAAAACGTCTGTTTTCTTCACTACACACACAAGCGGTATTCTGTATTATTCAGAGATCCATATTTTTGTATTATTCAGTGTGACACAGAAAAACCTTTAGAGTGGTAGAGGATATAAGAAATTGAATATTAAAAATCATTAAAATACTTTTCTAGCCAATTGTACTGTGGTAAACTTCTGAATTTACTCACAAAAGTGATGATAGTTTGAAAAGAGATTTACAAAATGCTCATTAGATTGAGTAAAATGTCTTTCACTTTGATAATGTATTCAACTACAAACTTTACCGCACATACTAAATTCCTCAAATTCTTCATAAAATTTTAATACATTGGTGGTGAAGTTGATTAATTTATTGTCTCTTCGTATACTGATATTCACACCCTATATTATTGATAGACATTAATTACTCCTCCACCCAAGAATGTTAAAATTCACTCAATGTGAAAATCTCACATCCATTAATGTTTTATGCAATTTTAATACAAAAGAAATATACAGAATATACGGGGGAAAAGTGCACAAGTATCAGAGGCGGAGCACCGTGAAACCACTCCTCAAGCACAATACCAACGTCTCTTTCTGGCATGGACGCTGATACTGCCACGAAATTGACTCGAGAACGCCCACAGACCATTGAAGAGAATTACCGTGCAAGCGATGAAGGTGTTAAAAATGCCTCAAGAAACCACCATAAATGGAATTTCCATTCATATCCTCTAATCTTTACCAATCAATGGATCAACAATCTGAAAGTTACAAACATTGAGCCATCAACAAGCACACAGCCAACTTTCATCCAGCACGACAAAAAGCATCAATTTCACCAGTGAAACGAATGCTTCTGTCTCCTGTCTCCATAAAATTGCCCAACACATGCGCAAAAGGTATTTTTTCTCCACAAAATGAAAAAAAATTATACTGTACAGAATCCTTCAAAGTAAAACAATATGAAATGGCTCCAGAATGCACAAAAAATCTTCCGTCTTTGCATTCATCCGTCAGGAAAGTCATGTGCAAGACCGGCAAGACCCCATATTTTCCTTCATTTAAAAGGAACGTTAAATATGTAATTTTTTACATTCAATCACAATACATGCATTGTGAAATAAAAAATTAATATTTTACGCACCTTGTTCTAACCACAAAACCGCGAAGAAGCTCTTTAAAGTCCTTTAGAGAGACACACAAAGACGCGCTGCACCATCCACCATCGAGTACCTTCATTCAATTCTCCGCCAGATAAAGGAGATATGAGAGATTCATCGCGTGAAATGTAATAACATCCAAATTTAATAATTAATTTGTCAAACATCTGAAGAAATAAGTTGAGAAGTACCGGAAAAATTATGTAAGAGATGTACAGAAGCATCACTTAGCCATGCTACACATGAGCTACATAGTTGCTGATATGTATTTTCATGAAGTCAAGAAACTTCTGAAATTGAAAAGACTGACAGTTTGCCTCATACAGCCTGGCTTTTTTCCTGGCTTCAAATGCTACATGCACCGTCGTCCCTATGTTATTGTTGTCTGCCATCCAGTTCAAGTATATTTGTGTCGAAAAACCGCAAAACACAATGTGCACAGGGAATATCTGCTGCTTTTCCTTCCTGTCCCATTCGCTCTTACACGCCACCTATTCCCTCACTTCATTTGCTCTCTTTATATTAATATTATCACCGAAATTACCCGAAACATACAAATACAATAGTCCTTTTTCCGCTTACTGTCTCATTAAAATAATATCCTCCCTGAAAATGCCAGACTTTCAGCGGAGGAAATAATTAGTTTTAAGTATTAATAAAAAAACCATCAGAAAAGCAAAAAAAAAATTGAGAAATTTTGGGGCGTAATTCGTTAATAAGAGGGTTGGAAATTATATGATAATTGTCACCAGAACAACAATAATACTATAAGATCGACTTATAATTAATTTATCTAGAAATTTTCACATTAAACCAATAGCAATGTAATTGTCGGTTATAAAAATTGCATTTTCTCCTCACCCATTTTAAACTTAATTGAACTAGATTTTCCACCTTACTATTACCAAATTAATAATTCACGAAGAGGAGAAACTGTTAATTTGTCACCTATATTTATTCCCGTTCCCGGCTCTTTCATGTCAGTCAGGGAATTTTCCCCGGTTTTCCTTGGACGCCCCGTGGAGTTTCCGGACAATCCCCAGAGATATTCGCCTTCTGGTGCGACTCATTCACTAACGTCATTCATCTCACATCATTCTTAGATGTTGTGCATTGGTGTTTGTGCGAGAGAAACAAACAGTGAAGTCACGGAACGGGTCGCGCCAAATGGACATGAGCTCTCACTCACTCCGCCTGACGCGAGCCTGGTGTGCTCTCGGTCGCACAGTCTCTCCTATATGTGGAGCTTTGGACACTCCACACTTCATAGACACTGTTTAGTCACCGTCGTGCATGATTCGCGAGCACACCTGTTGTTTCTACACTCCGCGGCATCACACACAGTGGCTGAGAAGCCTTCGTGGGCACTGTCGCAACTCCGCGAGAACGATTTTAGCAATCTGCAGAAGCCAGATAATTATGTGCTAGACTTCTAAACTAGTGTTTTGTTCGCTTAGCAAAGAAAACAGTGTGCAATCAGATGGTAAAACCGTTTCAGACGTGGTAATTTCTGTGATGTAATCAAAAGTGTGTTAATTCTGCGAAGGTGACGACGAATCATCACTATTTGAATACAAGTTTTTACATCCTCCACTCCATGCGTACTGAGAAATTCCCGCCAAATTTCTTGTACGCTCCCATAAGTGATCTCTCTGAGTGTCCATAGATCGTAAGAACTACAACATTCAGATGGAAGTCTCGCGGATATGTTGTGGAAAAAGTAATGCACCGTGGAAATACCACTGAGCGCCGCCGATGACTAAGTGGATCTCTTGTTCATTCACCAACTTTAGCAGCCAATTGATGACTAAAATCAATAATTACTTGGAAAGGCAGTGATATTTTGGCGAATCGGACGATTCAATCACCTCTTGAGGTGTTTCCCGAGAAACTACAAGTTTTGTGAGTGATCAAAATACCACAGTGAGCAATTGAGTGACTCCTAGAGGAAAACCGCACAGTGAGCGATCGATCTTTCAATATTTCCTTGTGACCCACGTGAATCTAGCCAGTCAAAATAGCTCCACTAAATTCCACACGAATGCATCTGCCAGCGTCGGGGGCAACGGCAGTGCACCAGGCAGGGGGTGGCAGCACAAACTGTGGCAACGGCGGCGGTTTAGACGCCGCCACCGCAAGTGATTGGGGTGATCACAAGGGGGGCATGTTAGAGCCCCCCGGCACGAGCTGCAGTGGCTCACCGCCAGGCTCGCAAGATCTCTGGTGGACAGAGCGGCTCGTCTTCGAGGCGCAACAAGAGTATCCAGGAGAACTTGGTGAGTTCGATCATGCAAAATCGACAGCAAGACAAAAAGAAAAGGCCCAAATGAGATCAGTTCATTCGATCCCCTCATTGACTGAGATTTTGCAAGGCTTCACCGCGACAGCCATGAGTAAAGCAATACTCACCTGAGTTTCTCGTTGCAGTTCGAACGGGAAGTCCATATTTCCTCTGCTCGGCCCTACCGACCCACTGGCGCTCCAATAAAACCCTCCCGATCGCCTTCAAGGTGGTCGCCCTTGTGGACGTCGGTGACGGCACAATGGTGACCGTTCGGGCCGGCAATGATGAGAACTACTGTGCAGAATTGCGGAATTGCTCGGCCGTGATGAAAAACCAAGTTGCCAAATTCAATGATCTTCGATTCGTGGGAAGAAGTGGTCGAGGTGAGTGTCTGTGAATGATTTAAGTAAATACACAATGAATCACAACATGCGAACTCCTCAATCTCAATGGTCAAATAAAATCATCAAACTCTCTCTCTCTCTCCCTCTTTGGCTCACTGTCTCTACCCCTTTTCGCCCTTCCGTGATATTTGATTTGATTCAACTGTCAATGACAGTTGAACATGATGATGAGAGAAGTTTCATTTAACCCCAACCGCGATATCAAATTGAAATACCCCAAAATAGACAAAATCACAAATGGGAAGAGATGTGCGGAGAATGGCAATGGACCGTCTGTTTTTCATTATTACACAGTGTCCTTTGACACATTATTCTCTGCCGGTCGCCCTCCAAATGGCAACTCAATAAGGAATATAAAAAGCACATTCAGTCAGAGTTAAGCGGATTTGTGACTCTCAACAAGTATCAACAATAAACAAAGATCAAATAATATTTTTTCTGCATGTCGGTTAAACATTGTCATTCAACCCCAAAAACGATTTACATCCCGTTCCCATAATCACGCTAAATAGGCTTTAAACCCCTCTTCCACCCTTGACCTTTTCCCAGCACTCCACGAGCTTTCACCCCTGACGCAAAATGCTTCCGCACTGCCTATTCGCTGGACATCTCCATTGGAAATGCACTATTTCGCTGCATTTTTTCCCGCGTGTGCTCACCAACCGCGAAACATTTTTTTTTGTGCGCTCCACACCAAACTGGGAAACACCCACTCCATTTCTCCGGAGTGTGTTTTCTGCCACCCCCACCGTTCACGGTTGGTTGCCCACCTCATCTGCCCTGCCTTTCTGACCCTCTTTTTCACAGAACATCGCATATTTGCCCCCGGTGGAAAAATGTACGCAACAACTGCGGTAAAAATGCCCAAGAGTGGGAGTGTGAGAAGGTGACTTTGAGAGGGTGAGAATGCATAGCAAATATCTCTCGATATGTATATTGCTCGTCCATTTACACCACAATTTACTACGCAAATTTCACTATATTCCCTCCTCCCATGCCACGCTTATTCACGGTGCAATTGCATTCATCGATTTTAGGCTACTTTATGTCTTTCAAATGCAATTTTACGCTGCATTTGCATGGCAAGGCAGTATATTTCCCGACGTTCAGAAAAACACCCCAAATAAGAGATCAAAGCGCGGACATAGTAAAAAGAGATCATAAGTTTAATTCACGCATCCAATAATTCTGGGCATACAATTGGCGAAATAGAACTCATTTCATTTGAATATTGTAAAGGAGTTCTCACTTTGCTAACGGTGAAAATTCCATAGATGCCCAACATTGTTTTATTGTATAAAATTGTATAATTTATTTGTTATCATTTATCATAATAAATCGCACCTCTTGACTACAAAGCCACAATACAAATGGATCCCCATTAAATTCTCATTATTTGCGTGTGCACACCATCAAAGATCATCATCGTCCTCCTTTGAAAATAATAAAAATGTGAAGATCTTCTCTTTTTTCACCCGCAATATTTTCTCCGCGCACATTCTCTCAAACTTGGGCAAGGTGTTGAAAAGTCTCTTTCTCTCAATGCCCTGAAAAGTGCGGCAACCCAATTTTCAAAGACTTTTCGACTGGATACAGAGACCAACACACAAGTGCCCAGACAAAAGTCCAAATTGTAGCAAAGATCATTTTCTTCAGCACTTCTTCTCTCACTCCGCCATTGTCCAAATGTGATGAAGTGAAAGAATTTCAAGAACTTGCTCCCAAGTGGATAGAAATAGCCACAAGGGAGTGAATGAGCTTCAAAATAGACTCCATATACATTAATCCATTTCGTTATAATACGATTTAGTCTTTTAATTATTTCCACCATGCTTGGAGAAAAATGAGTTAGATTGGATGCGAAAGAAGTTCCATCTATATGGATCAAAAAGATAAATCGGTTCACAACTTTTTACCTTCTATAATGTTACTGACACGTGCCATTAATTTACATGAATTATTTATCTCTCTTCCTCGACAAAGTGAAAGACTCATCTTCTCCCTCACTGAGAGTTTCAAATGCTATTTCAGCTTAGGTATTTCATCAAAAGACGATGGAAGTTTTTTTTTCACCATCAACGCCCCATAAGATATATAACCAAACTCTTACCATAGAGGAAAACTTCAATCCTTCCGCTGACATTCATTAAATGATCATCCATCACTTTTATATGCACATTTTTTCGCCCACAACACACAGAATTACCGCCAAAATTTGCCCAGATGTGTGCAAAAAATTAATTATCGTGCGCTCCACACTTTTTCCAGACACCAAAGTCCCAACCAACACTAAAAATAATCGATATATCGTTACCTCGTTTCGCCAATGCATCTTCGCGATCAACCTCTTGGCGGCATACTCCCGAAGATGCCAACAAATAATTCAATCTCCGTATTCACGTCTCCCACACTGAGTCGCGTTCGAGACGCGAAGGGTCACACAATTGTATGTGGTTGAGCTTTGGTGTTTTGACTCTCCTTCCGCGCTGCCTCCCTTTTTTACGATTGTTGAAGCTATTAAAAGTAATAATGTGGCTCATTAAAGTCAGCATTTAGAATTATTACCATGAATTTTTAATAATCAATTCATTGAGGGGCACTTCTCACCTTCCACATGTCATCTTCACCTTTTGCTTTTATATTCCTTAATCCTCTCTGTCTTCAGACACACATTTGATGTGGAAGAAATTGACGAAGGGAAAAGTGCTTCTCAAATTTGAGGCAGTAGCGTCCAAAAAAGCCAAAATAGAAAATAGAATGAGATATAGTGTGAAATTTGTAGCAATTCTCATGATAGCTTCCACTCCAATGGTGGTTTTGTGGTTGCTACTGAAACATAAAGCTAATTGCTTTTTAAGTAACTCCAACCCATAATTATATTTGTGCGTGAATCTCTCCAGTGCACCTCCCCCACACTTTGTAGCGTTAAAAACTGTGTGTGCACTTCAGTGTGCCCTGAAAGATCACCCAACTTGGCCACTGGATCTCAATTTCACGGATGAATTTCCAAGTGTTGCCAGCTCAGACATAGACTGTTGTTTGTACAGATATTGTGTGTGCGTTATGTTGCAATTTTCCACCATAAACAACACCCCAACACTTCACACACCTTTATGTGCACCACCATCAAATATTATGAAGCGACTCTGGGTGTCGTAAATCAATTGGTTTTATGTGATATTTGCCGCCATTCGCTTTCATTTTCACGCGCTAAACCTCTTCAAATCAGCAGCTTAAATTGCAATTCAAAGTCAGTGGATTAATTTGTATACTATTCTCCTCACTCATTTCAGGGAAAAGCTTCACACTCACCATCACCGTCTCGACGACACCACCTCAAGTGACAACGTATAGCAAAGCAATTAAAGTGACTGTCGATGGTCCTCGTGAACCACGATCGAAAACTAGTAAGAAATTATCTCTTAAAAATACACATGATTATTAGACTTTTCTCTCTGTGGTCAAAACATATGTTGCTTTCCAATTGGAAGACGCGCGCGTTACGAGACACTTAAAAATATCACATGTGCATCTCATTATTCGTGCGTGCGCCAAATTTGTCGTATTACAAATTGTGTTGTTTGCAGTCGTGTAATGAACTTTAGCGTTAATGCATAAAAAATGAGTATACATATGTATGCATTTGCAAAACCAGCCAGTTCTCACTAACCACATGACACAGCCACAATTAACTCAGAAAAAATCCAAAAATGTACAAAAAAAAATCTCACAGACTGTTTTCTGGTCAATATCATCACTCCACGTGAGCCACGATATTCACGCGAGAAATCGCATGTTGAGAGATGGTTTGGTATATCAATTTTTGATAATATCTATTCTCACTTTCGCACAATTGCATAACACTCTGGCTGTCCAGTAAATTTCTCACACCGATAGTGATGAGAATTCTCCCAGCTGAGAAGATAAAGAGGGAAGCCAATGAGACTAGTCCTAAATTTTAGCATTTCACGCTTTTCTAATTACACCATCTCAAGCAATACACAAACGTTTTTTATCACACTCATATTGTTATTCTATTCTCACAGCTTAGAGAAAAAACGTGTAGAGTGGCGATAAGGAAGAAAATATATGTATCGTGAGAATGTCTCAAGTTTTGTCGGATAGTAACTCTCATATACGAATTATTTTTCATATATCACCACACTTTGTTACGATTTCACATCATAGCACTTTGCCTTTTTTTCTATTGCACACACACTGAGGTTGGGCTTTGATAAAATTCTTGATTCAAAACAAATGTGTGGCTCAATTGCAAATCACAGAGAAGATCTCATCAAGCGAAAGAGCTGAAATTTCCCACAGTTTCGCACACACAAAATTTAACCCCAACCAATTCGTTCGTAAATCACCCCGTGCAATAAATTATCCGTGGGCAAAGTATCTTGCCAGTGGACGCAACTTTGCAAATAGCCCAACCGCTCTAATACATTAGTAACTGACTCGAGAGACTGATCACTGGACACAGGAAGCGAATCGTGTGGGCGAAAAATACACTAGCTGCGCTTATCCAATCTCTAAACGCGTGCAAGTGAGGAAGGAAGCACGTGAAATTGAACTGACTGACGATTCGTCAACTCCGAAAATACCTTCACAAGGCATCCGCACGATTGAGGTCCCGTTTAAGAGTTAAGGATTCGTGCTGAGAACTCCAAATGTGGTATACAACTTAGTCATTAGTAAAAGTATACTTGTGGCCAAAAATCAGACATCTAGCTAAACACGGAAATTCACAGCTTCAATGGGAAGAAAAGAATTCCCGTTGGATATTTTAATCAAATTTTTTAGAACCTTAAACCAGACTGAAAATTAATTCCAGAGAAATTTGTCCATGACACGATATTAAATATGTGCGTTACATGAAATTAGAGTAACAAAATAGGACATGTGTCACTAACACTGCCTATGAACGCCACAGATAGTACAAAATATTTATTATTTTTCACTCCGCCCCACATTGGTGACAAAATATGTCTAGTCCAGGCATTTACATATCTGCTAATGATTTTAGCCTCATTAATCGCACACTGCAGGTCACACGGATCCCTCCTCGCATTCACCCCAAATAGAAATGATATCAAACGGTTCATGGTCGTGAAAACTTGGCCACCCCTCTTGTGAATTTCCGTCTAAATTCAACGCGAAAATGCGTAGGTACATTCGCTCCTGTGCGTGTGCTGCCACTTTGTCAAGTGATGTACCACGGCGAAATTCAGTTATCTCCTGGACAATTGTGCGGATTCGGAGCGACCGTCGGCTCCTGCCAGTTGATTGCGTGCCAGCAGTTATTTCCTGTTGTCCCTTCACCTTCCCTCTCCTCCGCACGTTGCGTATTTACGTAGAAATAGGATTAGAATATCAAACCGCTGCTCTTCATTACGTCCACAAAACACAGATAAACGGACGCTCGGTTTTGCGTTTATTCATCCACTTTCCCGTCACTGAGTCCCCCACCTCATCCTCGCACATCTCACTCGCCAAGCGCCCCAGATTCCACCTCCTGTGCATTACAATGTGGATTGCTGCACAGTGGCCAGGTGAGGTGTCTAATTTCTGGTCAATAAACTGCCACAAGCGACTATCAAATCAGGTGAAAACACATTCGCATGCATGGGACAAAATTGCAACTGTTGCCCAAAAAGACTCTCAACCCCACAGCGTTGGGCTGATGAATCGATGGGTGAGAAGAAATAGAGGATGCATGGAGGAAATGATTTTGTGTGCTGGACAAATTATAGGCACAAAATTGACTCCGGCCCAGAACACAATTTGCAGCGAGTGTTGAGGAGAAAAGAGAGGTGGAGGATCAAATGTAACTCACCGTGGCGTTTCTCTTTCTCTCCGAATTAGGTCCAACTGGTGGTCACCAATATCGTGCTCTAGGTCTCGGTCAGAGGCCATTCCTCGATGCTCCATTTACAGGTCATCTGAGAGAGTTGGAGCCCTATCGACGGAAAACACCCGCCACCTCGTCCATCAACCAGTTGCCTTCAGCCCCAACAGCCTCAATGGGGGTTTCTGGGGGTCATACGTCACCATCCTCAAACGGCATTCCGTCATCGTCCTCCACAGTCGACTGTCAGGATCACTATAAGCCAAATGCACCACAAATACACGGTGAGTCACTGAAAATTTGTTAAATATATATAGGTACACATCTAATAGCAGCAATCATTAATGGAATTGTGGCAGAATCAATTTAGATTTAGCCCATTGAAAATCCCATTTGTAACTCTCATTTCTCAAACACACTTTCAACAAGCACACTCCTACCTTTCAAATACGAAGGAGATGAAAAGAAATTGAGAGGATCATTGCCTTCGTTTTGCAGATGCAAATTATATTCTCTGCTCATTTCTCATATTATACTTTTGAGTGTGATTTAAATAAAATTAACCCTTTTCGACTAAATTACCAAATAATCATGCCTCGTACAATAATCTCATGGAATCACTTTTAAAAAAGAGGCAAATTGGAATAAGCAAAGCCAATAAAAATTCGCCCAAAAACCAAAATCTAATCATGGAGACACGATTTAGTGTGATGGACAATTTAATTATAATTAGGTAAACCAGTAAATCACTACAAAATTAGGTGCACACCCTCGAAAGGCTGAAATTAAATCAAATTCGACAAAGTTTGTGGTCATCGGGAGTTTTGACCACACATTCGTGGCTCCTCAATTTAATGAAATTGTACATTTCCAACCACTCAATATAAGGTTTTGAGGGAAAAAAGGTTTCTCGCTGTGGTTTAAGACACATTCAATGAATAGAGGCTCTCATTCATATTTGCACCTCGAAGGGTTTCATTGAGGAAAAAAAACACAAGAAACAATTAATGTGAAAAGTTTCCTGAAAATAATATTAGAATATTGCGTACAATATATTTTGTATGAATGTTAAAGACGAGGAATTATTGAGATTTGACGTTGAATATGAGAAAAATTAATGTTTTAACACATAACATGAATATGAAAGCATGCCAAGGTAATTAATAACAAAATATGTCAAACGCAGAGTTTGTTGATGTTTTGTCCTCAATATCAAATTGACGAAGTAGTCAAACAATTCCGTCACACTCTACACCTCCTCGTCTCATTTAAATTTCAACTCCAGGAGGGTAAGAATCATGTCAATACTGTGTGACAAATAATGCTACAGTGCTTATGAAAAGAGATATTCGTCCACGTAAGATTTCACTACCGCAGCGCTACTCTCTCGCTCTCTTCCATCTAAATATGCAGCATATTTAGATTAATTATCTTCATCCCACTGACACAAGACGCTCAGCAACTTTGTGATTGTATTAATTAAGAACACATCTGAGATTCTTCATGGAAGACAAGAGGGACAAATTTACCTAAAACAGCGCCCTTAAAGTACTCCGCTTATATACATTAAAACAGTCTTCAACATGCAATGTACATAATTGTCAATAGAGCAGATTTCCTCAATTTTCAATTTCAATTGAGAGAGTTTCACGTGGTAAAAAACCACATCCAATTTTTCGCCCTCCTCTTTTCCTGGTCCCGCAAAAACCCCGATAAATGGAATTTGATTTGGTGGCCCACCCAGAAACATCCTTTACCTTTTTGGGGTGTTAATTACAAAGTCAAACAACAACGGAAAATAATAATGCTTAAATTTTCAAGTAAATTGTGACAGATAAAAAGTCCAAAATCCCCTTTCAACACCCAACATTGCACTCTTTCTCCTCCAATATAATAATCTGCCAATATGTAATTTCGCTGCAAACAAAATAATAACTTCTTTTTTAATCCACCTTGCGCGCAAATTTTCTTCTTGATCTCTTTCGACCTCTTTGCACCCGAGTCAGTGCACATCGAGAGGCGGATTGATTGTGTGTTGTTCATCATTGAACCCATTGAGATGAGTGAAAATTGTTGTTATTATTCTTTAACCTCTCACACTCATATTCTTGCACATTTATTATTATTTGTTTCAATAATCCCCATTTCGCTGGGCAGAAAAATTCAATAATACACCGGATGTCAGTGCAATCAATGCCACGTAACACCAAAGTGATCGCGAATTGCCTGATCTTTTTCTCATCAAATTATCACAAGAAGATATCTATTCTTTCAATTGCATTACGTGCTATACTGCACACTATTTTCCACACACAAAAAGTTACATTTTCTCTCAATATCGACGTGTTGATTCAGTACAATTCTAATGCGATTTTGCCCATGCAGAAGCCCATGGAAGTTGTCACTTATTATAGGATCACATGTCATTGAAGATAAAATGTTTGTCTTCACTGGTATAATTGAGCAGGCAAGCGAAGAAGAAAAAAATATGATTGAAGAAGAAAATCTGCAGTTTATGTATCAACTTACCATGTCTTTCACCTCCAATTCTGCAAAGTGTTGCCACACACACGTTTCCTTCTTGATCAGTTTTTGCCGCCCATTCCAGTGAAATTGATACGACAAAGGATCAGTCTTGATATCAGAATCCCTGTTGAGCATCCTCGATCGTATAATGGTATTCGATTGCATGCTGAAGTCACAAGAAAAAACTCAAGTTGTTAGGAGAAAAAAAATGCAATAATCTTACTAAGAAAATTGCATTGCATTAAGAAGTGAAAGAAAAAAGACGCGATATTAGAATAATTCGAGTTCAATTTTGTTTGAATTTCTCGCTTCATCGATTTTGCCATGTTTTTCTTTCGCACTCGTGCTTTTGCGCTCTGTCTTCTTCAGAAATTCTCGTGGAATTTCAATCAAGAGAATCAGTCTTTTCCAGTAATTGTCTTGCTCAGATTTTCTTCTGGAAAATTTCTGTCCCGTTCCATTCCAGCAATATGTCAAAGATTTCCATGATAGATAAATCATATGTAAAGCTGTGATTTGTCATCGTTTTTAACATTTACCCATTTAAATATGCTCATGAAAAAGCACCTTTAGTTGTAATTTTCAAGAAACATATTCAAATGAACCGGCAGGAAAATAAATCTGGAGAATCCACTTACGCACATATCAACGTAATATTGATTAATAAGTGAAAACTTCCAAGAAAATCTCTCTATAAATGCATATGAATTTGAAAGTAGCCAGATTGCCAACAAGGTCACGAGTAATCACTCTCCGATTATTACCACATTTCCACACAATGTGTTTCAATGCTCTGAAAGCCGCACTATTCGTCTCTAACAGTTCGCAGCCAGAAATCATTTATTGCCATTTAATAGGATATTCGGCCAAATTCTTTTGGCAAGCAAACGACCTTGTCGATTATGAGCTGCTTTTGGCGCTCTTTTACACGTGAGATTTATGTTTCGTCTCATTCCCCATCGCCCTTATCTCAAGTCATCATCATTAGAGACTGTGAGATGTGTGTGGTCATTTGTAATTTGTGTGTTTGTACGGCTAATAGCGAAGAAATCAAAGAATTTCCGGTGAATCTCAAATCACTAATCAGGTAGATACCTGTTTCCCGGATCGAGGAGTTTTAGCGCCAATTGATTGGCACTTTTTATTCACACAAACGCAAGAGACTCCCACAGAGAAATAGACATGGGGCGCAGAAGAGGAATGAGGAACTTGGGAAAACAGACAAATTTAGTCATTGATCGTTTCGCGGTATTTGTTTGATGATGTTAAAGACAAATTTTGAGTATTCCGGCTATTTCGTATCGTCACTTCATCAGGAAACCATGAGAAGGCGCAACCCTGTATAATGTAATTCCCTCTCGCCGTATTTTCGTGACATGGTCGGTCAAATAGCTTCTCGAGTGTGAGAAAGGGGCATGCAAGAAGCTCAAGGAGCAATTGCAATTTCGCAGATTACCTGATTCGCCCTCAGATGGCTTAGCAACTGTCCTCACGTTTCAACCCATGACGAGATATTGTCTGCGTGCTTCACAGCTCATCCTATATGCCAGGCTGCTTGGAAAAAAGTGGGAGCAAGAATGAGAAATAATAATCAAGCATGCAAATTGTGATGAGATGAAAATGTGAAAATGTGAAAATACGCATACTTTTGTGCCCCCTGTGACCCAAAATGCAATCAAGCTCAAGTTCGTCAGAAGCAGCCACCTCCCTATCAATCGCTTTGATCGTATTGGATTGCGTGATCGCACCTTCTGATGGGCGCAGAGACGAAAAATCTCATTGTTGCATCGAAGTGGGGAAATAACAGCATTCCATCAGCCCAAATGAGACAGCCCATATATTACACACATCAATTTCACACTTCAAAAGTGCAATCATATCGTCCAATCCTCATTTCTTCTCACTCTCCCATTCACTATATGTATGAATGAACACACGATGCCGTGTTAAATTAACAGTTGCCGTATTTCTTCCGTTTTTCAATACACACCAATTTTTATCGAAGAAAATTATGATCGTGTGTTGTGCTGGAGAGCCTCTTTCTTTCCACCCATAGAATATTCGTAATGGAGATAAAATTCAATGATGCACCTTCGTCGGATCGCGTGAAATTTTGTTGATATAATTGCACCTGTATTCATTGTTCATCACCATTTTGCGCCCCTGTGTGACCTCTCGTGCAAACGCCCCATTGTGCCCAACATCCACCCAAACACAAAAGGATTTCCATTTAAAACTTCTCTTTTTTTTGTAATAAAGTACATATTTCGAGCAAAACGCGTTCACTGATAACTTCCTTTCACAGCCATTCATGCTCTTCATAATTCAATAACATTTGACTTCCGACTGATCTTTCCCCTTTTGCTAATGAGAAGAGGTCAAGAGCAATGTTCATGATCTTCGTCTTCAATCTCTCTTACAGAGGGCAATTTAATCGGGGCAGCTGAATGGGCGGGATATACTCCAAGCTCCACTTGCTCCACATACTCAGCTTATCCAGCCACCTACGGATATGAAGCCCAAACACCCATAGATCACACGAATCTCCACCTGCCAACAGGTAATCTAGTCTATCATTCTCCTTTCTCGTTATTTTTTCTTTATATTTGCAACCCTACATTTGTCCCCAGTTCTCACGGATCAGCCTTTTTGTGCCACTGACTACCACCCCACGGCTGGTGTGAATGCAACAAGTCACCATCCCCAGGCCAGTTGCCACGTGAGCTCCTTCAACACCCCCGGACCGACTGCAGGACTCCCCAAAGTCACGCCCGATTTGGATCCCATGAACTCCTATGCATCTTATAATGCCAACTGGTCCAACGGCTACAACAACTACCAGTACAGCTCCTGTCCTCCCCCGCCACCCCCTCCACCCCCTGCACCCCCACACCCGTCGTCCGTGCAGCACCAGTATCCCAGTCACACGGCGCCAACGATGCTGCTCTATCCTCAGCTCTACTCCACCGTGAACCAGAATCAGATCCATCTGCACCTGCACGGAGGTCCCGAGAAGATCGAGCAGTACCTCAGCCCCGAGAACTCACTCACCATCAGCTCCATCGGGGCCGGCAGAGGCATTGAGATTGAGATTGGGGGCAATGAAGCGGCAGCCCCACCGGCTCTGATGTCCACCGACGAACAGGAGAATCACGCGAACGAAGACTCGACGCAACACTCGAGGGATGTGCCAGGAGATCCCAACAGTGTGTGGCGTCCGTACTGAAGAGATGAATCTGAAAAGACACTTTATATAGTGAGTGAATATACTTTGTAGGTAAATAGAAGATTATAAGAATGCTAAAATATCAACACACGCTGAATTTACTATAGTTACATTCAATCTCCTCACCATCTTTCCATCCCATCTCATCTCTCCTTTACAAGTGTAAATAAAGCATCTTATTTAAAAAGGAAATTACGATAGATAATTCTTAGGGAAAAGAATCTCTATTCGCTCAAGCAAAACTGCAATTTTGTCAACACAAAACATAAATTTTTCAACCTCCGTGAAGAGCATAATTCCGCCATTCGCTGTAACTTGAGTGAGTGAGAAGCCAAGGAGAGACTCTGTTGATTTATTAATGAAATTTGTATAATGAAAGTAAATGAAAATAAATAATATTGTGCATATTGTGGTTTTTTGCTGCAGCTAAATAACAAACACACACCGTATGAGACACATTATTGAATATTAAAAATAATATTTTGTATTCCAGATGCATGCAATGCCGAGGGGGAGAGAAAAAAGCTCCAATATACCTACGTATTCTTTGCGGTTATTGTTCAAGATTTAATGTGCAATTGCAAAATTGAAATGCTTCCAAGTGTGATGTTTCTTCCACAGATAATTCCTCCTCAATCACCTTTTTTTCCTCCTTCTCTCTCTCTCACTCTCTCGCTCTCTCTGGAGGCCTTTTTTCTCGATGCACTGCAGAGATTTTCTGAAGTGTACGAGATGGAAAACTGTTTGAAGGAATAGAACAAAGAGATTTCTCGTCCTTTGTGTTGCAACAAATAATTTTGGGGAAACAAGAGGACAGTGGAACTTCCAGGTGAAAACTCTTTTTTGCTCCAAGTCTACTGAAATAAGCTTAAAGGCTTAAGTTTTCAACTGGCCCAAATGAGATACTTTGGACACAAATGAACCTCCACTGTTTGTCTCTTTAATATGCAATAATTCAACTAAAACTCATTAGAGTTTTGTAACTTTCCAGTATTCACGAAACTTTGCACTTGCAACAGACTGAGAAGCGTAAGTAAAAAATAATTCAACTATAATGAAAATAATGCATTTTCTTTTACAGAAGATTGCCAACAATCAGTTTATTACCCTGACTCAATGGACCCTTTCCTGACCATATTGTCACCCGATTAAGATGCTATTAATTTCCTGTCCAATTCCCATTGTGCACCTTCCCGTAAGTGCTCATCGACCACAAACAATGTGGCTTTCGGGACATTTTTATGGTTTTTCGGTTAAACTGATTCTCGCCCGAAGAGCACACCCACTTTGAGGTCTGGATCTCTCCTGGCACTCTCAGCACACTTCTGGAGGCCCTCCGACCGCCCATTCTGTGGCCACAGGGCACCGTGGTGTGCGGCAATTTGTGCGGCCAGAATCCCAGCTCAATGCAACAGTTTAGATCGGTTTAGATAAGTGTTTGCCTATTGACAATCGCTCCTCCTTCTTTGCTCCAGAAACATGTGTATGACTGGATTATTGGCATCTTCAACATCTTCTAAGGGACGCGTTCATTGAAGATGTAATTGTTAATTATTGAAATTTCTAATTAAAAATTTATAAAATCGGTACAATTCTTGATTGTCGACATGTTTTTAAAAGAGGGTTGCCCGATGCAAATTCACCACTTTTCACCACTCACTTGTGCTGCCACCTTCATCGAATCAGAAGAGTTGAAAAACATAAACAAGGATGGCAGCCGGACCGATTGCGGAGAGAAATCAAGGTAATTATGCAGGAAAATGTGTCTTTCACGAGGGCAAAATACTATTCACAAAATCTATGACTATCGTTTTACAATATTTCATAATTTTCTCTCACGTGGGTAGTATTTGTGTTGAACGTTTTTGGGTGTTTCTATTGCTAACCTAACTTTCTTCCAGATGCAACTATCTATGTTGGAGGATTGGATGATAAAGTCACAGAATCCCTGCTCTGGGAACTCTTTGTTCAGGCAGGACCCGTTGGTGAGTTCACATAAATCTGTTTAACCAGCAAAGTTGATAATTTTATATATTTTTCTACGCAGTAAACGTCCACATGCCAAAGGATCGAGTTACGCAAATGCATCAGGGATATGGATTTGTAGAGTTCCTGGGCGAGGAGGATGCTGACTATGGGATAAAGATCATGAATATGATCAAACTCTATGGCAAACCCATTCGCGTGAACAAGGCATCTGCCCATCAGAAGAATCTCGATGTGGGAGCCAATATTTTCATCGGTAATCTCGATACGGAAGTGGATGAGAAGCTTCTCTACGATACCTTCTCTGCCTTCGGAGTGATTCTCCAGACACCGAAAATTATGCGAGATCCTGAGACAGGCAACTCCAAAGGCTTTGCCTTCATCAATTTCGCCAGTTTCGAGGCCTCAGACGCTGCGATGGATGCCATGAATGGTCAGTATCTCTGCAACCGGCCCATTTCCGTGTCATATGCATTCAAGAAGGATTCCAAGGGAGAACGCCACGGATCAGCAGCTGAGCGTCTATTAGCTGCTCAGAATCCTCTGTCACACGCCGACCGACCACATCAGTTGTTCGCGGACGCTCCAGTGCCGCCAATGATGCCGATGCCAGCAGGCATGATGGGTCCCATGATTCCACCGCCTCTGATCGCGCCTCCTCCGCCTCCCGTTCCGCCGCCAAATGCGCCATTCCCTTCAACGGTGCCGCCACCGCCACTTCCACCCATGCAGCCTCCCATGCCTTCCCAGCCACCGCTGCCGCCCACTCCGATGGGACTTCCGCCAGCTCCTCGGATGATGCCTCAGCAGCCGCCGTGGTCGCAGAACGGAGGCCCTGGAGGTGGCCCCGGATACCCTGGCGGAAGTTTTCCTCCAGCTCCCCCACCGCCCGGTCCGCCGTCAGTCCCCTCAGCTCGGCCACCTCAGCCGCCGCCAAATTTCCCCAGGATGCCGCCAGCTGGAAATTTTCAGCGACCCCCATTCCCACCCCGTGGGATGCCTCCTCCGCCACCGGCAAACTTCAGCAGCGATACTTTCAACAATTTTTAATTATTTACAATATTAATAAAGCTTTTCAATTTTCCCATTTCTATACGAAATGCAAGACGAAATATTTCATCTTATACTTCCCCTGAGTGCGGCACTGCAAAAAGGTCGCAGAGTTTGACAGTGGTGAATAAAAAGTTGTTTTGCTTCGTGCAAATAAGTGCTGCTCTCCTTGGAAAATTGCGCATTTTCTCGTGGAAAAATGACTACAGCTGCTCGCCCAACATTCGATCCTGCCCGCGGAGGCTCCGGACGAGGCGAGAAAGACCTTAGCGCATTATCTAAGCAATATTCCAGCCGAGATTTGCCCGGACATACAAAGTTGAAATACAGGTTAGGTTCTGCTTGCGTTTTATGTCAAATTGAGGCTTTTTTGGTGGCATTGGGGTGCTTTATCTACTTTGAATGCATATTTCGTGCACTGTGCATCCCAATTTACAAAATTTTATGTCGTTTTCAGGGAGCAAGGACAGGGCAGCAGCGATGAGCTGAGGAACCGAGACTTCCGGAAGGAGTTGGAGGAGCGTGAGCGTGAGGGTGGCGTTAAGAGTAAAGCCACAATCCCCATTCCGGCTGTAGTGCGTCGTGCCATTGAGCAGAATGCCTCAGCAAGCAAGAGACCCAAACTGGACCAGATTCCCGCAGCCAATCTCGACGCTGATGACCCCGTTGACGGAGACTCCTCGGATTCTGATGACTCAGATGATGACACAGCCGCACTCCTGGCGGAGCTGAACAAGATCAAGCGCGAACGTGCGCAGGATACAAATCGCCGAGAGACGCTGCGAAAGCAAGAAGAGGAGAGGATCCGAATGGAGAACATCCTGTCGGGAAATCCTCTACTGAACTACAGCTCCGCCCCACGAGGAGATCTCAAGGTGAAACGGCGATGGGATGATGATGTGGTGTTTAAGAATTGTGCCAGATATGAGCCCAGCAAGCGCGCCCCGGCCTTCATCAATGACTCACTGCGCTCGGAGTTTCACAAGAAGTTTATGGATAAGTACATTAAGTAGATATCATGTGAACAATTTCCCACGATTCCCTGCAATGTTTTCCCGCCCGAGTCGACCTTTCAATAAACATATTGTAATACCCGCTATTCGAATTAGTTGAAGATCGATCACAGGATGGACAAAAACGTGAAAATATTTGTGTCTATTTTCCAATGTCTCCTGCTAATTCCGGGAATAACAAACAACGGCATACTTGCGAGATCTCGAAAAAACACAGTTCTCATTGCAATTCTGCTATTCTTTTATTGGCTTGGATTAATGATAAGCTTGATTGGAAATGAGGCTAAATCAAATGTGCTCACAAAAACGTCCAACAACATTCAGATCCTCATCAATGCTCTGGCTCTCACGGCAATCTTACTAAATGCCATAATTCGACTTAAGAATCTGCAAAAAATCCTGAGAAGTCTTCAAGCCACTGAGAATCGCCTTAGAAACGAGAATATTGTTGATCATCATGGAAAACATCGCCGAATTGCAATCATTTTGTTAATTAGTGCAGTGTTTCTCTTGATTTACATAATTTCCTTTGACGCATATCTCAATTTTTCTGTACAAAACCTACTGTCACTTCTCTACTGGATCACTAGTATTCTCCCGATGTGTTTCCTCACACTTGTCAATGTCCAAATGTGCCTCTTCTTGCTCTTTATTTGCAGTATCCTTAGGAAATGCACAAAAATTCTCTCACAAGAGCTGTTTTCACCTCCAAAAAAACTCTTTGTCACTGCTAATGAGCGAAAAAAGCCTCCGTCCTTCATCCCAGGAATCTTTTACATCCTCACTGAACTCATAGATTTATCTAGATGCGTAGATGCTTATTTCGGTGTGGTTTTCCTCGTTACTTTTGGCACAATTTTTGTCACGTCCAGCATACAATCGTATTATGTCTACGTTGTTCTCACTGCTCAAGGATCGTGGAGCACAACGATGATCTGCTCTGTCATCGGCAGTGTGAATGTGCTCCTGTGGAACTTAATCCTTGCTGGAGGAGTCACTTGGCTATGCCAAAAAATCCACAATCTCTCTCGAAAGAATATTGTTCTAATACAGAAGTTACAAAATACAGGATCTCGGGATTTTCGGCCAATTGTAAGTAAATTAACATACTAAATCCTAATGGGAGTATCCTAATGCAATGTTTAAATACATATCTAGGAGATTCAAAAGATCGTGGGAAACCTCCCTTATGTCACCAATGAAATATTCTTTAGCGCCTTGGATTTCTTCAGAATTGACTTGAACATGCTTGTGGGGATGTTTGGCTACATTCTCACATATCTGATCATTTTCATTCAATTCTCCAACGTCTTCGGATTCTCCTTTTATGACGGTCACAAAATCAGAGAAAAAGTATAGGACTCTGGAATTATCAATCCTTTAGTGTGAATAATTAATGGTGTGCTGTGAGTTTTCTCACAAACTTTCGTAACACTTTAACTATCATTAGTGTGGAATGAAAAGGCACAAATTGCACCAAGTCTGGTCAATTAATGAAAGTGACACCGACCAGGATGGACTTCTCCACGTTTTCTGAGGTCTTCTTCAAGCGCTTCAGGTTTTTTGGTGTGAATCCTAATTACAAAAAGGTGGGAAATGGAAAGAATGTTGAAATTGTTCAGGATAAGATCGGTATAATTGTCGTGACGGTTTTCCTCGTGATCTATTGGGGAGCGATTGTAATGTCCTTCTTCCTGGAGCACAGAGGCAACGATAGGATCTCCTCCATTTCCAACATGATTCAACTCATTCTCAACGGATTATCCTTGACAACTATCCTGATTAACACTCTGATGAAGTATCGCACATTTGCCGACGTTATCAGTGGATTTCAAGTGATCGATGAGAATTTGCGGAGCGTTGGCAAGAGCATTCGCTACAATCGCTCCTTGATCACATCTAGGACTATCTTGATCCTGTTCGGCAGTTACCTCATACTATCTGTATGCTTCGACGGCTATGTGACTGTGCTGAGATACAAGATGAATCCCATTTGGTACTGGGCCGTGGCCACGCTGCCTTCAGTCATCTACTCTCTGTCGCTGCTGCAATCCATGTTCCTCATAAACTGGATATCCACACGATGCCACCTGATAAACAGCATTCTGCGCCTTGACGGTCGCGCTAAGTACTTAAAAGCCTTGCCAGCTGTTACCATGCTGACAGGATCCATGAAGGGTGAAATGCAGAGATCTGTGGAACTCATCACAAAGATCTACGACATCATGAGCAATATTTGCCAACTCTCCCGAACATTGGACTTATTCCTAGGACCAACTTTCTTAACCACCATCACGGCAATCTTCGCAGTCACATCCATCCAAGTGTACTACATCTATGTGACAACAATAACAATGAATGCACTTCCAGAATCCTCAGGATTCTCTGTGTGGAGCCTCATGGTGTCTCTGAACATTGTCCTGATGAACATTTTTCTCGTGATTGGCATTACAACCATTTGCGAGCGGGTCAACATGGAAACCATAAGAATTCTGCAGAATTTTTCAGATTTGCAAATCAACAAGGAAGTGGTAAGTATCTGAAATCAATACGTAAAGGTGTAGAATGTCTCCTCAATATTTCATACAGCCGGCAGAATTGAGCATTTGGCTCCATCCGATGATCTCCCACATGAAATTCACTGCCTTTGGCTTCTTCTCCATCGACTACACAATGCTATGTGGGGTAAGATATTCTCATCAGCCTCCACTTTAGCCCTAAACTTACATAACCACTTTTCACAATCAACAGTTCATGACGGCCACAATCACCTACCTCGTAATCTTCATCCAATTCTACTCAATCGATCCTGCTCATGGCAATACAAACGTCGTCCGAGGTGTTCAGGGAGTTCAAGGGCAAAGTCCCCACAGTGGACCCTCCTTGACAATGAAATCACTGTCATAAAAAGCCAGATATCCTCTCTATTATAATCTCAACTTTATTGTAAGGCATTTTGATATTTTCTCCACCAATATATCCTCTCTCTCTCTCTCTCTTTCTCTCCATCTATGCATCTTGCAATTCACCAAAATGGTGCGATAATTGAATATTTTCTCCATCAGTTCAAATTATTGCTATGATTTTTTCCTTTCACACTCATTACATTAATCAAAGTCTGGCATCTTCACCATTCTTTTTAATTGTACGACACGATTTTATTTATCCATCGTATTTATAGTGTGGAAAAAATAAATATTTGGAGATTCTCATGTGAATCGCACCTGCCATTCAAAACTCATGCAATTTGTGTATACACTAATTGAGATTCACCAGTTAAGAGTTGAGTGAATTATACAAGAACACAATTAAGGCAAGTGTAAAATGTGAGTAAAAATAAAGATACAGTGTTTGGCAAAGGATAAATAGTATATAAGCTAAAAATACGCAGATCATCAAATTTCTAACAAGCTTTACTTTCATGAATTCATTACCTAATCTCCGTTTTTAAATATAGAGAAATTACCATTTGAGACAAACAACTATAAAATCTACACGATCTCTATAGATTAAAAGTTCATCGTTGCAGCAGAGAATCGAATGGATGGCGCGATCGGGCAATAGACAAATAAAATCACATCTCACCCAGAAAATGTATCAACATCTTTTTGTAACATCTTTTTTGCACATAAAACTCTGTCTCTCTGGCTTTCTATCCATTAAGTAAAAACAATTAAAAAGCTATAGATTGAGCCTAAGATACAGATTCTGTCTTTCATCGCGTAGTTTGACAACATTTCGTTCCATTTTAACTTGCACTATTATTTCACATGTCTTATTTTTGGTTTTCCATAAAATCGAAAGAGTAAAACGGTGAACTATAAATTGTGTGCAAAAATAGAATGATTTCTCTCTTTCTCTCTCGCTCGCACTAGAATTCTTTTTTGCAGTTAAATTGAAAATGTTCTCTACTATTCACACCATTCTTTTCTGGAGATAAAAATAAAATATATTTATATATATATAGACTCTCTATCACTGTTTAGATGTGAGAATTGAATATGGATTCGTTTTCACTATTCTTGCTTATGCTCTAGGAATCATAATAATGTTTTCTGCATTTCATATAGGAATTATAGGGCCTTTCTCGTCTCTTCTATGAGTGTTGATTATATTTAAATTCATTTACATAAATTCTACTGAAATATATACGTCTCTCTCTCTCGTGCACTCTCGCAAACAAATTGAGGAGTGATATGGAAATTAAATTAAATCAATTACATAATTGCACTAAGTGTTGCATATATTATCTCAATTCACTCTCTCAGCTTTTTAGCGGTCTCTCTATCTTTCTTTCTCTGCTTTGTACACTTTTTTCCCCTCTTCACAGTACAGCAATAAAAATGTGAACTCATGGCGATAAAATGTTTTAAAATGTGTGTGTATTTTCGGAAAAAAAGTAATTATATCATTCACCTGGAAAAGTCACAATAACATTGTAATGTTTGCAATCGATAGCAGAAATAATAATAAAAAAAAAACAGAAGGTGGTGCCATATAAATGCTTTTCAGTGATACAAGTCATAAAAGATTGGATAAAATAAAAGAATGACGTCTCTTGGAAGTGTGATAGGTAGCTGGAAAGGGCAGTTCTTATCACTTTCCCCACCTTCCGCCAACATGATAAAATCCCCTTTTCTTAATTGTCCTAGTATTACAAGTCTGTGTAAATTGCATTCATTTTATCTCTTTCGTTATCAGTTTCTCTAATATAAAATCATCTTGATGCTATCTTCTACAGTTATTCATTAGTTTTTTTTTATTATACATACGTTTCTTCTTTTTTTCTTTATCTTTCCTTGTGTTGTAGTAAAACCATCTTCACAGCACTAGATTATTCAATTTCCTACTATACTCTTCCACTGTTCATCATTTGCACACCTCTTTCTCTCGCTTTCCTCTCGATATATCATCTCTCTTTTATATGTATATAATTTATATAACAAAATTACTAAATTAATAATTTACTCTCTTTCGCTTTCATTTGCATTTTTAAAACTGTTAGTATTACATGCATTTCTCTTTCTTCACCACGCCATACCACAGACAGTGGACGTGAAATTGCACGCACTGATTTCTTCATTGACGAAATTTTCTTCTCATGAACTTCTTTCTAAAGAGAATGTCCATTTTCACCGTTGGAAACACTTCATAATGCCCCCAATTAGCAAGATTAAACAGCAATTTTTAGCGCGTTTTCCTCAATCCACGACCTGTACACCCATAATTAGACTATCTCCTTGTTGCTTCTCATTCTCTTAAACATTTATCTTGTAAGATGAGTGAAAATTGACGATATAGAAATTATGGTATGAGATTCACCATTGATATCAGACACAATTGTTCAGATCCTTACCTTTGAGGAAGTTATCGTCACTCTGACTGCCTTTCAGCAATGTCTGCTTGAGTTCCGGCACTTCTTGATCTATCTGGATTTTGTGCTGCGACGAATTGCGTCGATGCCCAGCGCCGTCCGTTAGGATCCCATGCGACGCCGTGACGACAATGGACTTGAGATCCTTGGAGCTGAGCCTACGATGGCGCAAGTTCGTGCCCTCGGGCTTCAGCATGGCGTCATTGTAGTCCTTGGAGTTGGTGCGCGAATGCGTGTACTTCACAGTCGGGATGAGTTCTTCTTCCGCCACAAACTTCCCACCTTCCACCACAGCTGCGTTTGCCATCACGCGCAGGAGATTCACGTCTGAGAAATTCACCTCTTTGGAGTTCTTGCGGGCACAATTGAACATCTTATTAACATTCTTGTAGTCGTAGGAATTGTTGCGCCTGTGTCCACGTGCCGACAGGGCATTCTTGATATTGAGTAGAGCGTCCTCCTTGAAGTTGTTCCTGAAGTTGGTCAACTTCTGCCGAAACTCCTGATCATAATCCTTAGAACTGTTCCTAGAATGGCTCTTGCGCACCTTTCTCGTCTTCCCGTCACTCTCATACTCCTTGGAGTTGCTCCTCGTGATCTTGACGTCACACGAACTGCTCCTCTTGTGTGTCTTTCGCGGTACTTTGCCACTGTCATCGGTCTGATCATACAACATCTCCAGCTGAATACTTCTGGAGTCATTGCGAATGTGCCGAGAAGCGATTAGCACCTTCTTTGTTGCCGGATCGCAGCTGGTTTCGCGATCGGCGGGATCGTCAAATTTGTCTAAGCTAATAATGCTGCCTGAAACCAGTTCATTTGTCGTCAACGGTTTGCCCATCTCCAAGTGCTTCCGTCGTTTCACCAGCCACCAGTCCAAAAAGAAGATGGCCAGAGCTACTATCTTGATTCCTGTGCACAGTCCCACGTACTTGTAGCGGAATTTTTCAATGTCATAAATCAAACATCTTCCTCCACTCTCGCCACAAGTCGATTTCCAGAGAAGACATGTTGAGTCTATTAAACTCCCGAAGACAATCGGAGCTGGAATATAGCCAAACAAACGGAAGATGACAAACTGCATGCCCAGAGCGAATGATCTTTCCTCATTCGAGACCGATCGGAGGACAATCATGAGGAGAGGCATTTGCGTGGCTGCCACAATGAATGTCATGAAGAACAGCAGAATGAGGAATGGATAGATCGTGCGACAGGGTGAATTGCACGGACCCGCTGTGGCGACGGGTACAACAGTGACTTCTGCAAAATCTGGCGACGCAATCGAGGCCTGAGCCTGACTTCCTCCACTGCCACTGTACACGTTCGTGATATTGGAATGGACACAGGCACAGTTGGTGTAGTTGGATCTCGAAGAAAAGGCTGTGCATCCCGCATGACAGGGGCTAAAGTATGTCAAGCCATTGTTGCCACACACCGGCTCCACATCCGTCATCGGACACTCACAGCCAAAATTGCAGGCCGCAGTAAGATTCACGGTGAAGGGCTCAGCACCCGGATTGGCACTGTTGTAGTAGGGTATCGTCGTCCCTGCCATCTTCACATTCTCACAACCCAGGAAGAAGAGTAGGCCGTAGCACGCGAGGCAGATTAGATTGGAGATGAGCACAAACTGTACAGCTCCGCGTGGGCTCAGTTGGAATCTCTTGAGCAGACATCCACCAATGAAGATGCCAATGCACGCTCCAGGGACGGCTATTGATCCCGTGAACACACTCGCCTGGCTCTTTCCCAGACTGAATTGTGTCTCCAGATATTTCGGCAGGAACACCACAAATCCCGACACTATCATCAACTCCATACACGCTCCCAGACACGTGACAACGTACACTGGATTGCACACAAGCCTCCACATGGACTGTGGGATATCCTTGACGTCCTTGCCATATCCCGAGTCAAATTTCCTACTCTGCTGCGTCGGCTGGGGCGCCTGGATATTGTTGGGCTGCTCAGTCGCCTCCCTTGGGAGACTGTTGGAGTTGTTTGGTGTCAGGTTGGTCCTCTTGGACGTGACATTGAGAATTTTTTTCTTCTCACGGGTCATCACCTTGAAATATTGCAAAAATAAATCCATTATATATCGATTTAGCGTGACTCTCTTTGCGAAGCTCCCATACCTTGGGGAAGGAGAAGAACGGAATTGCCACAATCAGTAGAAGGACTCCACATAGTAGAAAACCACCCCACCACATTCCCACCCATCTCCTATCGCCGGGATCTGCAATGGAAAGGAAGGAAAAATCAATCTACCATTCTCATCATATGGCGCTATAAAATTATTCATTTACAAATAGTTCGTATTCTCGGAGACACTTTAGGAATTTACTCAGAACGATAAATAACCATTAAATTCATCTATAAATGGGAAAATGTCGAGCTTTATTACTCACCGGACAGTAATAATGAGAAATATGTAACGGTAAATTGAGAAGTACGTGTTCATGTCATTACAACTTGAAATTACCTACAAATTAAAGACTCCTTTGTCGAGAAATGGAGAGATAGGACAAGTTTGGGAGTGTCAATAGAACCGGAATGTGAACGCATTGGCGCTATTCATGGCCTTTTGTCGATATCTTAATTCTGCTTCTGCACGACAAGTTAATTAGGCAATATAAGATCGTCATTTCCTTGTTGGCAAAAGCAATGTTAAATTTAGATCACAAATACTAGAAAAAGACAAACACATGCCGTCAAATTCTATTGAAATATTCACAAATTTTACGGCACTTTCATTAAAAGTGCTTCATTCATTCTGTTCTCCTTTTCCAAATCCCAAATAGCGCAATTGGGGGCAATTTTGTAGTTTATTGAACTTTTTATTGCTGTACTTTTTCGTTCATAAATTTGCAATATTTGTCAGAGCATTGAAATACATCTTTTATATTCGCTATATTTGCCAATTTTCCACCAAAACGACCATAGAATTTCCGTTTTGTCCACCAATTTCATATCAAACTGAATTGCAATGCTTCGAAAATAAGGAGAGAGAGAAAAACACTCACCGATCGCAATGAGGTTTGGTGAAAAGGAGTCCATGTGGAAGGACAGCAGATAGGCGCCACAGAGGAAGCCCAGAACAGGCCCAAAAGCTGCCATGCTGTACATCGCACCGATGTACATTGACGAACTCTCTGTCTTTACGTGATCGTCCACGTACGTAGTGCCAAGCGTAAACAGAGGACTTCCACCGCATCCCAAAAGCAACTGTGCGATCACAAAGAGCAGCACAGGTCCGAATGTCGAGGATTTGCCCTGAATGCAGTTGTCACCACGGAGATTGTTGTGTGGTGCCAATGGAGGATTCACGAGTCCACTGGACAGTCGGCCAAAGCCCATGTCCTGCTCCCTCACAGAGACTCCTCGACAGATGTTGTCAGATGTCTTATTCTCAATCAGAATCCCCGGATTCGCCTCACCCGTGAAATGTGGCACCATGAACACGAGCGATCCCACACCCATGATAACTGCTCCAATGCCAATCCACACGGGAATGTGCCTTCGACTGCCCAGGTAACTCACAAAGATCACCGTAATCACATTTCCGATCTCATAACTGGACGCAATCACGCCCGAGTAGCTCGATGGGATGTCGAAACGCTTCTCAATGGTTGTGATCACAGAGTTGATATAGCCCGAGCTGAGTGCTTGTTGCAGCGTTACGAGAATCGACAGTAGGAACACGAAGACTTTGATGCGAGCGAATCTCTGCACGATTCTCGGTCGACATGTCCAGATACCACAGTCTCTGTTTAAATCCTCATCCGGAGAACTCGCTGGATGCCGATCTATGACACCTCCGCTGGACGGCTGTCGACTGTGACATCGGATAACCACGTCCGATTGCAGCACTGCATCTCCGGGCAGTTCTGAACACTCTTGGCGACTCTGGGAATCCTCTGAGGATTCTGCCGGGGCATCAACACTGCTGTCATCGCCCGCAGTTTCTGAATACAGTCCTGTTAGGGCGTACATTGACTCTTGCCGTCTGTAAGAGAAGAAGACAAATTGACGCAACACAGATCAGAACTTCATTCATATTCAATTAGGTCACAAGTCCCTTAAATACGAAAACATTTAGCCAGTTCAATTAGCTGACAATTTAAAGAATTCAGAGGTCTTTCGAAACATTTCAGCAAAATTATGTCTTTCGAAAGAGCAATTTTATAATTATCTCAAGCAATGTCACCACATTGGACATGGAAGCAGTTTTTCTCTCACTCGCAGTGAAAAGTTTTTCCCAAAACAAACTACTGCCAACTCGTTAAATTTTCATCAGTCTACCAGAGGCAATAATACGGATAGATGAGTGCAGTAGTTCTGCAATGACACTGCAAGATGCCTCGTTCGCCATTCAAATAGCATCTGTATTGATTTTTCAGACATCTCTCCTCAATCACTCACCTGTGACCTTTCCTGTGCTGACTCCCTGCATTTCCACCACCATCGTGACACGAGGAGCCTCCCGCATTGCTCGTGGCCATCATGCAATCGACTGGAAAACTTCTTGCTCCGTTTTTGCCCTCCTAGATTTCGCGCGACAGTGCCAACCCAAGAAGTTGCGTGAATTTGAATTCAGCACTTCGCGTTTTTTCTCTCTGCCACACTTTCACGGTTGGTACATGCAATTTGGGCCAAAACACCGCCACATTATTCAAACTATGCCCAGCTACACACCGTAGTGAAGTCACACGGAAAAAAGTAACACTGAAGAGAAGGAGAAAAAAAAACCACCTCCGTACAAGATCACGTCGACATTTGCCTCAGTTGCTGCAAGAGAGAAGAAAAAAAAGACAGAATATAATGAATTGAATGAAATAATTCTATTATGCCAGAGACTTTTCTAATCGTAAATGTCAATCTGTTGACCCCCCACGTCAGATTACGCTCACATAATGTATTCAGCAATGTACAGAGGGAAAATGAGATGACAAAAAACGCAATAAACATCCCGAGTGTGGTGAGATGATAAGAACAGATCAACCAGTGGAAAAACAATAATAAAAAGGTCAATGGAAAAATATTCGTAGTGTGTGAATTAAAATTACGGATGTGGGAGCATTTTGGACGATGTATTAGGCACACAGAGTTGAAGAAACTGTGATCAAACAGAACAGTATTTATCATTTCACAAGTACAAGCATTGAAATCTCGTAGGAATTCCGTCAAAGGGAGATAAAGAAATATTTTTAGTATTGTAGTAAACAAATATTGATAAAACATGAAGCCCACTTCTATGACTTCACACCATTTCAACTCTGTCTGACCACCAAAAATTCAGCTGTTGTGCTCTAATTTCCGAACTAGATAATTTGTGGTTTACCCAAGATCACAGTAAATGCACAAACAGTGTGTGAAATCCTTTGATCATGGCAAATTCATCGATTGAGACACAAATTATTAGATTGTGTTATTGCTTCGTAGTCTTTCTGTCTTGCAAGACGTTGATCCATTCTTGCGATCGCTGTTCAGCATTTTTCTTCAACACAACAACCTCATTGTAATGCAAGTTGAAGAGTCTCCGCGATGTACAAGAAATTGGTAAAAAAAAACTCAGAGTATTTCGGTACGATGAAGCCCCACACGTTGAGGAGAGTGAAAGAGTTACACATGCCTGAGTAGCATAATTGAGTGCGCGAATCATCAGCTGGAAAACAAAACACCATCAATTTCATCACATTGTGCGCTCCAGCGGGGGAAAATTGCTCCCAAATTCAACTATCCAGAGTGTCTCGATTGCACAATCACACAAAAAACAACTTGGTCATTTCATTTGCAAATTTTTCCATACCCATCCCATTAAACACTCTCTCAAAGCATATTTCTTTCAATTCCACCCAGCTTTATAATCGGAATTCACGAGCCAAAGAAGGTGTGTAAAGACGACGAACAGAGACGCCCTAAAATCTCAGTCATGTACTTGTGCCCTCTTGCAATAAATGACGAATTTTATGAGCCACTCTCACACCCCTAAGCCCCAGACTCAAATATACCCCCAAGAAGGGCCAACATTGAAGCCACACACCGACCACATTGAGGCGAACCTCTGAAGACGCCATGGGAAAGGTGCAAAAGTGAACTTGGGGGTTCAAATGTGCTTACACAGTGAGACATTTGGGGAGACGAGAATACAGAGAACGGGCGATGAATGAGGGCAATATTGGTGGAGGGAAAAAGAAATTCCACTATTGCGTGCTTCATTCCTTTTTCCCTCCTGAGTCACTCTTTCGACTCTCGCTCTCTCTCACCCTTTTTGCGACTTCTTGCAATTTTCAAGTGTGACACAAAGGAAATCCACACTCACGCCAACATTTATAGCAACACTCGCTCTGCAATATGCCATTTGAGAGGAAACACATCCACATCTAATCCACATCACTTTACGATGCAAGCAACAAATCGATTTTCCCTGTGAACTGCCCTCATCGCGACTTAAATTATGAACGAAGCGGTGTGGAAAGTTACTCTGTTGATTTTTTTTTCGTTTTTGGTAATGAATTCCCTTCAAGGCTGTGAAACAAGCAGTAGCATATGTAATAAAATAGTTTTATGCATTGGAAATGGGATTGCAGAGGACGAAATGCATGCAAGTTTGTGAAAATGCACGAAAAGGAGAGTGAAGGCGTTGTGAGGGAAAATTTTTACTGCAATAAAAGGAAACCTTTCCACAAAACGTCTAGACACAACGATCAAAATTTGATCTTTCTATACCCTAATTGACACGGTGCTTGACTCGATCGTTGCAAGAATATGCAGATCATTTGGAAATTGGAAGGAAGAAGCTAGTAAAAAAAAAACACCGAAATTCCCACATGCAAATCTGCTCTAAATGATGAAGCAAAGACAAACAAAGCATCATTTAGAGAAAACAGAATTATAACCCTAACATATTACGCGAAACTACACCTCATGTTTAGTGTTTGGTTCACAGTTTTATTTTTAGGCCGCAAATCTGCAATGGGATTTTTCAACCTGAATACCGTGCGTATTTCTCATTACTCTCTCTCGCTTTTGCCGCCCATTCAAATTTGGGGAGCGGTGTTGAAAAAGGAAGGAAACAATAGAAAGCCCAAAAGCGTGCCGAAAAACCCTTTCATATACTCGCGAGAGTGATTAAAACAAAATCCATTCAAATGAGCTCAAAGTCAATTTGCCAGTGAGATACGAAACATGGAAAATGCATGGAAAATCAATCTGGGGCGCTAAATCAATTTGGCAATTGAAAATAAATGTAAAAGTGCGTCTAGACGTACTTTTTCTCAATCAAATCGCCAGTGTTACATTTATGCGTGAGTGAGTGGTTTGTATATCGGTGGAATTGTTGTTGGGAGTGTCTCTGGGATTTCTTGTCTTGACTCACGGCACAAAGTGTCTCTTTGTGTGTGGCGCCGAGAGAAAGGGAAGGAACTGAGAAATGTGCCTACACAACAATGAGACAATTATGTTCGCCATCGGACAGTGAGAAGAATCAAAAGAATTCTTGTAGTGGAAAAATTCCTTCTTGGGCGCAATTTCTCATTGGCCCGTTTCCCAGCTACCAGCTGTCGTGGAGCATGAAGAAAATTGCCCCCCTGAGCTTCTAGCTCGAGCCAGAGGAGCCAGTTTGGCTTTTCTTACGGCACTCTGATGTGACGCAGTGTTTATGCTGGAGTTATTATGCAACATGAGCAACAGCGAGAGGAGAAAATAGAGATCAAAGTCGAGACAAAGAGAGACTTGTGTGACATTTTCTTATCGTCTTTCTCTCCTCGCCTTCCCTCTTTCACTCTCCAGATGCACACACGAGATGCTGCCTTTATGCCCAGACTCTCACTCTCCCAGTCAATGCGCCAATGTGTGTGCGTTTGAGGAAGTCATCTGCAGATGACTGGCAAGGTTTTTTGCCCGCGAATTACCCCTCGGGGGCGCCTTTGTGGCCCCTCCGCGATGGCCAAGGAGTCGCGCGAGTAGAGAAAAACAGAGGGAAAATCAATATCCGCACTCAATCAATATTTCGTGTGTTTGCCCGTGTGGGCGAATGGAGTGGTACGTTGAGAAAAAGACCATTTATTTACCTCTGCGGGTCCACCTCCGCTTCCACACCTGCCCAATCAACTCCGCGGATGGATTAATGGATTGAAATTCTTTTGGAGTCGCTGCTCGTCTGCGTGGGAGACACACTTTTCAGGCTACTCCTGTGGCGCCTGTCCTTGCTTTCTCTGCCTTCACACACACCATCGATTTCCTCCTGGCCAAGACCTCCTGGTCATTCCACTTGGCCACACACACAACTGGCGAGCACTCTTCCACGGCGCCCTCCGAATTGACCTCAAAAAGCCCTGCGACACAAGAGATTCTTTCTTTGAGACTCACGTTTCAACTCAGACTTTTTTTCACATTTCCCACACTGGCTCCGAACACTCTACTTGTCCACGCACAGCTTGCACATATTATCTGCCACTCGCGCTCCCTCCAATGTCTCTAAACGGAGATTTTTCTCGGACCACGGAAAAATCTCGTCTGACTTTGCCCTCTGTGTTTTTTCTGTGTTGAAAATCAGAGACAGCTGTCACAGACAGACCCAGTGGACTGCTCCACTGCACAACAAAGCATGCGAGAGCCGCCACGAATACACACACTATTCACCTATTCACCATATGCGCCCATGAGGGAAGGCTCAAAATGCCACTCCACAGCCGGGATTTCAACTTCCATGCGACCATGGCGCCTCTACCGGAGAATAGAGCAGCGCTGAGCAAGTACGGATTCAAAAGGAATTGAGAGGCCAACAAACCACTTTTCACTCATTTTCGTCACAAGGAATTTCAAAGATGAAAATTCACAGAAAAAATGGTTTCTTTACGTCTATCTACAGTTGATACTTTTCCAAAACCGTTGGTCATCAATCCTCATTTTCTGCTCTTCTTCTATTAATTATCCAGCGGAAAAATCATTCATGTTTAGAAATGCCAGTTACATTACCACATTACGAATTTATTCATTGCCTCTTTCTTCTTCTTCACGTATAAAAATGAAAATGATTACACCTAGTTCATATATAAATAGTCAATAGTGAGATTATATGTAATGTCTAAAGGGGATTGGGATTTAAGCTACGACGAGGAATTGCAAATCTCTTAGTACTTATCACCACTCTCCGGGACAGGAGCGTGATGCTCTCCACACTTTCCATTCACAGCGGCCACCTCAAGCTGCTTGGCCACCACAACGCTCGCGGTGGTCTTTGGAGGGATGTAAAACCACCAGGCGCCGAGGAAGAAGATCACTGAACAGATTTTCCCGATGAACGCGAGCGCAAGCATATATCGACTCATGTAAAGGTTGTCATAGACGAGACAGGCGCCGAATTTGTCGCAGGATTCCTGCCACAAAATGCAGGACTCGTCGATGAGTGAGCCAAAGATCATAGGAGCTGGAATTGTGCCCAAGATGCGCACTTTGATCCACTGAATTCCGAGCGCGAATGAGCGCTGATCATCGTGGACGCAGCGCAGAGTGGCAGAAAGAGCGGGCATCGTGGCCAGGAAGGTGAAGAACATCACGAAGAAGCAGAGACTCACAAATACCCACAGATGATTGCACGTTGAGTCGCACATCGTGTTGATAGCCTCATAGCCGAAACCTGAGGAATTGCCCATGATACAGTCGCAGTTGAGGTAGATTTTGGACTGATCCAGACTCCTCTCCGTCTCGCATCCGGCGTGACAAGGTGAGTAGTACATTATGCCGTCTATTCCACAGACAGGATCGTAGTGCATCTTGCTGCATGAGCACTTGCTATTGCAAGAGTTCACTAAATTAAGCTCATTGTTGGAAATCTCTGTCTCATCTGTCCGGTATGGCGTTGTAACACCAGCAAAATTCAGATTTGGACACGATAAGAAGAAGCAAACCGTGAAGAGACTGGCAAATAATGTCGCCACGAGGCATAGTTTGATAATTCCAGCACAGGAAAGGTTCAACTTCTTCACCAAATACCCTCCAAGGAAAGTGCCTCCGCCTCCAGCAGGAACTGTAATGATTCCCATCAGTAGTGCAGACCACACCGCTGTGACGCTGAATTGATTCTCAATCTGTTTGGGCAGGAAAGCGGCAAATCCAGCAATTATCAGTCCCTCAGATGCTCCAGCGAGGTTAAGGAAGAAGAATGTCGGATTCTTCAGCAGACTGCACAGAGCTTTGGGCATTTCCTTGATTTTGGAAAACTTCTGAGTCTCAGAATTTCCACTGTCGTGCGCCTCAGAGACTCTCTCCAGGCGCAACTCATCTGCACCAGGGAGAGACGGTGGGAAAGCCAAGATGGGAATAGAGAGCATAAGGCAAAACACCGCCATAAATACGAATCCAACCCACCAAGCGCCAACCCAAACCTTGCTTTCAGGCGTGAGGCCAAATCTGCAATGAGACAACCAATATGGATGAATTAATAATAGGCAATTTGCACTCTTACCTCTCTCGAGACCTCTTCTTAAAGATAAAAAACGACACCCTCATCATCTTCCCGCCCACGAGAGCGCCCAAAGAAAGACGCAATGAAAGCATAGATGAAGAGCCAAAAAGTAAATTCATTCATATTTCCCTGCGGTGTTATTCAGCAAATATTCCAGCCACCCTCCCAGGCATTCATTGGAAAAAGTCATCATATATTTACATTTATTAACCCTCACCCTCGCGCCATCGATGCCATGAACCAAGAGATGCCGCTTAAAAACTCCCTTTTTATCCTTAAGAGTAAAATAAATATATTTTCAAGTCAGCGTTCTCACACTCGGTCTGCACGAGTGAAAGGACGATTTTTTCGAATAAAGGCAAAGTCTGGGAAAATCTTCTTTATTTTCATTACATAACGAGCTCTCTCCGGACACATCCTTTGAGGAAACCCCTCAAAACATACACCATGAAAATTCTTCTCCACGCAAGGATAATATTTTTCATTTGCCACATAAAATTCTGTCTTCTCACCCACCCCTAAATTGTCAAGTATCTCTCTCCTCATTTAATTCCTCCCACCCTTTTGCAGCATATCACTAGAGACAATCTCATGGTGCGCCACCAGAAATATCCGTGTAATATTATTAAAATAATATGTTGAGGAAAATTCGAGGGGAGGCGGAAACGGTGGGAAAAAGGTTAAAATATCACACCCTTCGCGCCACAGCCATTTAGCACTCCCCTCAGCCTCAGTGAAATATTAAATTGGCGGAGGTATAATGCAATTTGGAGCTTTTTATGTCACACGAGAAAAGTGAGAAAAAATCTTTTTGGTGAACACATTCCGAAAAGACTCCACTGGGGTGGAAAATTCCATTTCAAATTCAATTTATACTAAGAGAACATCTCCAGCGATTAAAGAAAGTGAAATTGGATTATAAGATCAATCACATGGCCATAATTCAATGAGTTCCTACATTAATGCATTCTCCGGATGTGATTCAACTTATCTGCCCATTTCATTTCCAATGGACGTTGTTATTACAGAAGGTTGCAAGGATTACACGGAGAACCTACTAAAAACTTTAAATGAAAAATATTCTACGGTCGCTGGTCGTCTTCATTAAAATTTCCATCAAAATTAAGCACATCCAGGACAAATCCTCTGAGGGATTGTCACTGAAATTAACTCCGAAAACTTTAATATTTATTACCACCTCTGTATACATCTATTGTAATTTAATACTCACACGAGAGGATCCACTGAAACCATGTCCGTGTAGAAGAGGAGCAATTGACCCCCCACAACATATCCAACAGCTGGTCCTATGATTGCAGTCGTGTAGTAAATCCCTAAAGGAGAGAGAGACAGACACACAAGTGAGAATTAGTCTCCTCAAGTGTCGATAAATATTCCCTCCATTCTCTGGGTGCAATTCTTTGGGTATTCATGAGAAAAAGAGGAGCAAAAATGCTCTCAAAGCTCCCATAGCACACAATATGTGCTCATCGGGGGTGCTTTATGCAAATTTATGGACGTTTTAAGTGTCACAGGTGGTTTTCAACTCATTCAAACAATTTATTGCGCCAATGAGTTTCCCATCTACAATTTTTCACCCCGTTTCTCTCTGTCCGCCTTCGTCAGCAATAGAAGTGCACTTGAGTGCAGGAAAGCTTTCAAGTGGCGACAGACTTTAAGGTCTCTCTCATTTTCCCCCAAATAACGAACATTTCGTCAGACTTCCTCTTCTAGCCTCCAGAGAAAATTTCAATCGCACCGCGAAATTATTATTTGCATTTCGATGGCTTTCCACCATAAGAAAATGATTCCACCTTACCTAAGTACACAGAAGACATCTTCTTGGAGACATTCTCGTCAATATAGGTGACACCCAGTGTGTAGAGGGGCGATGCACCGGCTCCATGGAGCAATTGCGCGATGAAGAAGAGCCACACGTTCCACGATAAATCCTCATGGGAGTCATCAATTCCATTTTCACCCGTGACAATACATAAATCCGAGGCTGAATTTCCATGCTGCTCGAGGGGACGGCGTTGGGCATGGAAAAAAGAGGAGGAGACGCTGTGTGAGAAACCGTAATGAGATGTGAACAACCATCTGTTGACTCCCAGTGAGTGGTATCAACAGGAGGAGAAGCCAAATAGCCGTGGGCAGCTTGTTGCCACTTTTGGCAAATGCTTTCAACGTGTCGCTATTTTTCAGTTAATTAAAAAGAGAGCTTCTCACCGGCGCCCGGACGGAGGTAAACCCTAAGGAAAAACTTAATTTTTATTTATGAGACTTAGGCTTTACGAGAGGTAAAAAATTACACCTCTTACTCTCAATGGAAACAAACATTTGCAGGAGATGTTAATCCATTACGTTAATATGTCAAGTTCTGCGGAAAATTCACATCTCTAAGATTAAAATGCAGAAGCGAAAAAATTACTTCAAAAAAAATCTGCGATCCTTAAAATTGAACTCTGCACAACTTAGGCATTTTAGAAAAATTTCCAATGATAGAAGATTTAAAAAAAAACAGAATTAAAAATCACTCTAATCTGATTTATATCGGTAAAAAGCAATCCATCCTCCCTGATGGACAACATTATTCAATTAAGGGCTACTCATGAAAATTTACGAGATATGAAAATGAACAGCATCCTGACATGATAGCGAGATGCGCTGGAGTGTGGGCTGAGATGTCTTGTTAATTAACAAATGACACACACTCACCGGAGAGGAGGAGTTTGTCACATTGAGTCCCGATGGACAGATGTTGCTATCACTCCCCGTCGCCCTGTAGTGTCCAACGAGGAAGTGCGGCAGGGAGAAGGTGAAAGAGCCCATCGCCATCAAGATGACTCCCAGTCCAATCCACAGGGGCTTCGATGCTCCCACTCGGCCGCCGAAGTATGTCACAGGAACAAGACAGAGAAACGACGCGATATCATATCCGCTCGCCACGAGGCCAGTTTGCGAGGACTTTAGACCAAAGCGACGCTCAATGGTCGTGATGACAACGTTGATAAATCCATTGACAACTAATCCTGCGGGGTGGAAGAGATGGAAGGGGTGTTTATTAAATGTACAAATTACTTCACACTTGAAGCCTCAGGGTAACTGATTCTTGGCGGTGGGCGCAGGGACAAGAGCAGTGAACTTTATTACACATTTTCCAGGTAATAAAGCTCACAATAAGATGGTGTGGGAGGGAATCACCTCCAGGTAAACAATAATACAAGCTGGGAGAGGAAAACAATGCGAGAGAGTTAGGGAGTTGCTAAGCGATTCCAAACTGGAAACTTCAGTAATGCCCATTTTCTCCACTGACAACCTGTCGATAACGTCGATTTTCCTCATTTTTGTCTATTATTTCCTTCCTTTTTGCCTTCCTCAACTCCTGGGATAACACAATAATAGCCCACTATTGGATTAAGTCCTGTGAGAAAATATTTTCCGCAGGATATCACATTCACCAAATATTCTTTGCTAACATTTCACTCCCTCTTTGACATTTTCATGTCCGCAAGATTTCCGGATTTCATGACATTTAATAAAGTTTTCTCTGCCTCAAGATCAAATTGTAAGAATTTGTCCAATCTCACGCAGAATTGCAATGAAAGGGGCAACATAAAAAAGGATCAAATGATTCATTTCAATTCACTTTCCATGACGCTAAATATAACCAAAGAAGGAAGGAAGGAAGGAAGGAAGAAATACTGTGTCCAGCGTGTCCAGTCTATTTCCGACGTGATGGATGTCAGGAGATTTAAGTGATTGTGGACACAATACTACCATTAAATGCCCTAAAGTGGTCATCTTCACACCCTCTTACTCAAATTCATCCCACCCCAAAGCATTCACCCTTATGGACTTTTGATGTTCACCTTCAATTTCAAGGTGAATTGAGCACTATGAAGCAGGAAATAAGAGGAAAATGCTCAAAAATGAATTTTAGATATTCTCCATCAGTGGGGTGTTTTTTGAAATGTGTTATTTCTTCAATACGCAGGAAATTGAAGTGTTATTTCTGTGGCATTCAACCCCCGCCGTAAACACATTAATGTCCCTTTCCTGAGTGGGTGGGCCGTTGCAGGAGTGTGCAAAGGACATTTCTAAGATGGATTCTTTGTCATTCGACACACATAGAAAGAAAATTCATCTAAACTTCCTTCCGATAGGATTTCAACTTATTTGAAAGAGAACTTTTGCAACTTCTAAACGCTTTCCTTTCAAACTGCTGAAGTGTTATTAAAAATTCTAATGGATGGTGTCATTGAACAGCCCTCAGCAATATTTATTTAGAGGGTGGAATGGAAATAATTAAAATTCCAATATGCGACAAGAAAAAAGCCCATAAATTGTGTATGATCCACCCCTTAGATAGTGATTTGATGCACAAGAGATAGTCAATGTTTTCCACTCTCCTCCCTTCTGGCCAATGCCTCTATACAAACACTCTCAACCCTCGGCCTCAAATGGGCGCGAGCGAGAGTATTGTTGTTGACAAACCTCAAAATGTGTCTCTTGCGTTAATTCACATGCCACAGTCAAGCTGGAGGAAAGTTTCTTGGTGAAAATTGCAATGTCACAAACACTTAATGCTTTCCGCCTCTCGAAGCGGCCCTTGCAAAAATTTTCTCACACACTCTCTCCGTGCTGAAATTGCAAATCTGGTGGATCATTTTAGCCTCCCCCGTCATCCCCAACCCGCAGGGAAATGGAGCAAAGTGCCTCATCTGCGAAGAAGAGGGATCAACTCCGAGGGAATGATGTGTGAAACATGATAATATTGAGGCTGAGAAAATTTGGAATAATAAAAAGATCATCTTCCACCCTTTCCACCCTGACTATTGTCTCTGATTCTTAGTCATCAGCCATTTCCACTTTGGAAATCACATTGGGATTTAGTGGTGGAAAATGAGCTCCAGATAGAAATTGAGGCATTTAAACGAGGGGAGATGACTAATGCAATATCCTCGCATTTTGGCTGCAATTGTGTGTGCAATATTCAACCGCTCATCGCAATGTCTTCATAGAGAAATTATCTTACGATCTAGACGACACTGCTCTTCATGAATAGTCAAAAATATCTACTGGCTCACATTTCAGCTGGAGAGAATAATAATTGCAGGGGATATTACAAAATTCCACAGCACTTTATGTACTTTAGAGTTAATTCTTCACCCCCTTCTTCACTCCTTAGTCAAGCCATTCGCTGGAAATATCCGTTTCCTTCTAGACCCCTCATCTTGAGCTCTTGAATGCGAAAAGGCAGCCCCGCAGGGAGAGCTAGTTTGTGCCCCAAATCTCCCCAGAACTTTCAATTCCACCACCCACAAGAGGAAAATGAGTAGATAAATGACAAAAACGTGACTCTGCTAAATGTGATTGCTCGATATTTCACAACTCTACACGCCAAGAGTTGAAGTGAAATGATCCCAAAAAGTTGCTCCTTTCTCACCACCAGCAAACGCGTTACCCCATCCCCAAGAAATTGTGCTAAAATTAATAATAAAATCCATCGAATTTCCTCGACCGACTGATTCTCTCTCATTCTTCTAGACCAGTATTTTTATGTGCCTTTTAGAATGAATCATGTTTATTAAAATCCTCCACCTCTTGAGCGGAAATTACCGATCTTTTATCTCGCCCAGACTCCACTAAGCACACACCCGAGACAATACAATAAATTTCAATTGAACAGTGAAATTTTGTGTGGCGTCTTTTGTGGCCAATTCAACAGTCAATAAATTAATGCCGCGAGAGAAAAGACGAGTGGCCGAGAGATGTGGGAGGCGAGAATTAATTTACTCACCCTGAACAGCTCCTGCCCAGCACAGCCAGAAGAGAGCCCACTTGGGCGACATAAAGCGCTCAAGGCATCGGGGCCTGAATCTGAACCAGCCGCAGGCTTTTGAACTCTCCTGAGGACCTCCTGGATCTCCTCCCGTGTTTATAGGAATGCTCTGTGTTGACATATTTCACAATTATCCACACTCTCTCTCTCTCTCTCTCTCTCTCTTCCTCCAATGACTTCACAACCGCATAAATATATTGATAAAACGCGAAGAAAAAATCCCTACGGACTCATAATTCCCACTCTGTAGAAGAATTGAAATCTTTCCACTTAACCCCACCGCCAAGACGCGTCTGAAAGCCCCCAGAGTCTCCGTCCGTCTAGCTCAACTCGCGATGAGCAACTGAAGTGTGTGAGAAAGTGATCACCAAGTGGATGCTCTCGAGGCTTCACGCCGAAATCCCATGATAATATGAGACGGCGCGTACTACGAACCCCCGACCTCTCCGCCCCCGTCCAAAACAACCACTTTCATTCACAATATTTGAACTCGCGAGAGTCTGCGCATGGCACGGAATTAATTCTCGGACAGAGTGGGGAGTTTAAGACACTGAAGAATTCTTTCAGTTGCATTCAGATTGAGTTCTTGCGTCTCGATTCTTTGAGAGTGAGTGGCATATCTGATGGGTAAACATTTTGCAGGAAGATTTATGCCGAAACTTTCCCCTTTTCCACTTCACGCAGAGTCTATTCTACGACTTGGAGGAAAAGTGGCGCTTTTTTCTACGAGTGACCGGAATGAAGAGAATAGGTAGGATTTTACACAGACAAGATGAAACAATTGAAGTAAACAATATATTTTCAAAAAACTTTAGGCACACTTTTCTACAGACTCAAAAAATAATATTCAATAATTTTATACAACATTATATATCAAAAAGATAATGAAAGCCCAACCCATTGTAGTCATATATAACACCTTAAACGACTTTAAACGTGATCTCCTTATCAATATTCATATTTCTCAACACCCCACCACTTTTCAAAGTCTTTCTAAGAATAGTATTTCAAGGCGACTTTTACATTTCTCATTAAATCTCTATGACACTCCCTGATAATTCATATAATCTTTGGACTATCTAAATTAGATCATGATATTGCTGGCCTAAGTCTTCACTTTGCAAACTATCCTGGTACAGTTTGGAATGTCTGGGCACTTTAGAGATACTTTCAATGGGGAGCATCTTCCCAACTGATATCTCGCAGCCCTGCAAAGCGTGTTTGTCTCTCCGCGCCAAACACACATCAACTGTTAGACAATGCACGAAATTTTATTTCATTATAGATAAGATTGTGTCCGTTTGTTTGCCGGTTTGCAATAAAAATCTCAGGCTATCTTCCATCCTCATCCCGCGGAAGTCAACCTTCACTACTCAAAACTACTCTCCACTACTTTGGACATGGTAAGACAGAATCACATGCGTTACCTTGCTAAATGCAGAAATCTTTGAGGACACAGCTTTCGCAGGATTTATCACTGCGGTTTAGTCTTCCTCATCGCGCGATTCACTTTGGACTCCGAGGGACGTCCCAGTTCTTCGCAGATGTATTTCCCAACATTCACAAGTTTCTCCAGATTCACGCCAGTTTCTATGCCCAATCCATGAAGCATATAGACAACATCCTCAGTGGCGGCATTGCCAGAAGCTCCGCGAGCATAGGGACATCCTCCAAGTCCAGACACCGAAGAATCAACCACAGAAATTCCGTATTCCAGGGACGTGAGAATATTTGCCAAGGCTTGTCCGTAGGTATCGTGACAATGCACGGCCAATTTATCTGCCGGGATGACCTTCAACACTTCCTGCAACATCTTTGACATGGTTCCCGGTGTTCCCACACCAATGGTGTCTCCCAAACTGATCTCATAGCAACCCATGTCCAGCAACTGCTTAGATACTCGCGCCACGGCTTGAGGTTCGATGGCGCCTTCGTAGGGACAACCAATAACAGTGGACACGTATCCACGGACGCGCACATTTGCCTTCTTGGCAGCATCCAACACTACCCTGAAGCGTTCAATGCTCTCCGCCGTGGAACAATTGGTGTTCTTCTGGGAGAAGCTCTCTGAGGCTGCCCCAAAAACTGCCACCTCCGTCGCCCCAGCCGCCAGAGCTGCCTCGAAGCCCTTGATATTTGGCGTGAGAACAGGATATGAGACACCCGCCTTCTTCGCAATCCCCTTCAGCACCTCCATATTGTCCGCCATCTGTGGCACCCACTTTGGGCTGACGAAACTGCAAAAGACATGAGAAGAGAAATTAGCTCGAGAATTTCAGTGAAATCGTGTCTCTCGGCAACCTTGTAGCCTCAATGGTCTTAAGGCCAGTGTCCGACAGGCGATTTATGAGTTCTATTTTGGTAGCAGCTGGCAGGATCTTTGGCTCATTTTGGAGCCCATCCCTGGGGCCCACCTCCACGATGCGTACGCTCTTTGGCCAGGAACTTTTCTGAGTCTTGCGGAAGAGAAAAACATCCACGTGAGTCACCCTGTGACATTGAAGGTGATGAAAAGTACGCCTCACCGAGAAAAATCGTCGACTCCCCAAACGTCTGAGGTAAGGATGACTGGACAAGTACTGGAGACTGCTGGTGATTTTCATCTTGGAGCTCTAAACTACACAGAAGGCACGAAATTATGTAATTCCAACTCCCAAAGACTCTTTCAAAACAATCCTCGCCGACCTCGCCGCGAGAAGCAGTTGGCAACACTGCCACTTGACAGAGTGAGGTTCTGCATGCTGGTGGCGTGTTTTTCTGGCCTCCTGGACAATTTTCTCGCCGGTTAAATGAGAATCCGTCAAATTCGAGGGGTTCCCAAGTGGCAAGTGATGCTCACAATCGCTGTTGGTGTTATTGGAGGCACTTACATTTACAGACCACTGATAATCAAGTATCATCAGCAATCCCAAGCACCCGGAAGTCTTGGAGAGAATTCCGCAGCCACAAGTAGTAACACACCACAAAACTAGTGTACTTATCAAGTAAGACTCATGACTTAGACACTTGGAATGCGCACTAATCACTCTAATCATGTGAACAGGTGAAAATGGCTCCGAGAAAAGCGCCGGGAATCTTTACGGGACTCTTTGGAATCACCTGTGTCACAGTACTCATATGTATGAGTTACAAAATCTTCATCCAGCCTTACACGCACACGAAGCGCCTGAGAGAAGCGGAAGAGTATGCAGAGTATATCTACAGACGTGAACAGGCAGCCAAAAGTCAGTCTCATGAGTAGTTTTCAATCTTACAGAATTGAAGAAAATAGCGAAAATAGCAATTGGATTAATTATTTTGCTTTTAAATTTAGATAAAAAGTGCATTAGCATTGTCTCAGATCACAGAGGAAACTCTAAATTGAGGATATTGCATGATCATTAATGAGAGGATGCATTTATCGATTTCTGGATGATTGCCAAGTACAAAACGATCAATCAGAAGGGATCATTTGTAAATCATTCTCAAATTATGATCGTAATTTTTTGCGCCACATTTTCGACTATTTGTTTGTTCAAATATGGGGAGAGAATAGCTCAACAAAGAAAGATTAATTGTCTGAGAGCAGATATAATTGTCGAGAAACTGTGAGATGCAAACGAGAGAAGGCGCACCGACGAAAAATTCAATTTGGCGAATCTTCAAGTGAGCCAACGAGCTCAACACAGATTTAATTCTCATCAGTTGATCGTCTCAATTCCACCGCGACGGTTCTCATAGAGACTGTAAAATCCCGGGAAGATCTTTTATATTCAGTGCGTCCTAATTATCCAAATTATTCATCCAAAAAAGTGAAATTCTCGAAGGATCATTATCCCAAAGATGTTGAGTATGTGAAAATGTAATAAATTCTTTCGCGATAACGAATAAAGAGATTCTTGGGCGATATTGAATGATCACTTTTTTCATCTCCACTCTCTTTCTCATGTGAAAAAGAGTGAAACCAGTGAAAATATGTAGCTATTTTTAAATAAATGTAGTGTCCATATCAGTTGTATGTTTTCCTATGTCGTGTGGATATAAAAAAGTGAATCTCGATCTTACGCAATCGCATAGTTTTCAATTTGAAGAGAAAGAAAGAAACAAGTGTGAAGAAGGAGCTCAATTTCGGGAGACATCAAGGACAGAGGTGGCCAGGAATACGCACAAGTCATCGAGCTCTCACACTTGTTCCAATTCCCTTGAGACGAGCGCTCTCTCGCTCAGCAGAATGGACTGATATTCGGAAGAGCCAGGCAAAAGGTATATTATATACAGAGATCATTCGCGTGAGGAAGCGTTTGTGTGTGAATTTTAGGGACAGGAGCATCCACAAGATTCACTTGAATAGAGTAGGTCGTCAGAATTCTCTTTTGATGATTTAATAATGCCGCCTCTCTTTCTCTTCGCGCATACTTGTGCGAAAAAGACGAGTCCAAAAATAATTTTCTCTCACTACTGCGTCACGCGGAACGTCTTTTCAAGTTTTCCCATCCACCAGCCGCCATCCACACACCATTCGGCCATACATCCTCTCCGTAAGAGCTCTGGCTCTATGAATATTCACAGCGTCTGCATTCAATTTTCTCTATATCGACTTTTCTATCTTGTTAAAACATTTCATTTCCCCCAGAAAATCAATTTTCCATTGTTTAAAAAATTTGCGATATGAACATTTCAACAAAATTTTCCATCATTCGCACATTAAAATAATTCAAAAGAATATGAATATCATCAAATGTCCTTTACTCGATTTCTTTGACAAAATAAATGTTACTTTCGAAATTCATATTACCAGAAAATATGTAATGTGATAAAACATTCGATATAGATTATTTTAACCTCTCCTAATGCTTGTTCAGTAGAATCCCAACTCGTATAAGTTCAGTACACTTACAGACTTCATCACATGTTTTCCCTTGAAATATCAACCAATCACCTTCTCCACACAGGGAAAAAATATCCATAAATTTTCCAACGATAAACCTTCAGAATTTTTCTCTCCCAGAAAATATGCCTGTTCTGAATAAAATCCTACGGAAGAGGGTCGATCACACAATAAATAAATTCCTTCTGGCGAGTATAAAATTAAAATTACACTAAATATTCGTAACAGACATTAGACACGAATTGTACACTTGAAAGTGTGTCTCTAAAAATACCATTGTGAATTGTAACGGCAGTAATACAATTCTCATTTCACGACGATGATCGAGTGAATGTGTGAAAAGATGTGCGAAATGCATCTTGGCGCCAAGACGCAGAAAAAATGATCTGATTCTCATTCCAGGACGCAATGCATCACTTGTACCCAATTTCCAAAGGTGATCAGCTGTGTCCACTGGGATTTCATCCCCAGGTGCGATGGCCAACACGTTGTAAAAGATGTTTCCGGGACTACAAAGAGCACGGTGGAAAGAGGAATCCCGAGGATGTCATTGCATCCTCACCCAATCTCTCTGAATCCAGCTCAAAACCACCTGCACGAATATGGACATCCACTCAAAATCTCTCAACCATCCCCAGTCCCGAGCCTGGTAAGTTTCACGACGTCAAAACTCAACGGCTGTTTCAACTTCGTCATTAAATTAATGCCTATATCGTCAATTTTATGATCGTCTTGAATGGGAGTCGCGATAAATATCTCATCAAACACCAAATATCATACTAAAGCATCTCCTTTACAGTCTCCAATCAGCCCACAATTCGACGGAGACCCGCCTCGTGGACCTCCACACCAGACTTAGCAGATGATGAGAAGCAGTCCGGGGAAACGAATGCTGATGTCGTGGTTAATTTGCCCAGGAGACGACACACCACAGCGATTGTCGAGGAGACAAATGACGAGCCACCCAATGTGACCATCAAACGTCCACCACTTCCGCCATCAGCCGCGAAAACTGCCTCAGATATTCCAAATGATCTCTTGATTTACAAGAGTGATTCCCTCGCAGAGCGCTATCGCAAGATGCAGGCCATGAAGCAGCGCCAGAATAGCACGGGTAGCAGCAGGGAGTCAAGTCGTGAGAGATCAGTGCCCAGAAAAGCGGAGGAGAAAGATAAATCCCCATCTCCAGCCGTTCCCAAAAAAGACATCGAACAGAAAATCTCTGAGGAGCAGAAAAAAGCGACAGTTGAGAAGCGTGTTCGTCAAAGGAGTGTAGAAACTGTCGAAGAAACACCACCAGAAAGGCGAACGAGAGTGAGAAGCACAGCAGAAGTTCCTGATGCACCAGCCAAGAAGCCTCCTGTGGTAAAAACTACCACGAAACCTTCACCAAAACCAGTTACACCAAAGACAGAATCCAAAATTACCAACCAAGACATTCAGTTCCTCATCCACGTGAAGAACAACAATAGTCAGAAGAAGCAGGAGGACGCCTTCTCCACTACCACAGACACAACAGATACCACTCTCGTGGCGGTGTCTGAGAAGGGTGATCGAAATCTCGTGGATCAAATTGAGAGTCTCAAGCAGGAACTGGAAACGACAAAGACACGCTGTGAGCGCGCTGAAAGAGATAAGAGTGATATTCTCCTGCGGAGGCTCGCCTCTATAGACACAGTCCCCAATCGAACGGCCGCTTCAGAGGCCCTCAAGCTGCAGCAGAAGGTCAATGAATTGAAGCAACAGGTAGAAGATCTGCGAGATGACAAACGTAGCCTGTCGCTGAAAGTCAAAGAACTCGAGGCAGATCTCGACGCTCGTCCATCAAAAAGTATTGAGCATGACCTCAAAATTAAGCTCAAACAAGCAGAATCTCTGTGCGAATCTCTGATGGATGAGAATGAGGACATCAAGAAGGAGTTGAAGAATATGGAATCGGAAATTGATGAGATGCAGGATAATTTCCGTGAGGAGCAAGCCGATGAGTATTCAAATGTCAAGAAAGAACTGGAGCAGACAACCAAAAATTGTCGCATTCTCTCGTTCAAGCTGAAGAAATCCGAAAGGAAAATTGAACAATTGGAAATGGAGAAGCAGGCACTCCAAGTGAGCGGTGACTTGCCGACGAAGATTCATCAGCTGGAAGAGGAACTCAAGTTGGCCAAAGATGTGGCAAAGCGCCTCCAAAGTGAGGCAGATACGAAGAAAAAGACACCGAGCCTTGGAAAAATAGGGAAATCTACATCAGCTGATGGAAAGATTACCAGAGAATCACTCACGAGGGGTGGATCTCAAGAAGATCCCAGCCAGTTACAGAGAGATCTTCAGGATTCCATGGAAAGAGAAGCTGATCTCAGGGAGCAATTGAAGTTTGCCGAGGAAGAGGTAAACAAACAGTATTTCTCTTACAAAAAGGAAAGTGGGAACTTAATTCTAACCACTCATTCCAGGCCGAAAGTTTCAGGAAGAAGTCATCACGAATTGAGGATGAAAATGAGTCCCTGATGATGCAACTCAAGAAGATGGCCTCAAAAGCTCGTGGTAAGGAATAAAACGTGCAATTGCATTGGGTGAAATTCGACCAAAACTCTTGTGCTTTCTTCCAGGAACAAAACTGGGAGCATCATCAAAGATCCGTTCAGTGGAAAAGGACGAGGGCATTTCAGATGAGGAAGATCCCGCTGAACTTCGTGTACTGCTCGAGCTTAATGAGCAAGAAGCTTCAGTGCTGAGAAGGAAGGTTGAAGAACTTGAGACGGGCAATGATAAGAAAGACAAGCAAATCAAAGAGCTCGAAGATCGACTTCAAACAGCCACAAAGGCGCAGAAGAATGAAGTGACTGCAGAGAAGCAAAAACTTCCCACGCTGATCTCAAAAACACCCGCAGGAATAAATGCTGCCAATGAAAAGAAGATCAAGAGCTTGGAAGAGGAATTAAGCACAACGAAAAAGAAACTTCAAGATAAAATTAAAGAAGTGCAGCAATTGCAGGATACAAAATCCAGCAAGGAGTCCCTAAAATCCCAAGACCCTGGTGACCTCAGTCTCAAGAGGCAGCTTCAAACAGTTGAATCGGAAGCTGCAGTTCTGCGTACAAAGTTGCAGAGTGTTGAACAAGAAAACGATAAAATCATGACAGAGAACAAAAAGTTACAACTTCAAGTGGCCAGAGGAGTCCGGAAAGACTCTACGCCGTCTGTCACAACTGTAAATTCTACGGGAAATGAGGATGAGTTGAAGAGAATTGAGCAAGAGCGAGATGATCTGAGTAAGAAATTGAAAGACATCTTGGAAGCTACAGCTGATAGTCTTCCAACAAGAGTGGCAAAGAAGTACACTGAAACCCTCACCAAATTCCAAATGAAGGCGATGATAGAAGACTTAGAGAAGGAAGTGATTCAATACAGAGCAATAGCTACAAAATGTGGAGCAGACAAACTCGATAAATTGGAAACAGACAATTCGAAACTCTCCACTCAATTGAAAGAGTCACAAGACAAGTTGAAGACGGCCAATTCAGAAATCAGTAAGTTAATGTTCTCAGTTTTTAAATTTAATAGAAACACACTAAATACATATATCTTTTCCTATTGCAGAAACTCTCAAGACAAAGGTGACAACGTCCACAAAGAATGGAGATGTCGAACTAAAGTTGAAGACTGCAGAAAAAGAGAATAACAATCTTGTGGATAAAGTAGCCGATCTTGAGGATAAAGTGTTCAAGCACGAGAGTCAAGTGAAACAATTACAGGCTTCGAATAAACTTCTGGAAAATCAAATATCTCTCAGCAAGGATGAAATCAAGAAATTACAGGACGATTTAGAGAAAGAGAAGAAAGAGAAAAATCGATGGGAGTCTAAAGTTGCTGATTTGGATGCTGATCTTCAGGCAGCAAGAAAAAATGCGGACAAAACAAAATCCAATCTTGAGAAAGAAATCACGAATCTTAAGAGCAAGTCATCCACTTCTGAAACTCCATCTAAAGTTGTGGCACAACTGAAAGAGAAGGTATCAGAATTGGAGTCAACAGTGGCGAAAGATGGAGAAAAATACAAGGACTTAACCGGAAAATATGAGCTCCTGGAAGAGGAGCACGTCTTGATAAAGGCCCAACTGACGAGTGAAAAGGAAAAAGCTCAGAGCGAAGTGGCCACGCTAAAGAAGAAACTCACTGAGGCAAAGGACAAGGATTCCAAGAGCAAATCAGAGACTGAAACACTCACAAAGAGACTATCGGAGGCCAAGGAGAAGATTACAGATTTGGAGGCACGAAATGTAAAGGTCACTGCTATTGAACTGGAAAGGAATCGCCTCAAATCTAGTCTTGAGGAGACTGAGAGATTGCACGAGAAACTGAAGAAGGAGAATGAAATGAATGCCGATCAAGTTGTGCAGCTGAAGAGAGAGAATGACGAGGCGAGGAAGAAATTGGATGATTTTGAGAGAGTTCACAAGGTTGAGAGATCACTGAATGACCAGAATGCAACATTAGAACAGGAAATCAAAAAGTTGCGAGTGAAAGTGAATAGCACGGAAACAGCCATGAAGTCTGAAGTGGCTTCGACACGTCTTCGGTACGAGCAACAAGTCACAAATCTCCAGTCTGAACTCTCCTCAATGCACAATCAGTGTGAGCGCTTTAAGAGGGACAGAGATACATTTAAGCAGCTTCTGGAAGGTGCCCAGAAAACCATACATGATTTGAAGCACTCCAGCGGACGACACAGTCGAGCCAGCATCCACAGTAGTGGAGATGAAGATGATAAATCCAGAATTGTATCACTAGAGCAGCAAGTTGGATGTCTGGAGGATGAACTCAGTGAATCTCGCCTCGAATGTAGCAAACTTAAGACGGAACTTGTCTCTGAGAAGACCAATTCTGAGATAAAGATTTCAGAGATGCAGTCTCAGCTCAATGAGTATGAGGAGGACAAAGTATTGGCCAGTGGCCGAACTAAGATTCCGGGGACAAAAACGCGCCTCGAGCTCTCGTGGCAAAAGGAGCGAGAGGAGCTGCAGCGACTGTTGTCTGAGACCTCCACTTTGGCCAGAGATCTTCGTCAGACTCTGTTTGAAGTGGAACGGGAAAGAGACAAGGAACGCCTAGAGATGCGTAGGAAGCTGGATCAATTGAAGAAGAACACCGAGGATGAGATGGAAGAGGGCCGGAAGAAGATTTCAGACCTCCAGTGTGATCTGCTCGAGTTGAGAGATGCTCATGCAAAACTGAGGACGGCTAATGAGAAACTCCGTCGGGAGCGTGATCGATATGAAAGGGAGCGAGAGAATGTATCCAAGAGACGCCTTGAGCAAGACGGGGAAAAGAAAGTAGGAGCTCTGCTGCAGACAGTTGATGAATTGGTCAAAATAGCGCCAGATTTGCAAATTGTGAGCTCCAATTCTGGCCACTCTGGATCCAATTCCAGCCATTTGGCACCCACTCCTATTCCTCGACGCAGCAAGAGTCGCAGCCCATCACCTGGACCTGCTCCCATCCAGATCTCCTCGGTATTGGCACGCTTGGCGGAGGCTTCTGAGGAGTTAAGGCGATACCAAAGAATATGTGAGGATGACAGAGAGAGAGAACGCATTCGTCGCGGTGGAATGAGAAGAGCCGCTTCCACTGAAAACGATGAAACTTCCAGCAGATTCTCAAAGCTATCACGATCCTCCACTCAGAATGGCAGCCTTTATCGCAAGAGCCTGTCTTTGGACCAGTCAATGCAGCATGAACAGCAAATGATCTGGAAAGAGGGCGATGACAGCATGTCTTCTCTGCAATCAATCGATTCTGAATTAGGTGGAATGGTGAGAGATTCGAGTCTAGATTCACGTCTCTCAGCTGGATCCACACAGAGTGACCTGCCGCGAGGCCCCAGGAAGAAGAAGCGAGGTATTATGGGCAAATTGCGAAGCTTAACCAAAACCAAGAGTATCGAGAGTGACGCATCAGTAAGTTGACTTTAAATATGCAGCTATAGAGATTGATATAATTGCATCCAATTCATTCACAGCAACAAGGTTCGGACTCTGATTTGAGTTTACCTGGAGATCGGGAGCGCAGCAAAAGGGATTTGAAGGGACGTCTCTCAGGAATGTTCAGGAGATCGCGCGGCAGTAGTATGGAGAAGACTCTCGATGATCTAAATCACCCCGTCGCTGTAACGACCATCGATCCCCACACTGATAATCCAGACGCTGTGAAGAAGGTGAGAATAATATCAAAATAGATTCTCAAAATTCTATTATAATGCTTACCAATCCTTTCAGGTCACCGTGAAACCACCAACCCCTCTTACGACTCCATCCACCCAGAGGAAAAACAAGTGAGGTATCAGCAGAATTTATGATAATCAACGCAATTAAATCTACTGTTAATGATAAAATAAACTCAAAGGGAAGATTTAAAAGTGCATCGCGTTCTTCATCACATGGACGGACACATCGCCAGAGATGACGGAGAGATTGCCAATGCTGTCCTCCGTTAGTGACAACTTTCGTCTCTCTGCCTCCACCAGAGCTGGCGGAAGTCGTTGAGTTTTGTATCTCGCCATACGTTTAGTGAGAGCAGGGGTTTTCTCCTGATCCAAATCGTTGCCAAGCAATTTCTGCATCTTCGGGCCACCGGGAATTTTGGGCATCACTCTCTCATCGTGCTGAACTGCATACGGAGCTGAGACACATGCCTTCTTCGGGAAAACCCTGTCCTTGGGTGGAGTGTTCATGTCAGATGACACATTTTCCTTCTCCTTGATCTTCGACTCCAAATAGCGGCTTCGAGGAGACCTTGCCCCATCCTCAATCTTCTCACACAACCCTTTAGTCGAAGCAATGAGTGGCATGACGGGAGTCTTGTGAATGTACGCACTAATGGGGCTCTTGATGTGATCCCAATTTTTGTTCCTTATTTGAGGAATCTTCGTAGGTTGTTTTGGTGTTGGCTTCTTAAAATCCAGCACAGGAGTCAACTTCTTGGGCACAGCTCCAGAAGAGCTACTCGATGAGGGCGTATTTAAATACAAAGGCATCTTCATCGGAAGCACTTTCTCGCTCTTCTTCATCAAATACTCAACTCGCTCAAGAGTGTCGTTGAAGTCTTGAGAAAGATTGAGACTTAGAGCTGATTGTTCCGCCTTCGACGATTGCGTGTCCGTTGATGGGGCCAAAGAGGACACATCATCTGCCACTGAATCTTCAGTAATCGCTTCGGATTGTTCTTCTTCATCCTTCTCTTGATCATCCGGTGCACTCTCATCAGACAATTCGATTACGTCATTCGCAGTGACTTCGTTTCCAGTTGCTTCCTCACTCGAAGCTGATGTCTCTGTCTCTTCATTGCCACTTGAAATCCTCGGAAGCGTTCGCGCCAGATCTGCCACGTACCAGAGTAAATTTATGCAAAATTGGAAAATCATCTTGATACTTGATTTCGAGAACAAATGCCAATGTGGAAAATCCAATGCCTACCTGCTGTATAGAAGCTACAATCGCTGGAAACGATTGTGTTCTCCTCCGCGATCGTCGACGGACGATTTCTTATGGCCTCCATGGTCCCCTTAATCATTGTCTGCTCGCAGAGCATCGACGGAGGCTCCACGTCGTTGAGAATGGTCTCATCCACGTAACTCATGTGCGGAAGTACTTGGCTAGAAGCCCGATTTGCACACATATATCGATTGTAGTCCAGCGTTTGCTCGCACATCTTCTCAGCGGCCAAGAAGCTATCATCCTCCGTCACAGTCGTCCAGGCACTCTTAGCCTTGGCCGTCGCAAATGTCTCATCTACCTGAGATTCTGGAGATTTATCCAGTGCGACCGGCGTCTTCTGGACTCTCTGAGTTAAATATTTGCACTTCTGCATCATTCCGTCCTCAATCAGTTCCTTCTTTCGCTTCTCCAAAAGCTCAGTGAAACTTTCAGAGAGTTCCCCACTCGAATCCGAGGCACTGGATTCGGCCGTATAGTATCTACGATGGAAGGATAATGAGCGTTAGTAACTTGCAAGAGAATTATTGCAAATATACTCACTGATAATTGGCAAAATGTTCCCTGATCTCTGACAAGGTCGGAGTACCAACACGAATTCCCTCGTCGTCTGACTCAATACCACTTAAATACTCTGACATATCTACACAGTACAATTGTTTGTACAAAGTTCTTTATAGGAACACCAAGTTTCAGTGTTTTATCAATAGAAAACCGTAATATTTGTGCTAAAATTTCACGGAGCTCGTGCAGATCAAGCCGTCGTTTTGAACACTTTGAAAACCGACGCATCAAAATTCGTTGTGGTGGCGCTGGTGCCGCTGAGGAGTTTTCCATCAACCCGGCTGTGGTTTCCCCCGTATTTTTGAACTACTCGATTTTTCTCAAGATAGCACTTAATTCTTCATACATCAATAGAAATTCAGAACGCAACTGGATATTGAACAATCTGCATTGAGTTTCACAAGTTCTTCAAATTGAATCGCATTTATCGCTTGAATTTCATACTCTACTATTGCTTCGTGATACGGAATGGATATTTCTAATGTATCCGAGAATGGAGTTGAGTGTGAATCGGTCGGGCGGGAAGATTGCAAAACAAAATGTCAAAATACTGTGAGCAGCTGTTTGTGCAGAAAATACGCCTTCTGAGAAAAAAGGCAATTGCGTGAGAAAACTCAGTGGAAAAGGAGCTGCAGCTTGTGAAATCTCTCTAAAATGACGTGGTGCACAGTGTCCGTGTACAAGTGGGTGTATTCGGCGGTGCTGTTGGGGGATTTTGCGAAGGTCTGCTTGGGGGAGGCCACAGACATTGCCCTGGATGCCAAAGCTACTCTAACTCACAGGATAGATAGTCTCAACCTCCTCCTGTACACCTTCCTCCTCACCTTAACAGTATTAACCATATGGCTATTTAAACATCGCCGCGTCAGCTGGCTCCACGAGACGGGACTCGCTGTGATCTACGGTACATGAAACCATGGAAATCTACTGGCTTGTGACTCATCTATTTTGTGTTTTTGTTCCTTCCTCAGGGTTAATTGTTGGCGCCATAATTAGATATGCAAGTACCACGACTTCTTTGGTCCACCTGAATGTGGAACCGGATGTGCACGCCACGTACAATGAGAGTCTGCCCCCGGACACATTGTGGCTAAAATTTCCGGGAAAGCTCAATCACACGAATCCAGATGGAAAGAGTCTGCCTAACAAGACGTATGCGTACACCTTCAGAGGAGCTGTGCAGGCCGAGGAGAACGAAATTGACCTCAAGGCCACTTTTGATCCGGAGATATTCTTCAATATTATCCTCCCACCGATCATTTTCCACGCTGGATACAGTCTCAAAAGAGTGAATACTATTTTATAGTTTTCTCCATCCAGGGATCACTTCTAAATTTTTTCCGTACAGAAATACTTCTTTCGGAACTTGGGAGCCATTCTCACGTTTGCCATCATCGGAACAACTCTGTCAGCCTTCCTGATAGGTGCTCTCATGTACGGCTGCGTTCAGCTCATGCCCGAGAAGTTGCGAATGAGCTTTGGATTCCTGGACACGCTCTACTTCGGCGCTCTCATCTCACCCACAGATCCTTTGACTATCCTGGCTATTTTCCACGACATGCACGTCGACGTGAATCTCTATGCGCTGGTGTTTGGCGAGAGTGTTCTCAACGATGCTGTGGCAATTGTCTTGAGCGGGTAAATATCATTCTTTTCAATTCGCGGTAATTCCATCCAGACCAGTTGTTGAGATAATGTGTTTGTGGGTAAACAGAGCATTACTCATTGCCCAGATCACATGGGAAAAAAATGTGCTAAGACAGATAAGAAATGCGAATAAACCCAGCTACATTTTTCTCCCATTCCATAAATTAAAATTCATCTTCAGTTTTGTTTGTTGTGGCTAGATAAACATTTATCAGTTGCTTTGAGGTTATTGAGTGACTGACAGAAAAATCTTATTGTTTATTGAGGTCAATTATTCATGAGATAGTTTTAAGAATAAAATCTTGTTCCTTTCTAGGGCAATCCAGAATTATGGGGAACACTACTCCAGCACAGGTGGCTTCGAAACTGATGCCTTCTTCAGATCTCTGGGAGACTTCTTCAGCATCTTTATGCTCTCTCTGCTCATTGGAGCTTCGATGGGCTGCTTTACGGCATTGATATCCTTTTCAAATAGTTTCTTTTTTTCTTATTTCAGCACATTTGAAAAAGCCTTTTCCTTGACTGACATGTTTACTTGACGAAATTTACTCGTGTCCGGGACTTTCCGCTTCTGGAGTCCGCTCTCTTTGTTCTGATGTCTTACAGTACTTTTCTGATAGCCGAAGCAACGGAGTTGACGGGTGTTGTTGCGGTGCTTTTCTGTGGAATTTGTCAAGCTCACTACACCTACAACAATCTCTCGGAAGACTCGAGAACGAGGACGAAGCAGATTTTCGAGCTCCTCAATTTCCTAGCAGAGAACTTCATTTTTTCCTATATTGGCGTGTCGATGTTCACCTTCCCTAAGCACCACTTTGATCCTTGGTTCATCATGAGTGGATTTGTGAGTAATTTTCTTTTATTTGAGCTAGCAATTTTTTCAGGTTTTTAATGTATTTGTTATTGTTTTTTTTTAGATTTGCGCAGCGATCGGTAGAGCTGTGAACATCTATCCACTGTCCTTCCTGCTGAATTTGGGCAGGAAGCCTAAAATTGCCATGAATTTCCAGCACATGCTCTTTTTTGCTGGCCTTCGTGGTGCGATGTCTTTCGCGCTGGCCATTAGAAATACCGTGTCCGATGCCAGACAAGCAATGTTAACCACAACATCGCTTATTGTTATAGCCACGGTGATTATTCAAGGTGGTGCTTCGAATTTCCTCCTCACGTGGCTCAAAATCCCATTCGGTGTGGATGACGAGACAGAAGCTCTGAACTATCAAGGAGTCAGAAGTGTGAGTATAGTTTGAAATCACTTTTAATTCCAAAACCTATAGTCGTGGTAATTCAACAGTTGTCGTTGTGTTGCAAATTTTCCATCACTAACCTGTATTAATTGTTCTATGGTAGACTATGTATTTTACACTGAACCAATGCGGAGGGAGAATTTTGAGTCGTAGTAATTCTAATTAATTGAATAAGCCAATTCAATCGATAGTGAAATGAGGTATATGACTTGGCTAATAAATGTTATTAATTGAAGCTTTCACATCTGCTAGGGTGAAGTTATCGTTCCTCATGAATATGTTGATCTGCGAGATTAAGTTGTGGTGATGGTTACGACAATTGCTTGATTGCCACGTCAATATATGACGTTGATTATCAACTGACTTTGTCCTAAAATAGAATAATCAGATATAAAACAAATGCAATTTCTTTATGGCTTTTCACTTGGCTATTTTATAGGTCTATAATTCAATGGAAAACACGACTGGGGTATGTCTAGTGTCACTCTTGAGCTTGTTATTGCAATCATTATTGATTATATTGAAAAGTTTTGTCAAGCACATTGTTTCTTTAATTGTAATTCCTTCTCAAGAATTCTTCCATGTTTATTATTTAATACATTTCACATGTTATATAATTGCATGCTCTTGTATGATACTCAACTATTTGTTGTCTCTAATTGACCCACCATAAATTTTGCAGTCTATCGACACAGGATTAAATTTGAGTCAGCTTCAAGTGTCGGGTAGAAGACGAAGCTCATTGGTGAGGAAAGAGCGGTGAAAATATCACAAAGATAGTCTTCACAGTTTGTTAATATATTTTTCATTCCATTTGTTTTGTCCTTTTTTTATACTGTCAAAACTATTTTCTATCACACTCTTGCACTTATTTATTTAATCTGATGTGCGTTTTATTTTTCCAAAATTAGCCGATAAGATTTGAGCATGAGATTTGGGTAATTACAAGTGTTATGTAACTCAATTGCGTACGTTTTCTTTTTTTTCCACAGGAGACAGAGAGTGCTGAGAATGAGAGTGGCGGAAATGCTGGTCAAAGTTCTGCGGATCACGGAAAGAAGAGTCATGACAAGGCATTTTTGGCGCGCATTTGGGGCAATTTTGATACAAGGTATGGAGAATCTTTGTTGTTGTAAAAAATTGGGGCAATTCATCATCATAATGTATGTGCTTCGATGGTTGACATTCTGGAGTGAAAGATTGTGCCTGGATTTTGATATGAGATATAATTTTTGCAGCAAATCTATTGCTCGATATAATTGAGGTAATGTTTCAAGTGGCACACCTCGAGATAAGCATCATCTTCAATCGTAGGACTGTATTAATGTGATAAGACACGAAGTATTTTGATTGCTCTCCTGCTAGTCATGTGAATGAATCATGAGACACTCTTCCTTTCGGTCGCCCTTGGTCTGCTCTGACAGAGCGAAAAGTCGTGTGGCGCGTGAATCATGCAGGGTTATGCTTTTATAGGCTGTCGTAAAATGGTAAACCATGTGAAGCAAGCAAATTAATTATTGCAACACGCACATGAGAATTTGACTAAATTTTTTCAATCAGGTTTATAATTTAATGTATTTACAAAATTTTCGTCTATTAACATTAGCATTTGGGATTTTATACACCTATCTATAGACAATTATAAATAGGCGAATTCTTAAGAATTATATGTACAATACCAAGGATTTACTTGGGGAAAGTCAAAATGATCACATTGAGAATCTAAAGTCCGAATCACCGAGTTCACTTAAACTCCATTTGTCAAAGCGTTCAATGAGTTGTGGGGTCATTTCCTTCTTGAAGGTTCCACTTTCGCCTTTCCGGAGGAGTTTGTATTTGAAGAAGGGCACTGCTCTCTTCAGTGGCGTTTGACTTATTGATTTGTTCTTCTTCATGGAGTCAAAGGACAGATGATGGGCCAGTCGAGTTATTTGATCCTCACTTAGCGTTTTCCCCATGAATTTGGCAGTCTTGGCGATTACGGCTGGCAGATCTTTCTTCATATCCTCATGTGTGATGAAAAGGACGTTCTCCTCTGCCCTCATGCTCCAAAAGTCCAAGACATGGGAGTGAAATGGAGCGTAAAGTGCTAAAAAAGAGTCAGATATTTAGTGTTATGTAATAGTTGGGTTTGATCGTGTCTACTCACTTGAATTTGCCATGAAAGCTTCCATCATGTCGTTGAAGTTTGCCTTCCAACCCTGCATCACGGACATGAAGTGGAAGTTGGAGATGGCTGCGTCTTTGGGATTTCTGGTGCAATAGATTATTTTGGGCTTCACTGTCCAAATTTCCGTGGGCAGCAAATGAGCTGGCAAGTGGGATTTAATGTACCGTCGACCTTTCAACTCCTCGCACTGTCTTATCGAATTGGTTTTGCTGATCAATGCCACGGCGGACAATTCTATCTGGGGAAAGCGCTCGGGCAGTGGAGTTTTCTTTCCTCTCTCAAAGTCTAAATCATTTCCGATCATCCACACCATCTCCTGCGTCCATGTTGTACCGCACTTGGGAAAGGTGACCACGAAGACATCGTCTTTTCGCACTTTGAAGTTGAGAATATCGTCAGCCCACTCGTTGTATAGGGAGGGCAGAAGACAGGGCTTCATCTCCCAGTTGGCTGTGCAGGACTCCAAAGGTCGACTTAGGGGTTGCACTCGCTTGAAATCCAGGAAACGATTGAATATCAAACTCTTCCCGTATGTAATCCTCGGGATGTTTTCACATAGAACGGGCATGATGTCTGCTTGAGTCACGATAACTGATTCAATGGGGAGCACGACCACTCTGGGTTCACACTGTTCACACCTGGGTAATTCCGCAGTGTCGACTGAATTGAAGTCCGCGGAGGCGGTCGTTGATATATGGCCTTTTAGTTGGGGTGGGCGAATACCAAACTATCTATCTTGATATCAGGTGAGTCGCGATGGAAAGCACCGAGTAGAGCAGTGAGAGTATGAGTAATTCATTGATAAGAGAAAAATTCAGCTGGTCACATTGAATTCCTGACCAGCTTCTGGCTTTTCTTTCTGAGTGAGGTTTGCTTCTCTGCTGCTTATATTAAAAAAAAAACACATGATCGATACAAACGGAATTTTATTTATCATACAATATAAAATGAAGCCAACCATAGAAATAGGGTGTTTCTCATACATTAACAATTGTCCAGAAAATTCAACACCCAATAAGCAGTGTGAATGTCGAAGAGTGAAATAAGCTAATTGGTCGATAAAATGATAACAAACCATTTGATTTTGGTAATAAGAGGGAGACGCGAGTGAACAAGAGTGAGAGGGAAAACAATACCAGAACCTGAGGGACTTTTTTGCTCTATCACTGAAGCTTCGGCGCACTAATCCTCCTGATATCAACCCTGCTCGCTTCGTCACCCGCAAATCTCCAGAAAACTATACTAAATATCTGCGATGGAGCAAAATACAAGTTCAACGATCATGAACAGTATGAAAGAGATATGGAGGAATTTCGACGATTTCGTGCGTTCAGCAGCACCTGTTTGAGGGCCCTCGAACGCGTGCCTTATCAGCTTTTATTGCGAATACTCTATCGATTTTTTTGGCATTTTTATTCGATCTGCTCATGTGTGTTTGATCAACATTCTTCCGTTCACGTTGCAGGTACATGAAGCCACTGCTAACGCATTCGAGACCAACTCTGCTTGAGACACTGCCTGTTTGCTGTGGACCTCTGGCGAGACTTCTTACCACCACTGAACAATTGACTCAGGTTTGTTTATTTTGCGCCTTACTAATAATCTCAACTAAGACGCTGAGTCAGCTGCCAAAGGTGGTTCCCTTTCGCAAGCTCACATGAAAGCTATATCAGGAATTCTTTTCCTTTCGGTAATTGGATGTAATTGCTGTGTTATGCAAGATAATGTATTTTATCAATTCAATATGGCATTGAGTGCCATTGAATTTTTTTTCGGGTTTCTTTGAAAACTCGCTATCACTCGTAGAGCTTTATAGCTGAATATCTTCTCTCACTGCCGATGTTGTTTCTCCTCTAGAATGGTGTGACAAGACGCACAGACTCAGATTCTGATCTCTGCATTGAGGAGGACTCGAACTATCGTGGTCCGGGCGGAAGTGAGCCGCAGGCGAGAAGAAATTCAATAAGTCGTGTAAGTATTCGGCTGGTATCTGATGAGAGAAACACCTTTCTTGCCAGTTACAAGACAAGAGATTGAGACAGAGTGGTGGAATTGCAATTGCTGGAGGCTAATCCGATGCATCCCATTAATCATCTACACCTGTAGAATATTATGTGAACTCAACATATGGAGGATGTTAACTGCAAATTAATCCATAATAATTTATTCTGTTCTTTTTCTCTTCTTACTATTTTGCATGCCTGCAACTCTTTCCACCATGGAAGAATCCTAATCAGACTATCAATGAATTTCACTTCTTTATGTAAATGTGAGCGAGGAAAGACGAGGTTTCTTTCGATTGAATGCAAATAGTATTGACAAAATGTTATTAACACACCATGTTGATTAATTTCTCTTTATTCTGAATGTGCATCAGGGGACCAGTATTTTTTTGTGTGGTGATTTGAAATGCCATTTATTATTTTGTTATATCTTGGATAAATTTTATTTTAATTCTGCCATTTGATATATTCTTTTAGATACATCGAACTCACCTGTCATCAGCTTAATTGTTTTTACTTTACCTTTACCACCTTTGTTTCATCACGAATTTATTTAGTTACCAGATTGTTGGACGAGAAAGTATGAGAAGAATATTTACGAGACAGAAGGAGATGAGAAATCATTTAACTTGATCACACTAGTCAAACGGTTTGTGAGGGGCATAATTTTTACATGTTTGGGGTAAAATGTTTAAAAAATTTATTTATAGACTAAATAAATATTGAGACAAAAACCTATCATATTCCAGTTTGTATACTGATAATGTAGATGTGAATAACATGCTAATTTATTTTGAAATGCTTTAGTTAGCAAATAATGGAAGAATAGTTGAAGTGTTGATTATATGGATGGAAATCATGTCAGAGAGACAGAAAAAATCAAATGTGATAATGTAAGAAATAACGTAAAGTTTAATAATGATTTAATCACATGTGACACGATTGAACGATTTCGACAATAGGAAGTTGTTTACGTTACAAAACATGCAAAATTGCGCAAAATCAATTTATTTTCAGCTAAAGGAGTAAATAGAGAGAACGAAAGTTACCTAGTAATGGCAAAGATTACAAATGAAATACCTTTAATTTGAGGCTGTATCACTTTTATGTTTAGTCTGTACCTTAATAGATAGTGTGTTGCTAGTAAACTTGCAGCTATTTAATGTACAATTTCCAATGAAGAATTTTCATTGAATAAAATTCTTTGAGAGTTCGTTTTTCTTCCCCTTCTTTCGAAAGTCTTGTATAACACTTTTTTATCACTCTACTTTTAGCACAGGCAGATGTCACTGCGAACGGTGTTTAAAGGGGAAAAATTTAGTACAGTGGATCATTGTGTTGTATATTTTGGTGTAAGATAGACCTTCAGTTTTATTCGATTTTCCCTCATTTTCTCCCCTGATTTTCCTCAAAAGTTATTGGAAAAACACTAGAGAACAATGTTACGCGTGTCTCAATCATTTCTGCGACGAGTTCGTGGGCCAGCAGCTCAGGAGATGCGAAGGTGAGAGTTGAGCAAAAATTGAGAACAAGGGGCAACCTTTGGACCTGAAACTACGTAAATCCGTGGAATTCGTACTTTTCCCTCTGCGATATTTCCGTGTCACTGATAGTGTGACTTTACAGATGTCTGGCTGCGACACCTCAGGTGAAAGTCGAGGAGGGACGTCCAGAGCCCCAGACGACAACCAAGAACTACTCCTTCATTTCCAACATTTTCCGAGGAGAACTGGAAGCCTCTCAACTGTTTCCTTATCCCAATGTCCTGAACGAGGAGCAGACTGAGCACATCGCTAGCTTCATCGATCCGGTGACAAAGTTCATGACAGAGGTGAATGACGCTGCGAAGAATGACGATCGAGCTAGCTTGGATGATGCCACAGCCGATGGATTCTGGGATTTGGGGGCTTTCGCCCTTCAGGTGCCCGCTGAAATGGGTGGTCTGGGCCTCAACAATACGCAGTATGCCAGGATGTGCGAGGTCATGGGAGCCTACGATTTGGGAGCAGGCATTGTCCTGGGAGCACATCAGTCCATTGGATTCAAGGGTATTTTGCTGTACGGAACGAAAGAGCAGAAGGAGAAGTATCTTCCGCAAGTGTCCACGGGGAAGGTTTATGCCGCCTTCTGCCTCACTGAACCCTCTTCCGGCTCAGACGCTGGATCCATTCGATGTCGCGCCGTGAAGTCTCCTGATGGACGTCATTTCATCCTCAATGGCTCGAAGATTTGGATCTCCAACGGAGGCGTTGCTGATCTCCTGACTGTTTTCGCACAGACTGAAGTGGATGACCCGAAGACTGGCAAGAAAAAGGACAAAGTTACGGCTTTCATTGTGGAGAGAGGATTCGGAGGTGTCACGAACGGCCCTCCGGAATCCAAAATGGGTATTAAAGCCTCAAATACAGCCGAAATCTTCTTCGAGGACGTGAAAATCCCTGTGGAGAATGTAATTGGCGAGGTGGGAAATGGCTTCAAGGTGGCGATGAACATACTTAATAACGGTCGTTTCGGGATGTCAGCAACGCTCTCCGGAACGATGAGAGCTTGCATCGAGAAGGCCACTGAACACGCCACTCAGAGAGTGCAATTCGGGCAGAAGATTAGCGAATACAAGGGCATCCAAGAGAAGCTGGCCAGAATGTCGATGCTCCATTTCGCTGCTCAGTCGATGGCTTACATGATATCTGGCAATATGGATTCTGGAAGTGTGGATTATCACCTCGAGGCGGCTATCTCGAAGGTTTTCGCCTCTGAAGCTGCCTGGTATGTGTGTGATGAGTCAATTCAAATCCTCGGCGGAATGGGCTTTATGAAATCCGCTGGACTGGAGAGAGTCCTCAGAGATTTGAGAATCTTCCGCATCTTCGAGGGCACAAATGATATTTTGCGGCTGTTCGTGGCTCTAACTGGAATCCAGTATGCCGGATCACATCTGAAGGAGCTTCAGCGCGCCTTCAAGAATCCCGCTGCCAATCTGGGTCTGATTATGCAAGAGTCTTCACGACGGGCCATCCGCTCTCTCGGCTTCGGTGGCATCGATCTCAGTGGCTACGTTCATCCGAAACTCCAGCCCGCCGCTAAGAATGTGGCTGAGTGTATAACTCTCTTTGGACAAACTGTGGAGTCACTGTTGATAAAGTACGGCAAGAACATCGTGGAGGAGCAGTTTGTTCTCAATCGCCTGGCGGATGCTGCCATAGATATTTATGCAATGAGCGTGATTCTTTCCCGTGTGAGTCGAAGTCTGAGTCAGGAGCTTCCTTCGGCGGATCAGGAGCTTCTCATGGCCGATTGCTGGTCCGTGGAAGGTTCGGAGAGGGTGAAGAGCAACCTCAGGAAGACTAGCGCCAGCGCCTTCCTCGAGATGTACGGAAAGATGAGTCAGCAGGCCAAAAATATCTGTTCTGCAGGAGGAATCGCTCATACAAATCCCTACAACATTTCGTGAGGCTCTTCAGAACCTGTTTTTTACTTAACGTATTCACAGCTCTCCTCGAACCCGCCAGTCCTCCAGAATTTCCGTAATGTAAATACATCCTTTCCCCCAGAGAGTGTCGGCTACATTTCAAACAGTTTGTGATACCCATGCAACAAATAATACACCCTTCAATCCAGGAAGAGGCGAACCATTAAATTAAATTAAAGCAACACATTTTTTTGTCAATCAATTTTTGTCCCTTTTCGCAAATTACCGAAAAAACTTGTGAAGAAATTGAGAGAGTTCTTGAAGCACCCTGTAGAAAACCAGATACTTTCCATTCTAAGCGCTCCGAGTCTGGAGAGTTCATCAGTACTAAAAGTCGTCAGTATAAGTGGAGAAGTTTGGCAATCAGATTGTTTGTCTGCTGCCACCGCAAAAAGGTCATTTTCCGGGAGGATGCTGCACCCAGTGCGACACGTACTGAACCAGAAGCGAATAGTGCTGGCCAGTGGATCTCCACGACGCCAAGAATTGATGAAGAATCTCGTGAGTGGATGGGAAAGAGGCTAATTGTGATTTTAGAGGTTACACACTCTTCCAGGGCATCAATGTGGAGATCTGCCCCTCTCGCTTTGAGGAGGACTTCAAGCCAGAGGATTTCCCCTCCTTTTGCGCCTACGTGGAGGAGACTGCCCTGCACAAGGTGCTGGAAGTCAGCGATAGACTTCATGATCCCGTGCCAGACGTCATAATCGGAGCCGACACAGTCGTTACAATGGACGGAGTGGTTTACGGAAAGCCCAAGAACAAGGAGAGAGCATTTCAGATACTCACCAAGTAGGTCCTCCTTCCTAACTCTCGGGGAAGAGATTAATCGACTCCCCATCCTTTCAGGCTCATGAATCGCAAGCATCGCGTCTATACGGGCGTCGTGATAAAGATCGCCGATAAGTTCATCAGATTCACAGAGACAACAGATGTGTACTTTGGCCAAGCCACACCAGAGCAGATTCACGCGTATGTGGACACAGGGGAGCCCCTAGACAAGGCGGGCGGCTATGGGATTCAGGGCATCGGAGGGACTTTCATTGAGCGCATTGAGGGTGACTATTTCACGGTGATTGGACTCCCGCTCTACAGAATATGCCGGGAATTGTACTGCCTCTTCAGATAATTCACTGCACGGGAAGAAGGTTCCTATTTAGACTCCAGACAGACGCATGTCCTCTGTATGGCGATAAAGAGACTCTAATTCACAGCGTGTTTTTAATTCCTTATCTCTGCTTGAATCCATATTTCTTTCTTTCGTAGAACAAATCTGTCTTCGAACTGCCCAAGTTCACGATTTTGGGACATCCATCTCTCTGGAAGACAAATAATTTTGCTAAAGTGACGAAGATTCAATGAAAATATATAACATTTCTCATTAGCTTACGTCCTTCTCTTGGATGGTGCACTCCTTGCAGTAGTAAGCATCTGAGACTCCTGGACCTCCACAAATGACACATCTTCCCTGATACGATCCGTAATTGCACTCGTCGCAAATCCTTACGAGGGTGCAGGGACGCACGTATGAGTCGCAAATAACGCATTTTCCATCACACTTTTCACAAAGTCGTCCAATGGCTGCAAATAAAAACATTCTATTCAGAAATTGTCCAGGAAGTGAGAAAATGCCGGTTATCTAACCACACTTTCAACGATTGAGCTGTTCTTCTCAATTTTCTTGAGGATTTCTTACCTACTCCAGGTTGCTTGCGACAGAAAATCAAGTCTGGATGATGCTTTGCCATGATTAAATACGTGGAAGTGAAGAGTTCCAAAGGAAAACCAGTGAAATCCACTTAGTTGGCGTCCTCCGATGCCAATGCAATTCTGATTGACCCGGCTGGTCGACTTCAGCTCTCTCTCCGCAATTCGGTTTACCGGTTCGCTAACAAATTTGAAAAAAGCTTGAGAAAAATTGGAAAAATTCCATCCTCTGGTATAAGAAAAACATTTTTCCTGGAGGATATGAATTTTCTCATATATAAAACGCAACACACATAACAATCTGACTAGTGGGATGAATTTCTCAATTCGTGCTGCTTCTTTTGACCAAACGGCGTCGCTGTGCGTGGATCGCTCAGTCGGGTGACCCGCTTGCAGTCTTCGGTGGCTGTTTTTTGGCGCCACCAGTAGTACTTCTTGAGCCTTGCTGGAAGGTGGATGCACGCTTATCCACACCTTCATTGTACACAAAACTGCACAACCACGGGTGTCTTTCGGTGGACTCTTGTATCTCTCTGTGTGTCCAAAGGTGTCTTCCGTGCGAAAAGTGATCGAGGTGTGCCACACGAGGCGCGTGAACGGTGGACAAGACGAGTTTACGGAACGTGAAAATGAGCGAGAGAATGGAAAGTGACGAGTCCCGTTAAACAGCTTCTTCATTTTGTTTTATGTCTCCTGTGTGTTTGTGTCGGCTGCAAAATCTCACCGTGTGAGCTGAAGAAGGGCATAGAAAAAATGCACCTGTTGGGGCTCGTTCTACTCGCGCTTGCGGCGGAGGGGGGTAGGCCGCCGCCGCAGGTTAACATCCGGAAGTGTTGCCGGTTAGGGGAGCATCTGGAGAGGACGCAGAAGTGCGCCGCTGGGGCGTCACTGAAGTGGGTGCCCATGGTGTGGCTGTTGGCGCGAAATCAAGCCCACCAGCCGGTCGGTGAGGCGCCTCGTCACTTCCGGATCATCGAGAACGCCCGCCCAGACACCTGCACGGAACCTGAATTTATCTACGGGGAAAACAAGCTGGTGATCTTCTCCAATGGCTCTTTGTTTCTCGACGAGCGCAATCTCGTAGTTTCCGTGGAGGCGTTCTGTGTGGAGCGGGACTCGGCCCTGGTGTGTCTTCCTGAACAATATCGCTCCGTCCATCATCAGGCCTATCAGCCTCATCCTCCCGTAGCGGCGCGCAAGTGTTGTGGCCCCAACGGTGCTTGGAGTCAGATCAGCAACACTTGCGTCTTTCTGAACAACACTAATATCCTTCAGAACTTCCCTTTTGCCAACTCCAGTCGCGTGGAGCTGCGATATGGCTTTCCTGAGTGCAGGAATAACAACTTTGCTATCGCCGATCGCTTTCGACAGGAGAACTTCATGGAGAACACCGGAGAGCTCGTCCTGGAGTCTGGGAAGCAGTTCCACGCCAGTGAATTCTGCCTAGAGCACACAATCGACGAGCTAAACTCGTACGTGAGCGTGTTTACCTGCTCGGAGCACTTTAACCAGCCGAAAACAGCACCAGCGCCCAATAATGTGAGTTTTGTGCCCCTTTCCCAGCGTGGTTTTTGTGCCATCGGCGGCGGAGAATGCTGTCTGGCTTTTTCTGAGGGATGCAAACCCGGCTTTTTCGGCTCATGTGAATTTTATGGTATTTGCACTGGTAGAGGCGATACCATAAATTTCCCATGAGGCAATGTTTGCCCAAGGAAATCCTTCCTATCCCAATTCTTTCATCTTTGTGTTATTAACCTGCTGCCTAAAAGCACTAATTCGAAGAAATTCTTTGATTTAAGCGAAAAAAAAAATCAAGTGTACAGCAGATTGTATTGAAATGGCCAGATTTTTACGTGACTTTACATATAAAAAACGTGCTCAATTGGTTGAGTTTAATACCCTCTTTTCATTATATTTCCTCACCGGCTGGAACACATTAAAAATCTTCCCTTTCTTCTCCCTTTTAAAACACTGCATTGCTCGAGTGAGGCAATTGCCAGCAATTCCTTTTGAATGACACTCTGTATTTCTGTATTTTACATCAAAAACATTTATTGCCACTTTATTTCACATTCTTTTTTTTGTCTAGGCTCCAAGCCTGAAATATCAATCTCGAGGAGTTTCATAAAAATTGCAATGAATTCACTCTGGCTTGCTAAATCTCTGGCGTAAAGAGGACTTTTTACCGCTTCCCCCATTCTATGCTGCATTTTTCATGAGAATTTCATGTGAAAACCCAGAGACGAGAAGGACTCTTTTATGAGCTCTCAAATCCCGTAGAAAAATGAGGGTGCCCCCCTCTGTGTCAGCGCGAGAGAGAAAGAGGGCTTCATATTACACCGTGAGTGTGTGTAGAAGTGCATTTGAGTTGTGTTTCAATTTAAGGATCATGTTTCCCGGCACAAGAACACGTGCAGCCGTTTGAGAAATCTCTGAATCTTATACTCATAAAAGAGCTTTTCGTGACACACGACAGATTCCTGGCAGCATCCGGGAGGACATAGAGGACCCTCTTTACAGTTCACACATCAGACTGATTTCCGATGGGGAAATTCGATGTGAATGACGTGTGAATGGTGACTGGATGCATTAAAATTCGAAATGAGATGTTTTTGAGACGTGAATTTCATCACAATATTTACCTCTCGAGTCACTCGAGCTTCACTTGACACTATTTGTGCTTGAGACACTGTTCATTGGAAGGCAGATGAGGTGAACAATCCAACAATGAAATTTCCCCGAAATTTCCACATCACGACGACAATATTCCGGATATAATTGTTTGCGAAATATAGTCTGTGACGAACGGTGTAGAAGAGAGCAGCCCTCATTCTTCTCTATTGAATGTGAGAATTCATGAGGAATTTCTTACAATATTATCTGCACACACAGACTTTCTTTTTTAGCGCAAAATTTCTGGTTTGTTGTCCCAAGTGTGTCCAAGAATTTCCTCCAATTTTCTGCTCCATTTCCAAATGGTTTCACATTTTATACTACATATATGAAAATAAAAAGTCGGGCGTCTTTTATTATTTATAATTTTGACGCTCGCGCCTTTGATATACCGTCAAGGATGCTTAATGATTATTTTTAAATTGCGCCTTTTATATATTTCTTTATCGCTGAGTTTGTTTTTGGGATCCATCTCCAGACAGAGTTGATATAAACACAGATTAAGAGAGTTGATTTTTAAATAAAAGAAGAGTGTGAAGTGAAGAGGGTTAAATATACTTGCTCTTTTGTTATTAATTCTCAACAGTCTGTCGTATATTTAGGAGCAGCGGTTTTGCTGAATTAATCAGACTTACAAAATTATTTATTAGCAAGTCATTTGGCAGGTACCATTGACTAATAATGCCTGTATAATTCTGAAAACACCTAATTTAATAATCTCCACATTCTCTCGTAAGAACATAACTGTTAATCCCCATCATCAAAACTCCATCCGCCAGCGAAGCGATTTACATTTTCTTTTCACTCTTCCGCAGGATATAAGATTCGCACTGTATTCAGCGGGACTCTTCATCTCGGTTGTGTTCCTGCTGGCGACTCTGGTGGCCAGCTTCCTGGTGCCATCGAATCACCATGTTCTGCACTGGCGCTGTCAGACTCACTATGTGGCCTGTCTGCTGGTTGGTGATCTCCTCTTGGCAATCACACAGATTTCTGGAAATTCAATAATTGGTCCGGCCTGCACAATCATTGGTGAGTGTCGCTTTTTTCTCTCAATTTCCCGCGTCGATGCCACACACAACATAGTTAAAATGAGACAGAGACAAATGGGTGAAATTGGATGAATAGCGGAGAGAAATGGACAGTGAGGAGTGAAAAAAAACGACCAAATTGCCTGTGATATCGATGGTTGGTGATTTTATTAATTTTTTACTGCCTCACACTGAGGGGGTATAAATTTCTCAATTGTTGTTGCCTCGCTGTTCGGGAAGTTTGCACGAGGAAAAGATGAGTGTTGTAAATTTTTTCTTCTCCACCATCCATTCGATCGTCCGAGACGATGTTGTGTGTTTGTGTAAATGATCGTGACCCAATTTTACACAAAAATACACTTGCTGGTACCCACAAAGGGGCAAACAATAGTTATTAGTGAGACAAAACAATATTTAGCAAATTGCTATTTAATTGGACTGTTTGAGAAGTCATCATTTTGCGGATGTCTGTTTACCATCATGTGTGTCGTCTCTAAGCAGTTTTGCATGCTTTTCCTCATCTGTGGTGTTTTTCTTCACCTTTTTGTCTTCACCGTTGTTTTGTGTCACAAAGTCTCGCGCAAAGCGGAGATTTTCTTCTATGGGTGAATTTGTAAATTTGTCAAAAGCGAAAATTACCCAAAACAATCATCACGAAGTATAATGTGGTGTTTTGGCGGAAATTATGTAATTCACTGGTGACACTGCAATTTTGCATAATTATGGCGATATAGTGTTAGATTGCAAAGTAACTTCCCTGTTGATTTCTCGTCGGTTTTTTTCCCTAATGTAATTCTCAGCGTATACATCTGATATTTCTTTCAATAATTGCGTGAATTTACTGTTGAGTTCATTTCCCACTTTTGCCTTTATTTGTATGTTAATCACATTTTGAACGATATTTGTCCTTCTTTCTTTGCTATGCTGGAAATTTGAGAGCTTGTTTGTGCGTTGAATAAACAAGTAGGAAATTATTTGTGCAAAATCTTATGAAATCCCTCGCGGGTTTACGAGTGGCAATAGTGAAAAGGATTTAAGTTGAATGTGTGTGATGATGTCTGGTTGGGAGGAAAATGTATTCGATCTCTATAAATAATATTTTCTATTTCACTAATGCTCTGAAATGCATTAAAATACTTGTGATATATAGTTTTTCGCTTAAAGTGCAAGCAATTTATCAAGCATTTAGTGATTCTGAAATTGTACTCGGTGTGTTCACAACATTTTCTGGCACTTTAACTCTTCAATATGCCAATGTGCATTTTACTGCGAAAAAGTGGAATGGCTTTTTAAATGGCTAATTGAATTGGGATTAATGGGAAAATATGTCTCATCTCTCAGACTATCCGTGATGTGCAGGCAATCACATTTAATGTGAAATGGGATGGTATGTGGTGTGGAAAATAAATGGGAAAATATACAATAATAATTTCCAATTGGCATAAAACATCTGGCATAAATTTTACGTATAAATTCTCTAAATAATCGACACATCAGATGAAATGTCGATGGAGTTGAGAGACGTTTCTATCTGGGACTGTGCGGATAGTGAAGATCATGCAACAGATTTTCATGATGATTCTTTTTTAGGTTTGTGTGCTTCGCCACTCAGTGTGAGTACACGAAGAAGATATAAATGTTAAGGTACATCTATCAGCAGTATGGCTATATTGGTGGGTACGAGAGATAAATTTGATTTCAATTTAACTGCAAGTCACGTCAATATTGTGTTTATTGTAGAAAGTTTTATACGGATTTCGGTACATTGGGATACATGTGAGCGGAAGGTTCTTCTCTCCTCTCTTTCTCAGCTACTTTTGGCCATTTCAGCCACTATTACGGAGTATATCTCAAAACAACACTCAGCACTGGATCGCGATGTTATATAAAATGGTTAAAAGAAGTTGTGTGTATTCCAATCGATCTCCAAGGAGAGGCCATAAAAATTCTTTATAGAGAAAATTTAATGTCTTCTTCCCACATTTGATTCCTCCACTCTATAAGTGGTTTTTGTGTTGGATATTGGGCATTTTATTTCTCTTCTTATTTTGCGTCTTTGCAGTCTCTCTCTCTCTCACTAAATTCGATTCCCTAAAAATGGTGAAAGGAATTTTAAACTGGCTCAAAAGGCAATTGATCGCTTTTGGAAATTTGTGATTGATTTGCAAAATTGTGAGAACTGATTTAAATTCAATTCTTTCCACTGGATTGTCTTAATTTCGCTCAGAGTTTATTGGCGTTTTTTTATTCGCTATTCTTGCTGAGATGTGTTGTTTGAGTTTGGAATTAAAAATATTTTTGAGGCACCAACGCATTTTTGCCATTTGCCTTCTAGTTCATTAACTTCTGTTTTATTTATGCATATGTACATGGGAAAAGAAAGAGGCAGTGTATTTACTTAAGCAGTGCTAGTTCATGTCTTTTTAGTGAATGTTTGTTTCGAGTATGAAAGCTCTGCAAACAGAATGTGTAATCAGTTTTTTTTTTGGCGTAAAGTGATGGGGGACTTTCCTTGCATTATTTCATGGTGGAATGTGTCGAGGGGTGAAGTAATGATAGATTTCCCTGCCCGCGTGCATGAGTGAGAATAATTTACAACATCAATCTCTTGATTCTTCCCAAAGGGCCCTCTCAGTGTGTGCTTGTAATTTAGAAGAAATGCCAGATATCGGCGTTGAACATCACTCAAATGAAGAGTTGTCTCGATTTTAGGCACATGATAAAATGTTATTCTCTTGCAACTTGTTCCTGAAATGATTAGTCATTGTGTCTGGATGGCATTGGCCATTGTTGGTGAGAGAGAAAGATTGAATTTAATAAACATGATTACATAGAGAGGGATTCGATGCTTTCTTGCTGTGAAATTGATGAAAATGATATACTGAAAGCTAGTTTCTTCAATTTTATTCATGCCAATATATGTTGATTCCGATAAGGTCTTAAGTGAATATTTATCTTCGTCTGGAGGTTTCTTATCTATCCCGTCTTGCATGTTCGGCACGCAGTGGCTTCTTTAGCTTCAACTCCTCGCAGACCAATTCTAATGAGATCCACACGAATTGTATGTGAATTGTACTGTCTATAAACGAGCCCAAAGAAATACGGCACGAGTGATAATCTTGAGAATCATGTCAGAAATTTTAACAATTATCACTCTTCTGTGTGTTACACATTTTTTTATTGGGGTCCACAAAACACTTTGCCAAGTATTGTTTTGTGTCCAATTGAAATAACTTTGAATGAGAAATAATTTTGGTTTATTGCGTTAATAAATTACAGTGAGGAGCTGTGGCGCTGGAGAGGGCTAAAGAGTGGCTCATGGGAGTAAATTAATTGGTTCCGCCGGGCAAAGCCGTGCAAATGAGAAATGAGGGTGAATTTGTGCAGAATGCAGCACAAAATGATGGCTTGGCGATGGAAAACAACACACCCCTTGATTTTAGCGCGGGTTGGTGTGCATTTTGTGCAGATTCATCAGAATCTCTTGCCATATATGCCACCCTGCAAATATTTATCCGTGGGCTTTTTTATGGGAATGTGCCATTATGGGTGAGAACAATGTGGGATGGTTTTAGATTTCAGAGGATTCATTTTTCTCTCTTGCATTATTTATTGATCTATGAATTTGTTGTCGACTTGATAAATTGGCAAATGCCTTGTTTAAGCGTATTTGGCGATTCGAGCGACAATTTATTCCTTCCCATCGATATGCTGAGGGGAATATATTTTATGAAAATTTGTGCAATAAATACTATTTGTATGGAATAAATTATCTCACTCTCTCATATAGAATTTCAATTTGAGCTATCTGCCGCGGAGAGCATGCTCGCATGGATGATAATGGTTGGAAGGAGAATAGAGAAAGATGTATGAATTCTTTTCTTTGATATGGCGCGAGGTGGAGTGATGAAAAGCATCAGCAAAATAAAGAAATCGTTTTGGTCTGATGGTGTTTCTTCGTGTATGCGAGAGCGAGAACAGTAAAGGTGGTCAGTGTCTCTAAAGAGAGTGTATTGACATAATTTCCTGCCGCATAAACTTGCTGAGGAATTATATAATTAATCAGATCGTGCAATTATGCACATAAATTCCAAGAAGTTGTGTGATACAAATTCAATGAGGAGAAGCCACAGCGGAGAGTGTGAGGAGAAAAAAGGCAGTTCATATGAAAGTATCTTGCTGAAAGACATTCTCTATGATTGATCGATATGGTGTAATGGAGAGAAAAAAGTCAGTCATATGTTTGTTTTTTCTTTCAGCCATTTCGATGCATTTCTTCTTCTTGGCGGCCTTCTTCTGGCTCAACACAATGTGCTTCAATATTTGGTGGACTTTTCGGTAAGACTCTTATACTCAATCTCAGCTCAATTTATTTACTCGTGTAGAAAGCATCTTGATATTGAGTTAAAAATTTCAAAACAAAGAATTCTATTTTCAATGAATTTAACATGTGATTCACTATTTTATTTATATACACACACACTGTTTGTACGTATATTTATCAGTGATTGAAATCTCAAGAGACATTCTCCCTCTAAAAGACATGTAATATTTTAAATATCTACATATTCTTTGTTCATATAACGTAAAATATACACACTCACTCTGTTTGCATCGCGCATTTCAAGCCAAAGTCATTCAATACGAACCAAATTTCAAATATGGCATTCAGATGACTTTTTTCGGGACTTTTCTATGATTACTCTAGAAACCTAAATGTCTATCCTAAATTAGGATGGAAGTTGTCAAGCTTTTTAGTATTTCACAGATAGATTCCATTTAAGAGATATTTACGTTCTGAATTCCAGCGAAGCCGGTGAAAAGTCACATTCTTGCATAAACTCCTCTAGCCACAGGCCGATATCTCGGCGCACTAAAGCACAATTATACAGCATATAAGAGTGCTGCATGGTTGATACGATATGTTTGTTTATAGTGGAGGAGAGAAACAGAAGGGAATTTCTCTGGATTACGTTTTGTCGTCTTCTCATAAATTATTTACCACTTTGATGGAGTCTCTCTTTCTCCCTTTGACTTTTCTCCCTTCTCTCTATTTCTTCTAATATTTATGTACTTTTCAACTACGGTGATTTTTCCATTGACTATGCCGAACGTAAAAAGTCAATAATTGCTGCATTCCATGCGATATAGCGGGGTGAGGATGGCTTTTTAGAAGAGAAATTCCTCTCATCCCAATGGAGAAAAATCTTATCGTGGGTTTCTTTGAACCCTGTGTGACTCTTTGATGGTCTTTCACGATTGCATTGAGTCATCCCTCTAATGATTCTCTCAAATGAATTGAATCATTAGAGAAATATTTGTTCAAAGGTGCTTTACGGAGGCGTTTAATTTTGTTGGGTAGACACAAAACGAATGCTTCTTTTTCTCTATCTGGCCCATTGAGTGTAAGCGTATAACCTTCTTCCATGGAGTGTGAATTCTGGTGTGAATTTTCAATCAACGATCCCAAGACAATTTTTCTTTTCCACCTCATTTGCTGTTTGCAGTGAAGTGAGAAATTTTCATTTAGGGTAAACGAAACCTTCCTCAACCCTTCAATATGCATTCAGAAAGACCATCTTTGGGCCATAAATTACAATCAGGGGGAATTCGGAGAGTTTTCCTCAAGACACTCTTTTTGCCACTCATCTTACCAGGCTTATTAGAAAGATTTAGGGCTAATTGAATTTAAAAGCACTGAGAATGATTTATATTGCTTCAAAACAAATCTTATGGGTGTCTTCTTTGTCAAGCAGGATGAGTTGATGCTCAATAAATTCTCTCATGAAGTGAATCTTTTGTGTGAAATTTGTCAATGAGCAAGAAGATTTACATTAAAGATTTCTCGCCGAAACACATTCACACACAGAGTAATATTAATAATATAAGTCTTTGCTGTAAAGCGCGTGTTGATGGGATATATTTTGGACAATGAAAGGGATTCATTGAGAGTTTTGTGCAAAGAAACGAAAAGAATCGAAAGATGAAAATTAAATGTGAAGAGCAATAGCAGAAAGAGTGGATTGAATTTCAATGAAATGTTCTTATATTGAGATATTACATGCATATAAAGGTACTTTGCTCTGGCCGATGAGATTCTTGAATGGCAATTTGACGATATATAGAATGAACACGGTATATTTCCAACTCACCATGTTAATCTAATTTTTATTCATTCTCTCTTTATAAATTCACAATATGGTTTTATACAATGGGCTCTCTTGTATTTTTTCATACATGTATAGAATTCTTGTGCGCGGACTAATGAATTGTGTGCAGAGCTGGAGGAGGCTCACGAGATGTGATGTGAGGAGAGCAAATAAAAATATACAGAAGAACGTATGGTGGGTGCGTCTGTGTGCTTGAGATATTTGAGAAAGAGAAAATATCATATCTTAGAAGTAGATTTATTATGACCCAATTAATACAAAATTGCAACTTTTGCGAGTGAGAGAAATAGATACTATGTGTATATAAAAAGCACACGAAGTCTTGAGGTATTGAGGTCGATATGAAAATTGAAATAATGGAGGAAATACTAAATTGAAGATTTCTTTCTTCTTCACCGAAAAAAATGATTAGATCAGTCGTATTCACGATTATTTGGGGTGATAGTCTCGAATGGAAACTACAAAAAGGAAATGATTTGCACCGAGTGTGTGTGAGAAAATGTGGTAATTTAACAGATCAAATACCATAATCTCTTCTTCTTTTTTTGTGTATCTTGCACTGATGAAGAATTGTTAGAGAAAAAAGATTGAGTTCATCTATAATTAGTTCTTTTCAACTTCTGTTGTGGATGGCAATAGCAAAGACGAAAGAACTGCTAATTCGGCAACATAATGTGTAATCTAATATTTACTGTAAGGGGAGAAAAGAAGTCTTTCTAAATGATCTATTTATGTTAAACATTTCTCATATAGTGTTTCATTGCAACGATATAATTTTAACCCTTCGCTTTATATGCAGAATGACGAACGCGCGTCTCATTTCCCAGAAAGCATATTAAACTCTGCACCAGTTTCCATCCAATTATCACCGTTTGAAGGCAAATGACTCTCTTCCCAAAAGTGCCGACAAAGTATATAGTTTTTTATCCGAATATTTAGTTTAGCGTTTGTCTGCTCTGAATTGAATTACTTTGTTAATTGGGAAGAGCTTATTTAATTAGGAAATGTCTTTTAGGTGGGGAAACTTGTGCAATAATCCTGCAATGAATTTTGTAATTTGTTTTTCCACCCACCAGACAAATTAAATTCATTTCTGTTTCCACTTAATTATTTATGTTTTGTGTAATCTTTTGTGAAATTACTGAGCCGGAAAGTTTCAACCTCTGCATCTTTGTGCAATTGAATTAGAATGACGGCACTTTTGAAAATTATTGCAAGAGGTTTTCTTTCTCTCTAATTGTTTAGTTGAAGGAACTTTATGAGCTCTCGAGCCCATTAATATTAATTTTTGTGTGAGAGTATTGATTGGCCTCCTTATTCCTTGAGACGAATGTTTTGCCTTCCCACAGACCTTGAGTCGCGCAGTATTGCTTTTGAAAAATGGAGAGTGAACAAAGAAAGTCACTTCATCTCTGGGGTATAAATATGTAGGTACAGAAATACATATATGCATGGGCAATTAGCAAAAAGTGCGCCAATTGAAGGAATGAGTCAAATTTCGCAGAGGACAAGTTGGTGGAATTTCTTATTAAGATTTTCAGTGATGTATGGCAGAATGTAAATGGCACTTGCTACTCTATGCATCACGCTCGATAGTGACTTTCTAATTAAATTTGGTGCTGTGGTGAGAGAGAAATTGCAGAGAGGCAGAAATGAGAAGCAGAAGTAAATCACTTGTGTCGTTTAGATAATTTAATTCGCCGTCTAATATAAAATATATACACACGGGCTGAGTTGAGGACTCGTGGCGAAATGTTATCGAAGAAATATATTGAGATGTGTGTGACGTGTGGAGAAATTTCTCAAAGGCGCTAAAATTTTCTTGCAAGACGCAATTTATGTGACATATTTGACAAACGATAAATCTCCCAAGGGTTAAGTAATATTTAATTTATTCATGCTCACACCTCGCAAGTGTTGGGCAGCATAATTTTTTCCTCACATGACACATTGTCGACAAGAATTTATGCTGAAGTATGTATGGCTCGCTTTCTCGCAATAGAACAGTGGCAGTTCTGGCTGAATGATGATAAATTTTGGAGATTTGGTGATGCAGCGAAATTTTCATGCCGCCGAATTAATGATTTCTTTTTCACGTTTCTCCATTTTCTGTTTATTTAAATGAAATGTATATTCATGTGTGTGTGTTTTTTTCTCTCTCTCCTTCGTCGTCTTTAGCATGGGAAAGACACAGGAGAGAAAAGTCACAAAATCACTTTCGCTTCTCATGAATTTGCTTTAGAGGTGAAATGTTGAGAAGTTTAGTGTGACAACTCGATGGCAAATTGCCTTAATCTTTCATTTTATTTCATCATGATGGGAATGCGAGGAGACGGCGAGATGAGTCTGACTGAAGACAATTAATCCAGTTAGAATCTAGCACTGTGATTGCAGCATATGTTGCCATTATTATATCTCATATGAATGACATCAAGAAAGAATAACTCATCATTCAATAATTTCAAGTTCATTTAATTGCACTCAGCGACGGAGTGAGTAAAAAGATGCCTTTCATGCCACTTGCCGGAGTGCTTGACATTAAGCATTTTCCTACTTGGCAGAAAATGTTCTCGATATTTCTTGGAAATTAATTAAAACCGATGTATCTAATGGACAAGAAATTTAGCTTTGCATTGCGCATTTGAGTGGTGGTAAAATATCAATATATGCATGGTGTGCGGCGAGCGTAATTTTAGTGCGGTCTCGCTGGTATTTCGAAAGATTGAATATTTTTCTCAGTCTTCTGCAAGTTGAACTTTCTGGTGTGGAATTTGAACCATGTTGGTGTGTGAATGAAACAAGACGACCTTGTCTCGTAACAATTTGAAAGAATTACGATTATTTTTTTTCTTCGCGCCCGCTCTATTCATCTTATTATGTATGGAATTAAATCTCCTCAAATGGCTTTTAAATTGACTTCTTTTCTTTCAAAATGAATTACTATATGGAGTTTTCTTTTGCTCTTTTGCCAACCGACTGTGGATTATTTCCGTGTTAGATGAGTTGCGCTTGATACTGGGGATGCTGGAGAATATTCGCGTGCGCAGCAGAGTTGATAATTATGTTCTAGACTGGAATTCGATGGTGGGAGAGAAATATTAGTTATGATTTATTGCATTGAGCAAGTGTTGAAATCACGCGGAACTTTCTAAAATATTCAGGGACGCGATTAATCTGGATTATATTTATCATCCACTCTCACAGTAACTCTTCATTTTTTCACCGAAAGGGATTAATGGTTGGCAATTGAAGTGCGTGTGGATTTTTTGAGATGCTTCCGCGTAAGAGTGCTAAGAAGACACGATGAAAATGTCTCGCTATGCGCGCGAAAAGAGAAAGTCTGAGGGAAGCATTAAACTCCCCTATAATTTCTCATTATTAAGATATACACACATAATTATGTGTCATGCTAATAAATACAATGTAGGATTCTTTCAAGTATATTTTCACTGACGACGTCGGATGAAAATGAAATTGATCTTACGAGGGAAAGAGTCGTTAGCACCATGGAGCATGGCCTTTTTTGTCGCAAATGTACATGCGAAATGGTGGAATATTTCATGAACTCGTTTTTTCTGGGGTTTTGCTCAAGTTTATTCGCTGTATCCGTGGAGGAAGGTGGAATTTGAATAAAGAAACAATTGTAGTACTTTGTGCAATTTTATTCCTTCTGCATAGACAGTGTAACTCAATGTTTTATTGAGTTCCCACTGTGAGGTGTTGTGTGGCAATATTTGCAATGCAATATATGAGAATATGTGACATTTTCAGAGAAATTCTATATTTAATATCTCGGCAATTTTATTTTCACTCTACGAGTGTGGGAAAATGGTCTTTCTTGTATTGAGTGAAGGGGCATTGAAGAGAGAACGACCAGGTTATAGGCTTTTAAATAATAAAATAGCAGCTCTATGAAAAATTTAACGATAGCCTTTTAGAGGATGTGAAGAAAAATGTTTGGGTGTTGGTGAAAGAATGGAAGATATTGATGGTGAAGAATAAAACATGGATATTCGTGCTTAAATGCATCTTAGCAGCTTTCTTTATAAATGTTCTTTTCCTTTCATCTCTCTCACTGTTGTCTTTTTGCCTCTTTGCAGTGACTTCCGTCCCACGACTCTTGAGAGGAGCCAAGAATTGTGTCGATTGCGTCTCTATGAAGTGTACGCTTGGGGTGTACCTCTGCTCTTCTCCGGAGTTGCAGCAATTCTTGACAATTTGCCAGATAGTACAGACGAGTCATTTCTCCGGCCACGATTCGGCGAGGCGAGATGCTGGTTCTATGGTAAAATCTCACAATTATCTCTTCATATCATTAGCCGGAAAGTGAAGGGAGGCCAAAAGGGCGACTCAGAGTGTGGGGAAAAAACCATGTGTAATTGGAGAAGAGGGGGATAAAAGGGAAAATATTTTCAATTACCACTGTGCAGAGTTCCACTTAGATTGTTCTACTCGCAATTAAATTATCTCTGCGCTTTTAATTTACCCAGTGTGCGAGTTTATTTATAAGTTTTAATTTATATAACTTTTTTCTCATTTTATCTCTCTATGTTGTGCATGTTGATGCACTTTGCCATCCCTTTCAGTCTAAAATGTGCTGATATGTATATCTGAATTTTTCATGTTTACACACAAACAATCCTCATGTGAGGTGTATTTTTGCAGTTTAGAGTGACCAATGGCAGAGACGAAGGTTGCGAGTTTTACCTGAGATTTGAAAAATGCTTCCAAGAATTCTAAATATTACACAAAGAGATGTTGAACATCTGCGCGTCTTCGAGGAGAGACACACTTTTGTGCCGAAGACGAAGAAAAAGCGCCCTATATCGGTCACTTCTTTCTCATTCACGAGCATCCACACGCTGTCAAATTTCATAAGATCGCGCTGATGCTTAATTAGATCTCTCAATGGGCCGCTTTTTTATGGGGAGTTACGAAAAAGGCGAGAGGAAGCATGCTCAAGTGATGTAGTTTTGCTTAATTTTTTCTTGTGTATCGTATTTTGAGTGAGATCGTTAAGTTTTCGTAGTTAATGCATTTTAAAATACGTGCTCAGTTCTGGTGAAAATCCCGTTTCGCAAGCTGATTCTACAACGTGAGGTGCATTAAAATGTGTGGAATTTTTTTTTATTTTACATTCAAATATCACAGAAAATTGAGTGGTTCTTTTTGAATTGAGAATTTTTATGATAATTCCATCGGCAAAACTTGTATCTGAAAGTTAAATTTCTTGTTCTTTGATGGGATTTTGAAATTGCTGGAGAATATGAGATTGCAGTCTAGACTAGAAAATGCTGAAATGTCTTTCTTGACATTTATTCAAGACTATAACTTCGTCACTTGATGAATGTTTTACTCTCAGTTTCACTATGCAAAGTTGGGTGAAGATAATTAAATTGTTGCTTCAAGAAATTTGGAATGGGAAAGTTTTTGGCAAGAAGAACAATTTGTAAGTTCATTTGTATACATTTTTGCACGAACATACAATTTAGGAGGAATGAGTTTGCAATAGTTCCAGAAGGTCAATATTGGAAAGGATACTCCTTCTGATAGTCTGAGTGAGAAAGGGTGGGAATTCTAAGAATTTTGCCAATTACACAAAGTCTCTTTGACATGCAATATCTCAGAGACAGTGGTCGAGGAAGACATTTGGGTGGGAAATTTAATAACAAACGCATCAGTGGCATCAGGAAGTTCTGAAGCAATAATTTCAGGCGTAAAACATCGCTGTACAGTGTGGTAAAACACGAAGGAGAGCGCTTGAATCGATTCCAAAGAATCCCCATTCGATATAAATTCGTTATGGTGAGCGCAGGATGTTATTCAGAGGGTGTGTTTTGGCTCGACGCCTGAACCCGGACAGAGCACCCTCCTAAACGGCGATTAAAGGGGTTGTTCCACGGTACTGGTGCCAATTGCGCTCTTAAATAGAGTGTCCGATGGTGGAGAAAATTGCCACAATACCGTGAAATATATCCTGTCAATTTGTGAGAAAAATTACATTTATCGAACACAGTGGAAGCGATTATTCAGCATAATTCCTTGTAAGAGAAAAAAAAAACCCACGTTTCAGGAGGCAATTTGAATGGCAAAGTCGTGTTATTCGCGTGATGTTATAAGAAGATTTTGGATATTCTTTCTTTTGGCCTTTGAGTTTCACCATTGCGATGCGAAGCTAGAAAATATACAACACAGAGAATTGACCTTTAATCGCGCAAATTTCATGCTATATGCTGATGAATTTGACAAAATAAGCGGATTATGCATATCGGAACTGATTTCAAAAGTGTCTTCCTAGTGCTAAAAATAACATGACATGGAAGATCACGAGAGAAAAAGTCGAGAAAACATTGTCATTAATTTTCAATCAAAGTATAAAGACTTATTTTAGGATTTAATTGACCCTCTATTTTAAACTGTGTCCTCGTGTTATGATGACAAAATGGTCGTTTTTCACTCACTGTGTGTAGCTGAATTATTTAAATCTCCCATTCCACCTGAACACATGATGAGCAAATCTTCCGCGACTTTTACATGCCATCAGGGGAAATTTACGATATCACGCATTTTATTGATATTGTGAATCGGCGGGGAAGAAGGTTGGTTGGAAAAGTGACGATTTTTAACGATGTTTGAGGTCCAATAATTGACAAATTTATTAATATTACCACTCATATGTGAGCTCGCCACTTTATGCCTCTTTCACCTTCTATAAAACTTTCTCTATTGTAATGGTTTTCATGCATTTTTTACCATTCTCACCTTGTCTGATTCTCTCCAAAATAGGTGACGTGGAGATTTTGACATACTTCTTCGGTCCAATAGGTGTTTTACTTTTTGTCAATATCATTCTTTTCGCATCCACGGCCCGCCAATTGACGTGTGGATTATGGAAGAGAGACGATGTGAAGTCCACAACAGAGCGGTGAGTTTCCTTGAGATGTGTGGATAAATCTTCTGGTTTTCTTGTTCTGCGACATGCTTATTTTCATACCACTTTGTGTGGTGGTTTCCGTGAGAAAATCTTGTTCTTTTTTATGGCTGGTGTGACACTGAGATGGCCAAAAAGTGACATAAAAGACACTGAAACTATTTAACTCTGGGAGATGAACTCAGAGACAGTCAAAAGAGGAATCCCATTGATGAGAGAGAAAAAAAAGTGGTCTGCAATTAATTCTACACAAAATTATTCGCAGATTCATACTTTATTTGTGAAATGGAAATGTATCAAGAAGATGTATCATTAGAATACCAGTTTTTATTTAATTGTGTAGTCACATTGAACAAAAGAAATTCCCATCGATCCATTAAGCGCAGATCATTATCAGTGATGCGGGAATAATTTTTTGGAAGAAAATGCCTTGCTTAAAGTGCTTTTAAATTGACTTTTCCTCCACGGCGTACAAATCATATTCATCATCAAGATCAAATTGATTAGAATTTATATGATTCTGTGGACAATGGAATTATTTCTCGTAAGTGTGTGACATCGAGCCATTGAAAGTTCAGGCAGAGATCAGAAAAAAGGCGAAGACAACGCTATTAAATTCATAAACTATGTTCATTTTGCATCGATGCTGCGGAGTTGATGCAGAAGTTAAATCTCTCTTCCTTTTGAAATTCCCCCTTTTTAAGCGAATAAAAGTATACAAATATGGAAGAGTGATGGAACATGCTGAACAACTCGTGGTGCTTTTAGCGAGCAAACAAAGTGCACATGTAATGTTGTTCTTCTCATAGTATTGGGAAATTTACTTCTAGAGCTGCTCTGGGGCGAGTTTGCCTGAAATTGGTGGTCGTCATGGGAGTAACGTGGATAGCGGATGTGATTTCGTGGGCTGTCGGCGGTCCCAATTATCTATGGTACGTGACAGACTTCATAAATGCCCTCCAAGGTGTCTTCATCTTCATCGTGGTTGGATGTCAGCCTCAGGTGAGACTCGTTGTCCCTTTTCACACATAAAAGCGCACAATATGTGTGTGCATATGTGCACAATTTGTCGTGTCACTTGACCGCACTCTGATGTGCTTGTGCGTCTCCTTCAGGTCTGGGCGGCTGTGAAGAGGATCTGCGGCTCAAAATCCAATCGCAGCGTGATGAATACCACAAATGGCCCTCAACACTCGAGTTCATCGCATGGATTGCCATCGATGGGGGACACAATAACGAACAACACTTTTACCAACAATACGAGCTCGAAAGTCCCAATGGAGACTGTGTGCTAAAGTGCGAGAACGGACTTTTTTCACTGCGTGGATCTGCGATTTAACACTAATTCCTCACCATAATTTTGCTGCGATTTTTATTTAATCGGAAAAAAATGGAGCAAGTTTAGAGATGTTTTTGAAGAACAGTGATGCATGGACAAGTTTTCTTATTTATATTAATGTGAAACATTCGTTAATTCTTTTTCACACACGCAACGAGAGAGTATTTTATGTCATTATTTCTGTGAACTATGTTTTTTTTTTCTTCTTTAGAGTGAGCGAAGAGAAATTAGTGAGCCAAAGTTTAATTTATCTTAGGAGAAAAAGATAGGATAACAGTAGGATTTACGAGACAATAAAGTTTAATAATTCGTATTAATACAACCTGCTCTGTATTAACTGTAGGAATTTACTAGATATGCAATAATATATGTATCGCAATAAGGTTGAATTGATAAGCGACTGAGTATCAATTCAACAGTTTTCTTCTTGTTCTATCAAAAAAGGGGAAATGTTAAGTAAGAAATTTTTCATTGTACAAAAAAGAAGGAGAAGTCAAAAAGAACGAAATATCTTGTTTTTGCAAAGTTACTTGTAGCATTTTGTTTCCTCGTTATAATGTGTCGAAGGAAGTGAGAAAAGAGAGACGCCTCTTGCCTTACGTATTTAAGAAATTGGAGTGGATATTTTTGAAATTTTTGATAACGTGTCTTTTTGCGGAGAATGTGTTGAAGACTGATTTTTCTCCCCACATAAAGGAATCACTCATAAACGCATAATCATTGACATTACTTATCGCACATTAATCATTATATATATTTCATAACATACATGCGACAAATATCACTAAAATGTAAGGATTTTTCACGATATCGCCAGCAAGAGAAATTTTAATACAGGCAGACAGTCTTTTTGTACCCGAAAAATCTCCCTGGAGCTGTCCGGTTACCTGTAAGAGTATTATGTACTCATGCACTGCGGGAAATGGAAAAGAGAAGTTCGCAGGAGTTTTTCTGTCTAATAAACTAATACAGACGAAAGTGTGTTTCTTTTAAAAATAAATTGAAGAATGATTTTGCCATGGATTTTTCAAGTGATGTTGGAAAATTCGAGTTGTTGTCTTTGCTAATACTTGTCCGCCACCTTACAGTTGAAAGCAGACCTACTAAAAGTCGTGGATCATTTTCCATCTCGCAGTGACTTACTTTCAGGTGTAGCGCCATCTATCAGTAGATGGCACGCTAAGCTCATTAGCATAGACATTGACCACTGTATCCATCTCATTTATTAAGTCGGATAGCAGTTTGCCAAATACGAGAGAGATTTTTGGTGTAGAAGCTTGAAAAGACCTGAATTTTGGACTCGAGATATCCCAGCAGTAATTCACAATTAGTCATCGCTTTCCGAATGAATTTTTCATCTCTTATTCCGTTGAAGAGAGCGAGAGAGAGCACATTTGAGCGGAGAGTACGCACTCGTGTCGCTACCATACTGCGTAGTAATGGCATAGAATGGGTGTGGCAACGTCTGCTGGGCTGCCATCGAAAATGTCAGTGCCAGTTCGTACTCGCCTTTGATATTATTTTGCTTTTTTCCTCATTCATTTTCCATGGAAATAATACTGAAAGTCATGTAGATTTGTGTTCAAAGTGCCCGGTGAGAATCTCAAGTGTGCAAACACGTAGAATAGGATGGTGTGCGCGTGAAGGGGGACAAGGAAAAGCGAGTGAAACTGTGTGTGGTGCACCAAGAGCGCCCCCAATCACAATAGGAGCTGGTGTGTGAAAAGATGGCGGAGACGTCGCGCTTCTCCTGCACGAAATGCTTCAACGATATCTTCACACACTTGCTGAGGATACACTTTAGCACGGAGGAGCTGGAGCAGCGGTACAAGTCGCGCGAGATCGACAAGTTGCTGGAGAAGGACAAGCACGCCTTCCGGAGGCAGGTGAGGGAGCCCCACCAAGCGGAGGAATTCCTTCCGCGGCCACCGAGTCAGCACAATTGACATCATTGTTGTGCTTTTTCGTGTCTCTCCTCTGCCCATTGGCTGCAACAAACAAATAACATTCCCTTCCGTTTCAGGTTAAATTACTTCTCCTCGGCGCTGGTGAATCAGGCAAATCCACATTCCTCAAGCAAATGCGAATCATCCACAATATCAAGTTCGAGTCGGAGCTGATCAGGGAGTATCAGCTGGTCATCTATCAGAACATCGTCAAAGGTGAGATGCCGCGCCACCCCCAATTGCGGGGCGCCGCCCAGTGCGGAATTCCATCGAGATGTTGACCCACAGAGGCTGGCGATCGCAGCCTCATTCGCCTGGGCTCATCTTCGCTTTATTAATTGATCGTAAAAAAATGCGCAAAAGAGAGAAAAAGAGGCGATTTACTCGATTTCCTCCCCGCAGTCGTAAAAATTCAACAGAGACGCACTTTCAACGTCTTTATGTCGCGACATTGTGAGTAAGAAAACAGCCCAACATCCTGGATGAATTGTCTTTGGTCGGAGAAAACTTTCACCCGCTCACGAGAATACGCAGCGCGCCCGGAAATTGTACACTTGCTGCTTGAAGTTGCGTCGAAAGTGGTTGGAAATGTTAATGATACAGTCTCGCGGCGCAATTGCGTGGTTTTGTGGAATTTCCTTAAGGAAAAATATGCCCTAGAGAAGAAAGGAATGTGTGGCTGGCAAATGAGATTATTATGGAAGTGATTTTTGCGCCAAAAATAACCCTAAAATAAGTTGCATAATTACTTATATAGCTCTAGAGCGTAATTAGCTTGACTGATAAAAATGCAATCAAATGCTCTGTTACATGGCAAATTATTTCCGTCACAGCATTTGTTACCATTTTACTCCATTCTTCACTTGATTTCCTCTCTGAAAATTGCTTTAATTGCACGAGTTTCTCCGTCTCTCTCTCTCGGTGGATTCTGTTTAATTAAATTAAATGACTGATAACACTCATCTCAAGCAAGTTTGGTCAGGCAGGAATTGACTAATTAAGGCGATAAAAGACTTTCTTGGACTGCCAATGGAGTCGCAAATGAGTTGCAATTCTCTAACAAAAGAGATCAATGCGGGCGTGCAAAAGAACGGCAAATCAGCTGCTAAAAGCTAAATTGATTAATTTACACATTTTTTTCACTTGAGATTTATTGAATTATGCAAATTGTTCTCTTCCTTGGCGCACTTCTGTTGAGCCATGATTTACTAAAGTGGGCTCGCTGTGGCTCTTTTCTCCGCAGGAATGCAAGTGCTGGTGGACGCGAGGGAGAAACTGGACATCCCATGGGAGCATCCGACGTCCGAACTGGCGGCGAATAAGGTGAAGCTGTTCCATGGAACGGGCCTGGATCAGGAGCAGTTTGCGCAGTTTTCACCAACAATTCACGTCCTGTGGCAGGATAGGGCCATAAAGAAGGCTTACGATAGGCGGAGAGAATTTCAAATTGTGAGTCGCGCGATGGACTGCTGACCGGCAGTGTGACTAATGGGGGTGTTTTGCTTGTTCTTCGTCGTCTTTCAGAGTGACTCTGTGAGCTACTTTCTCGATGAATTGGAACGAATAGCGAGATTCGACTATGTTCCGTCAACGAAAGACATTCTTCACTGCCGGAAGGCGACGAAGGGTGTCTATGAGTTCACAATTCGAATACAGGTGAGGCATTTTATTTTGTTTTTGCGAATCCTGCGGATCGTGTGAGTGACTTGAGTGTCTTGTATTTTGCAGAACATTCCATTTCTGTTCGTGGATGTGGGCGGGCAGCGGACGCAGCGGCAAAAGTGGACAAAGTGCTTCGACAGCTCCGTGACATCCATCATCTTCCTCGTGTCGACGTCGGAGTTCGATCAGGTGCTGGCGGAGGATCGCAAGACGAACCGCCTTGAGGAGTCCAAGAACATCTTCGACACCATTGTGAACAATGTGGCATTTCAGAAGATAAGCATCATCCTGTTCCTCAACAAGACGGATCTTCTGGCGTTGAAGGTGCGCAATCCAGAGACTGACATTCGCTGGTACTATCCACAGTTCACCGGCAATCCCCACTCAATTCTCGATGTACAAAACTTCATCCTGCAAATGTTCATGAACGTGCGTCGCAATCAGCGATCCGCTGCCATTTATCATCACTTCACCAACGCTGTGGACACACAGAACATCCAGGTGGTCTTCAATTCCGTGAAGGACACAATCCTCCAACGGAATCTCGCCGCCCTGATGCTTCAGTGAACCGTGAACACGAGCCCGCGATCTAGCTAAGAGGACACCTTCCGCCCACGAGGAGAATTTGCCATAAGTGAGAGAGGGGGAGAAAGAGATAGAGCGAAAGAGAAAGAGAGGAGAAAAATGTGGTTGAACAGTGTTGGGAAAATCATATTTATGAATATTTGTTTCATACCAGACCAAAAATTATTAAACATTACATTTTTATAACACATTTATCGCGTATGTAAAGGTGGGAGTGAGAGAGAAAGAGAAAAGTGGAGAGAATAAGAAGAGGAAATGAATTGCAAAAGGGAAAAAATGCTACAAAAAGCGATTAACTAAGAATTTTGTTGACACTCAAAAAAGGCTAATTTTTCGTGCCTTCTCCTTTTTTACATTTATTGCTATTAACAACAAGATGAAAGGGGGAAATGTTTAGGAGCAACTTTCTCAATTTTTACAACATTTTATAAATTAATATTTAGTATAGACGAAAAAAAAGGAATACCAATACAATTTTCATCCATTTATAGTGAAAGATTTTTATATCTGTCAAAATTAAAAATTTTGTAATCTCGAGAGAAAAAAAATGTGATATAATTGATAATTAACAGAAAAAAAGGAAATAAGATATGAGAAGAAATTCAATTTAGCCATTTGTCGGTGTAATATTAGTAATGAATATATTTGGGGAAAAAAGGAAATGCATGAAAATTCTTTTTTTCCATAAAATCCAAACTTTTCTACATTTATACTATTTGTAACAATATTGCCTCTTTTTGATACAATCTAACACAATAAATGTAAATCTCTGTAATATAGAAGAAGTAACTGGTAAAAATAACTAGAGGCTGACTTCCTAAAAAAAAAGATATATTGAGAAATTGACGGAAAGATAACGCAAGGAATAAACGGCTAAAGTGCGCGCATGAAAAGATCTTAGAAAGAAACCAACTAAAAAGGTTTAATTTATTTCTCTGTAAATATTTTTGAGTGTGAAAATAAAAATGCAGAAGACAGTATTGGGAAAATTCATTAAATCAGTGCGTTTCAATTTGGAGTCAGCTTAGCTTTACCTGCAATTATTTCTAATTAGCGACTAACGTTTGAGAGCTTGTTTGAGAGTGTCTCTACTTCTCCTCCTCAGTGTCCAGGAGTTTGTTGATAGTTGCCAATTCGCGTGTACTCCACGGCTCAAGAGGATCAGGAGGTGTTTCCGGTCCTGTCTTGTCGGCTTTCTCACCTTTGCCCGATTGCGGTGCGGATTTCCCCCGCTTCTTCTTCGCCTCCTCAGATGCCTTCTCCGAGACTCCATCAGACGGCGAGACTCTGAAAGATGGGAAATTTTCATTAAATCACACATCACACATATTCACTGGCACAAGTGAGACGTACTTGTTCTTGGAACTCCGCCCGGCAATCTTTCTCCCTTTCGAGTACTTTCCATTCTTTCCAGTCGAAGACGATTGTTCCGCAGGAGCGCCATTTCCTGCCTCCTCAGCTCTCGATGATTCTCCCTTGGGAACTCTCTCAACGGTCGTGGATTGAGAGTCCACAGATTGCTTCCGCGGACGCAAGTGGAAGGCCTCCATCTGCCTCTTGACGTCCTCCACATTCACCACTTCCTCTTCCTCCAGTGGAGGAGAGCCTGCTGGTGGCGTGGACTCAATGGGAATAGCCGGCGAATCATCCCAGGCTATGTGAAAGAGTGGATGCTCATCATTGCGCCTCTTAGCCGAGGCAGAGCGACTCACAGCTGATTTGGCTCGTCGAATCAGAGAGATTTTACCGAGCACTGGACGATCTCCAAACGCCTCGGAATCCGTATCCTCGAGCGCTTCCAGTTGCTTGAGGAAAGCCTTTTCCTTCTCCGGATCAATCACATCATTGGGGTTCTGGAAGAGTGTGTTTGCCGCACTCTGAAGTCCCACTGCCACTGGTGGCAGTGGAGCTGCCTTCACGGGCACCGGCTTGGGCTCCTTGGACTTGAGAGGCACCTCCAGGATGTTCTCTAGCACTGTGGCCTCTTTGGCCAGTGTCTGAATGTTCGCCATGTAGTTCTTGTCATTCACGCAGATTGCTTCAGAGATCAGCACCAATTCCCTCAGTGGATCTTTGTAATCCACACTGGTGTGCATCAATTGGCTCGGATGAAGGCTTCCCTTGACACTCATCTTGCCCTGGGTTCCGGGCTGTGGCATCATCGTGCCGTCAGGCTCCATTCCGTCCCCACACAGGACAATGTCGTGGGTGAAGGCCATCACATCGATAGCGGCTGAGATGGCGAAAGGATCATTAGGATCACGCTTCTTCTTCGTGACCTTCGTCGGACTGCTTATTGACGCTCTGCCCCACATAATCCTCCTCAGCTCCTCGCCAGTCAATCCGCGCTTCTTCAGAGCGTTCAATGTCACTTTTCCCACTCGCTTCCAATTGCACACGGCGCCCTTTCTTTGCTTTGCTCGTGTCTTGCTCTTGCTCTTGATCACCATCACGCCGCGCTGCTCGAAGCCCGAGTCATCATTGCTGGGCCCCAGAGAGATTGAGTAGTCCTCCAAGTACTTTTTGGCATCCGCCTGGGACACGGCACGCTCCAGTGTGACTACGATCTTAGCCCACTGCTTCATCCACTCCTTCTCTGACTGCTCAATCACATATGCGTACGTGTTGCCCATCATAGCGATCAGCATGTTGAGCAGAAGAATGGGCACAAAGATCATGAAGATGACGAAGACGGTCTTAGCCAAGTTAGGATACGTTGTGTTATTGAGATCTGCGTAGTTGTAGTCGCCGAGTGTTGTCTGGAACAGAGCCATCCAGGTGCTGGGGTAAGTGGCGAAGGGTGTTGATGCCACTTGTGGATGGCCTTTGTAGAGGAAGAAGAACGCCTGTGAGAATCCAACGATCACAATTGTGTAAATGATCCCGAACGTGAACATGTCACCCGTGATCATAGAATAGATCATCGTCACGAAAGGTCCAGTGAGGCGAACAGCACTGAAAAGCGTGAAAATCTTCAATTATACTGGCCATTTGCCGCTTGTCTGCTTTTGGCAAAAATCACTCACCCAGCGAAGAACATGAGCAAGAACCAACTTCCAGGCACTGCAAATACCAAAATTGCCTCTTCCGTGTCCGTGTCGCCGGCTATTCTGCACGGAATGCAGGCAAGGATCAAGAAGTTGGAGATCAGGAAGATGAATTTTGCCGGAGAATTGGGCAGTTGTCTGAGGAATGCCACCAATCCTTGATTCTTCACTTCATCTCCCTGCTGAAACACCACATAGCTGAGAACGCCCAGAATCGTGCAAATTTCTGCGCAGTACCGAATGATCGTTGTCACGTCAAAGTCATCATCGTCGTCTGGTGCATTCGTGGGCTCGACTTCCTCCTCGTCGCTCTTCTCACTCTCCGGTCGCAAGTAGATGCTGATGGAGAGGCAGAGCAGATGGGCGAAGAGAATGAGTAGACGTTTGAGAAACTGTCCTCTCGCGAAGGTCTTCCACTTCTCCTCCAAGAGCCTCTGAATAATGCCACCATCCAACATATCCAAGTGCTCCTCCTTCGTTCCATTGAGAATGATGAAGAGGGCAGAGTTCCAGTTGGTCCTCCCGTCAGGAAGGAGAGTGTCCAGCGCATTCAGAGGATATCCTGAACACGTGATATTGCTGTATCGCCAAAACTCCCTCGCAGACAGTTCTAACATCTCCCTGAACACTTCTGCCCTGCCCAGAGTGCAAGCAAGCGTGAGAGGCGTCAATCCGGCGTCATTGATGATGCCATTGCGACAGGGAAGCTTGGGATGTCGCAGAGCATAGCCGAACATATCCAGTTTGTCACAGACAACCACCATGTGGAGAATCATGTTTCCGAAGGAGTCTTGCGCATCCGGATCAGCTCCCACATCCAGTAGGAGATTGTAGACGCTCTCATTAGCACAACAAGCCGCCCATGCGAGCGGATATTCCCCCAAATAGGCCAGACCCTCGTAATCCGTATTCTTGGCTGGATGATAGCCTTGCTGGTCTCTCGGCAGGAAGAAACTCCCTATGGCTCGCTGATTCACATCCGCCCCAGCATCAATGAGATCCTGCACGAGTTCATTGTTACTGTATGCAATGGCCAAGTGCAGAGCACTGGCACCCAAGTACTCCTCGCCCTCGATCACATCCACGGCCAGCATTGGGAACACCCTGAGCAGTATCCGGCCCAGCTTCGTGTGGACCTTCGTGTCGCAAATAATGAGGACATGCAGGAGACTCTCTCCCAGAGAGCCTCGATACTGCATCTGCCAGCAGGCTTTGTGGTCCTTCCACTTGCCCAGAGGATCGTGAGGCGACAGGGAGGCTTCAATTGGTATCTTCACTTCTGAGTTGTCAATATACTTCCAGCGTAGATACTCCGCACGATTGATGATCTGTCCTTTGCCGCCATTATACATGAACACACCAAATTGCTCCCGGATCAGGGACTCCACTGCCACCTGACCGCCCGTCTGAATGGCATCGATAAGTTCGCCCCCTGGAAATGAATCGGTCATGGACAATTTACCTTCTCGGGCACACAAAAGTCAACTCACCCCTCTTGTAATCGGCCAATTTGTACAGCAGACAAGCACTGGAGGACGATTGGGAGATCACCTGATCTAGAATGGCTCCAGGATTTGGTTCGGGCTTCTTCTTCCTGCACGGTTTCCAGGTGAACTTCATTTTCACTCCTCAAATGTATCACAATTTCCTCTGATGTTTCTGCAGTTTAAAAAAATCACCTTTTATTTGTTTGATCGATAATCATTTGACCCAATTTCCACGGAATGTGAGACAGAAAACTCAACACATTTGAGCAGAATACATTTTCTTCTTTATTTTGTAACTCTTTTTTTCAATCAAAACTTCTCTGTTTTCATCATTAAAATAATTAATTATTTAATAACAACAATATGCGATCAATTTTTTTCATCTTTCTAATAAAAGGTTCTCTTGCAATATTTCTCGTAGAAACTTTTCATTTTTCTCCTTTTTCATATACTTCCATTTTTCAGTGGTTCATCTAACTCCTAACAATTTTCTTTCTGATTTTTACTATCTGAAAAATAATTGTAATGATTTATTATCTCTCTTTCACTCTCAATTTCCTCCTCCGATTACTTTTTTTTTCTTTTTAAATATGTTCTCTAAGCGAGTGTTAGTTAATCAAAAAATGTAAGTTTTTCTTTCCATTATCTAGAGTAGATTCTTTCTAAACCATTTAAACGACTTGTTTCATTGAAAAAGAGGGATATTTTCTTGTCGCAAGACTTCTCTCAGAGTGTAGCGTGAAAGGTGAATTAGTGTATGTGATTTTGAATAAATGTTTAAAGTGAAAGTTTAGTAATTTTTTTTTTCTTTATACAATTGTCAAATTTCCTTCTTCTCGTCAACAATAAATGTATATAGAAGCTTACAAAATAATTTCCTCACTGAGATAATCTTCAATATTTCGGTGCTACTTTTTTTTCTTTTCTTCCAACAATTTTCATCAACCAAAATATGAATTCATTGCATCTTCTTTGCAAGTTAGACTACAATGAAAATTCGAGTAATTTATCGGGGGTACGATTTTTCTCTCTCCAAAATTGCTTATGTTGAAGATTTCATATTTTTTCCGCGCACAATTTCCCATCTATTAATTATTATGAATGGAGAATATTTAAAAATGACGAGTTATTCTTCTAATTTGCTTCTTTGATTAATATTTTAATATTAGGTTCATCTTTTCTTTTGTCTTCCATTAAGGGAGAGGGACGTTTCATGTGGTATTATTTATCATTATCTCAAAAATGGATACTTTACATTGTTGTTGCTTCCTTTCCTCTAGGGATAGAGATAAAATTTTTCACTTTTTTTTATATGCGTTTATAGAGATAAATTACTGATTTGTAATAGCTAGCTAAATAGATAATCATGATCTCTAAATATTCATCTGATTTTTCTGTCCTCTTCAGTTAATCAATAATCAATAATACAATTAATAGTCATTTTCGTCAACAAACATTTATCATGTGTATAATATAGTACTTAATTTATACTCGTCCTACATAATAATTTTTTTATCTGCCTTTAAAATGTGTCAACCCTTGTTTTTCATCAGAAAATCTTTCCCCCTTCTAGATATCCGTCGCAATAAATAAATAAAATACATGAAAAGATGTTTCCAAATATGAAATAAATTGTGATGGAGCCAATTTTGCTGAAAGACAAATACCTTCGCGATAGATATAAGATACAATATTTCCTTTTTGAGGCATGGCAGCGATATTAGATTTCTACTTCTCAAACTCCCTTCCACAACTATAGACATTTGATTAAATAATTTTACTAAAATCTAATTGTAGGTTGACAAAATTGACTCCATCGACAATGAAAATAAGGGGAGAAATACTAGACAAAAATAAACTCTATATTAATAAATTTGTAAATCTTGTAAAATGGATAATTGAAAAACTTTTCTCGATTTATCTAAACAAAAAGTATTGAAGATTAAAATATGAAATATAGAAGCAATCATAATACAATTGTTGTCATCATCTTCCCATTGTTGCTCCGCCTTTACACCACGCATTCTCCCAAGTGGAGCGATCGTCAATGCGCGCACAAGAAGAAAAAAAAACTCCTCAAAACAACAATTAAATTCATGTGTGGTTAAGTTTAGTGATTGTAGCCAGATCGAGACACAGGCCTGGCTCTTGATCTTGGCGGCAGTGTCCATGTTGTAGTTGCTGTTGGTCATAGCGGCTCCTTCGATGGCACCCATATGGTTGGGCCCTGCTGGCTCCACACCACTTTCTTCGTCTTATTGTAGATCTCCTCGATGTTGTCCCCTTGGACAACGGCTGCAAAAACAAACGACAAGTCATTACAAACTTTTTCCACACACAACAATAAATCAAATTAGACTCACATGTGAAGTATTCGCCAAATTCTTGCTCCATCTTCAAGGCTCTCTCGAAGGTCTTCTTCGCCTGTTCTTCAGTCATTCGGCGATTGATTTCCCTGCACAGAAGAGAAGTTTGTAAGTGAAGATAGATAAATCAATAGCAGATGATTGGACTCACATAATTGAATCAATGGATTTGGGCTTTATGAATATTGCAATTGGATATAATTGAGCAACTTGAAGGCGCTTTATTGCATTGCCGGACACATCGAGGATACAGTGCTTCCCCTTTTCCGCCACTTCACGGACACTCGCCACCGATGTTCCGTACAGATTGTCATTGTACTGTCCCGCCTCAATGAACAAGTGATTCTGAATATCTTTCTCCATTTGCTCACGTGACGACACAAAATGATAATCACGTCCGTCCATTTCGTAGTCTCTCTTCGGTCGTGTTGTGTCTGTTGGGACAAAAAAATAGACAATAAGAGATCAGAAATAGAAAAAAGAGCAATTCAATGCGCATCTCTTTCACAAAATCAACTCACGTGGAACACAGGAGCCAAACTTGTCGGGAAACTCTGAGATTAAATCATCATTTATGCGGTCCTTCAGTGGACCCAAAATAATCACGGGTCTTGCATAGTTTATCGAAAGGCGCTGTACTGGTTCATAAGACAAAACATTCTCCTCTGTGGCTGCAATAAAAGCATCAAGAATATTACTAAAGAAATTCAATAATTTCCTCCACTTTCGCACTAAAATGTACATTAGTGAGGAAGAAAGCAGAGATTTTCTTCCTCAGTTTCAAGAAAGAAGAGAATTATCGTTAGACTAAATTGTCCGAATTTACAATTTTTTTTCTTCTGTCCAAGAAAGAGAAAAAAAGTAGAGAAAGCCAGGCACACAAGGAATAAACATTCAGAATACGAGATGCTGAGAGACAGACAGAGGAAAGGGTAAGACAGCATGAGATCACTAAGTATTCGATCTATCATCATCATCGTCAATGGAGATGTCATTCTTGGAAATCCTAAAAGCATCATAAAGCCTTACTTTTAAGTTGGCCCTAAGAACAAAACATCCAGTTGCTAAACTATTCTCTGGCTTAATGACATATTTCACATGAAATTATTTATAAATGAAAAGATGAGTGAAATTGTGCATAAACAACATTACCATTTTCCTAAAAACTAACGTGAATTAGGATAAACTATTTTGTGCAATATGACTAAGTTTTAAGTAAAATTGTGATAACGTGGAAATTGTTTCGTTTAATCAATAAATAAAAAAGATATTACACGTGGCATTGCAGCAAGAGGTAAATCTTATTGTTCATAATAAAAATCATATAACAATAATTCGGGGAAGATTCTCATCATTCGTGGGGAAAGTGTGAATAGAATTTGAACGAAAACAGTTTGGAAATAGAAAAATTCTTACAACCAACCACACCTAAATTTATCAATATTCACAAAATAATATTGATAAATTTCACAGTGATTCAGAGACATATCTTAAATCAATAAACTAAAGGAGAGAAGCGATAATCAAGCAATTTCAAATCACTTTCTCTAATTATTCACTTTCAGTTTCTTATCATTTCTTTCTCGTTTTAATTAAGCCCATGTAAGCTTTGGAGGTCATTAGATTAGTTGGTTTATTGTTTTTGACAAATTAAATCAAGATTAAGGAAAGCCACTAAAACATACTCAACTACATAATCTAAAAGTGTTAAATGATTTAATTTTCTAATTTATTTTCTCTACTTTAGCTTTTAGTCTTGTCATTTCTTTAATTTTGCATAAATTATTCATCAAGAGCTCAATCTTTCAGTGTGAAGCTCATTTCTGTGCTCCTCTCGATTGATGTTTCATGTGTAAATACGCGGGTTTTGCGTGAGAAAAACTGTGTTACTTTGGCAAATAAAAAGCCATGTGAGAAAATTTAGGCAGAAAAAACTGAATTTAACAGAATAAAAACCGATTCAGCCTCTCTATGGGTTTTATCTGAAATTTTTGCAGGATCACACAAAACGGGAGGTCGAAAAACACAGAGCGAAGTCTAAGAGAGTTTAATCTTCAATGTCTCTACTCAAGGAGATGCAAAACACATTTCAAATAAGATAAATTTTTGTTTGTTGAAAGGAATAAAGTAATTGTTTCACATGTGATTTTCATTTATAGTGTTTACACGGTCTTCTAATATTTTCATTATGAATTTAAGAGATCCAATTATTTTGTAAATTGATCCCAATTCATATAAGATTATTATCGTTTAGAGAGCGATAAATTACTCTTGATGTCAAGTGTGTGTGTGTCAAATACTATAGAGCCAGGTTATGAGTATATTTTATAAAAATAAGACTAAATGTCCATTATTGTGATGTTCCTTTATCAAAAAAGAAGCGTCACTGAGACAGGAAACTTAAAAAAATATATTAAAACCAAAAAGTAATTTTTAACCATTTCCTGAAGGTTTTGTAGGCGTTTTAACTTTCATTTTTTATATTATAATTTTTCTTTTCGGTCAGAAACTGTTTTTGTTGTGGATTGAGATTTCTTGCGTGACTTACGATAGTCAGCATCACTATTCTCCAGGTAGATTAGCGTAATCTGCTCCATATCGGGTAACTCCACTCTGTAGATTATCTCGCCTTTGGTATCATCACCCACAAAATTAATAGCAAAAAAGTTGTTTTTATGCTTCTTCCATCATTCAGTTAAATAACGAAATAAAAACTAATAACTGAATTTTCATCTAAACTCTTCTATATATTCAAAACAACAAAAAGAAAATTATCTAAATGAACTAATTGCAGTAAGATTCTGAAGAGTGACAAATAAATTAAAAATTTTCTTTTATAACCTTAAAAAAAAACACATCAATATAAATTTTAAGCTGTTTTGTCATTAAAAAAAATTCTCTTTCAATTTTTCGATAAAAAAGAACAAATCTCTGTTAGCATTTTCAAAGCAATTTAATTAAACAGTCTAAATAACAGTTTTAGGTAGAAAGAACAGTAAGTTTCGTGGTTTCATAACCAAAAAAAATATATATCAATGCTTAAAAAAGGCACATATGTATATATTATAATAATATATATCAGAAAAGAAATTAAACTGAAAGAGACAATAGAAAAGTATTCTTTAATGTGAATTCTAAGTGAAGACGAACGAAAATAATTAAAAATGCACAATAAATCTTCTGAAGTAAATGGACGCCGAGATGAAGAGTGGAATATGTTGGATATGAGGGAGCATTTTTTTCACTTTATCCTTTCCTTTGCAAAATACCAATTTTTGTATCACTTTTTACACTGTTTCATAAATGCTTAATACATATTAACTAATTACTGTCCAATTCAATACACTTTACATTGTGTCTTCATATGAAAATTCTCTCAAACTATTCTACGGATTTTCTCTCCTTCCATAAATGTAATAAAGAAAGTATACACGAATAATTTTTCTTATAACATTTACAACACCTAAACATCAAATATGAATCTGCATTAAGTCAAAATACAGGTATACTCTGTATAGAAAGTGTAAATATCTTTTTAAACTAAACTAGAACTTTTACCACATTTTCTTCAACATTTTTCTTGTGAGATGAGAATCACGTAAAAAATGCCAAAATTAAGTAATTAAAAATGCAAATCATCTTATAAAAGTCCAATAACAATCATTTTCATTAATCTCCCCGAAAAAAATCAAAGAAATTTCAATAAATTTGCATTTTCTCTTCAGCACAGTGACGTATAAATATAGACAAAAATTACAATAAGTAAATCAATCAAAAAGTAAAATACTCTTTACATTCGTTAATGATATTGTCAAATAAATACGACAATGTAATGAAGATGTCACATATCACTTTTATGATTATATTTTTTATGCGTATTTATCAATTTTTAGGTGAAAAAAAAAGAAAATATGTAGTATACATAAAAGCGGCGCAAGTACAAAAAGCTCAAAAATCATGTTTCATCAGTCGATTTCTTTTCAAAAGTGAGATTCTTATCATATATTGTGAAGAAATATCGATATTAGCAAGTTGATTCTGCGCTTTATAACTCTTAGTTCTGTTGCAAAGCACGAGAGAGATTACTTGAGAGCAATATATATTATATATATATAGATGTAAAAGGATTTCATAAGAAAATGTAGAAGAAATCTATTCAAAATCAAACCATTTCTGCAAAGAAAGGTTAAATTTTGAACAAAATTTTGCTGAATGCAGTTCCTTGTCTTTTTCTCGCACATTTCAAATCGACCAATTTGTTTATGCACTTTTGACCACAATGATCCAAAATAAAATATATATAAATCAAATTATCCACAATAAATAAAACAGAGAATGAAGATCAAATCAGTCTCAACAATTTCTAATAATGACCAACAAATAAGCACATAGAGAGATAGAATAGATAGTATATAGAGAAGAAAGTATGAAATACTTTATAAGAGAAGATGAAAGAGTTTTGAAATGTCCTATCAAAATAAAACTTCAACATTGTTTTACTGTAGTTTATAATAATATCATCTTTGCATAGACGAAAGAAAATGAGAAGAACTTCTCAATTAATTGTGAGAATGTCCAAAAAAAAAAACAACAACTTATTGAGACAAAAAATAAGAAAGGGGGGAGAAATCATTAAAATGATAAATTGACGTCATAATAAAATTAATAGAGAATTCACTGTTAACTTGAGGCATAGACCAGAATATATCATAAGAGATAATAATGCGATAACCATTTATAATTTCTGAACATACCTCCTTCAGCATTAGCATCATCCTGAGTGTAGCATAACATAAAAGCTGCAATGAGAAAGAAAAAAACACCACATAAATACATTTTATCAACAGCTATTTAGGCAGAGTCACAGATAGAATTCACAAGATTCCCAAATATTTCATGGCATTCATAAAGAAAAAAAAACTAATTCCCAGCTAAAGTGAAAATGGCACTCAGTTACAATTTTCATTTTAAGAACCAACGGGGAAGAATAAAAAATAAAAGAGACATCAAATACAATGAGAAGATGAATGGATTGAGAGAGTCAGAAAGATAAAAAAAAAAAACATTAATGAGAATGAAACTTACGTTGCTGGTCTGCATCAATGTCTGGAGTTGCATTGCCATTTGCTACAATAATAAAGAGAAAAACAAATAGAAAAAAACCAAGTGCAAAAGAAAAAGAAGAAAATTTTCATCATTCCATGATTTTTTTGTTTCTCAATTCTTTCGGTTTCGATCATATTCCAATAAGATATAAGAAGCATTTTTTCTCACCATGGGAAATTTTTTTTTCTTCAAATTTTTCCCCTTATCATAATTTTCTTTACACCTAAATTTCTCCATAGTAAGAAAAAAAAGAACACAATAATAGTAATCATAACACTATGAAGAGAGAAAAACTTGTGCAAAGAATAAGCGAGAAAATCATTACCATTCCAAAGTGTACAAACACATTAACTAAAACATGAAAAGGAATACATATTTGGAATAATAAAAATCAAGGGAATACTTACGTTCCTGGTCAGATCCATCTTCATTCTTATCGTCTTTGCTCTTCATAAATGGGAATTTTCTTGAGAATGAGAAATTCTTCTTTTTGCGATCGAGTGTTGATTGCTACAAAAGTCAATTCGAAGCCACGTTAGAAGGGATGGTCACTCCCACAAAGGCATTAAGCACAATTGTTATAGAAGGGAAAGTGGAGTGTCACCTTATCTAGATTGTTAGTGGGATGTCCCTGGAATTTGACACTTCGGTCTCTGGCGCGCATCTTCCTCTCCCACCGTCTCTTGGACGGCACAATGCCGATGCCCTCCTCCTCGCCGTCGCCCAGCACTCGCCTCGCCTGCCACCACTCGTCATCGGACGCATTCGTCACATGCAGCACATCACCATGCTTAAAGGGCAGCCCGCGCGACGGCAGACCATCGTCGCGATTGGGGTCATAGTCAAACAGGGCCCTCACATACAATGAGCGCTTCTGAGAGGTCCTCAGCAGCGTCCCTGTGCCGGCATTAATGGCCGCCTGTTGCTTCAGCTCATGTATGCGAGCCTCGAAGCGATTATAGTCCTCCGGACGATACTGCGCCACCAAAGTGACAGTGGGTCCGGAGTTCTTGAGCGCCTGCGCGGCATCCTCATGTGTGGCATTGCGCAAATTCACTCCGTTTACACTCAACAACTGATCACCACGCTTCAGCTCACCACCCACATCGGCCGGACCACCGGCAAGGATAAATGAGACATAGATACCTTGGCCATCCTCACCGCCCACGATATTGAAGCCAAGGCCCTGCGGTCCCTTGTTGATCTGGATTGTTCGCACTTCCCTGAAATTGAAACAGGAGATTAGTCTACATTGCACAACATTTAACCATTTAAATGACTCATTTCATCCATAGCACGAGGTTTTTAATTAACAAATTTAACTTGCTAATGAAGAATTTAGGAATATTTCAAGAAATTCCAAATCTAATATAAACGCGGCACCTTTCCGTGAACGCATATAAAAAGTAATAGCTTTTTTTTATTAGAAACCTTTCATTATACTTGCAGCACAGTGAATAAGAATAAAAGCTCAAATACACTTGATTAGATATTATTTTCAATTCAATAACTCCGGGAGTTACAACGTCTTCCTGCAGTTTGTACACAATAGAACAATCATGTGAAACGATAGAATTATTGCCAAAGTTGTTTTGAATATCATTTTTATTTTGTCACGGAATTTAAACAATTAAGATGAGTTCTAATAAAATCCACATGCCAGGCCTCTTATCACAACATTACTTCTCTTCAAACAACTATATCTGTACCCACTTCACTTGTCTTCTGCTGATCTGAATGCACGTTAACATTCTCTATCTGACGTGAAAATTCACAACTAAGATTCTAAATCATTATTCTCCATCACTCACGAACACCTCTCTTGTCCCATCGATTTTCTGCCTTCACTCATCAACTGACCAACTACAACTTCACGCAACATTTTCCAGCGTTTGTGACCAAAACTGAAAAGTACCGCAAAGTGAGTGAAAGAGAGAAATTCAACAATTAACACAATTGGAATATCATTTCTCCCACTCTCCGGCTGCCACTGAGATATGGTTGGTGTGTGCACATAAAAAAAAAATTCGGAATCGAGCAAAAATTCCACACACGCTAAGAGTGTTGGGAGAGTATTAAATAAAACCAGAAAAAAGAAGTCAATTTCAATGCAAACTCAGCCTCGTACTCTTTCACTCACGCCACACATTCAAAATTTGTATATATTCTCCATATGGCCCCAAATAAAACACTCTCACATGTCTCCATCACTTCACTCACGGACAATATCTCCACTCCTTCCCCACCCGAGCATCTCCCATTGATACTTATGAAATATTTATAAAGCTCTACAGCACATTTTTATCACTAGTGTTTGTTGATAATTTACATTCCATGCGCTCCATTGAGTGAATGAATATGTAGCAATTGAATTTGTCGCTTTAGCCGCGGACTCGCTCGCATTTTGCATTCAATCGAGAGCCCATACACACGTAGGAAATTTCCGGATGTGACAATAATTTCCATTGAGTCACCTCTATCGATGATTAATCAAACAGAAAAAAAGATCTCAACAGTTCATTGGATGGTGTCTGTTTTTTTTTTGCCGCACTGTGCGAGAGGCAAAACAGAGGTTCTTTGGACTGCGTACCTTGTTATATCTTCATGGCTGACAGCTCGTGGGGTTCCAGGTGGAACTGCGGCGAGAACATTGGATGAAGCATAGCGCGATGACGTCTCGAGAGCTGCAGAGAGAAATCAAATTATTAGACTATGCGCCATTTCTATGTCGAGAGAAATTAATCTGTTTGCCAATATATTGCCTTTCACCCGAAAACCTAATTGACTTTGAAGACTTCTTCGTGTGATTATCATCAAGAGACACCACGAAATTCCTAAGTCACACTGTCACTCATCCCAGAGAAAGGCTCAACATTGCAAACAACAAGATAAGCGTCTCTCCGCAATCAATTTCATTCACCATCATTGCAGAATCTCTTTGCCACACTACATTTAACATACCTTGATGCGGTGAATGGGCACGATCCCCTGCGGAATTCGGAAAATCTACAACATTCTGCCCGATGCTGTTGACGGCACCTGTTGAGTGGGAGTTCACGTGGCCCAGACCCGTGACCGGTTGCGACGGCGCAACTGCGTGCTGCGACTTCCCAATCACCAACGTCACCCTATCCGTGACGGACTTCAGAGTGGCCACGGCCTCCTCGTGTGTCACATTCTCCAGATTCTTCTCCTGCCCAGTGGGATGTCGCACCGCCACCAACTTATCCCCAATACTCATTCGGCCATCCACGCCGGCAGCCCCGCCGTCCATTATCTTTGTCACGTAGATGCCATTGTCACCGGGAATGTGTTGATTGCCAATCCCACCGGCAATTGAGAATCCTAGTCCTTTAGCGCCCTTCACCAGGTCGATGTCTATGATCTTGGGCCCTGGCGGGGCGCGCTTTCGCCTCACGTGGAGCTTCACCACATTTCCCGCTTTCTTCAGCGCCTCCACGGCAGCCGCATGGGGCACATCCACCACCGACACATCATTCACGGAGATAATACAATCGTTCACCCCAAGTCGCCCATCGGCAGACGCCGCGCCGCCCGGGATCAGCTTTGTGATGTAGATAGAGGTGTCCGTGCCAATGTGGGGATTATCAGTGCCACCGGCAATGCTGAATCCCAGTCCGGAGTTTCCCCTCTCCAGTGTAATATCCTCATACTGCCAACTATCATCTCCATTCACCTGCAACAACAGACATGCACGTGATTGTCTTCGCCGGCAAATTCGCCTCAAGGCCCCCTCATTGATTTCCCTCCCACTTTCCCACCCAGCGAACCGTGGGTCAATTGCCATGCGAGAATGCTCAATTAAATCAATTTTCTTACGTGTTTAGCATCATTGACAGCCGGCGAGTGAGCCTGAAATGAAATAAAAATACATTTTTAAGCCATATCATTAAGGAAAAGAGCTTATCAGAGACAGAAGGTAAGCGTAATCTTGAATTTCTTATCGCAGTGCCGACAAGGAGAGACATATGTACTATTGCATAGCACTTATGTTCAAATCTACTGGGATGAAACATTCCATTTTTTATCAGCTCACAGACAACATAAATACTCTCACAATTTTTCAAAGTGTTACATTTTTGTGTTAATGATAAGGATGACTAAATAACAGGGAAGCGTACTTCTCCCATGTCAAGCTTCTCTGGCAGTCAAGTGAATTGGCAAGTGCAGAGTGAAGATAAAGCCAAACTATTGAATTCATTTTATCACTGATAAAAGCCATCAAGGTAAATTGCCTAGTTTTTCGACTCACAATCAACCTTCAAGAGCCATAATTTTTCCATCAAACACTATACAAAAAGCGCCCATTTTCTCGTGACATACAAATTAATTCACGCACTTTTCTGAAAGCGTGAAGGGCTAAAAATATACACGCTAAGTAATTTATATGACGAATTCGATAAATATATCAGCAGAGCAAAGCATTCATTGAGTCAACATATGTCTGGAAAAAATGTGTTTACATCGCAAAACGAGAATATTTCACAAAATATCATATAAGATATTTGCTGATTCAATCGACATTTTTCCACTTCTAAGCTCAAAATTATTTACTGAAAAAAAAGAACAGAACTCAAAGAAAACGTTGAAGATTCCCATGGTGGTGTAGTGTGAAAAACATGCCATATCTTTTCCTCACTACCATTAGCAAACACACAAATTCAATTAGGACGACGACCATCGCGAAGAGTTACAGAGAAATTTGCACTCAACATGCGAATGATTGAGTTTGTCGTTTCTCCTTCTCTCTATATAGGTAGCATGCATTAATATTTCGTCATTGACACAAATGAAGAGAAAAATTCTGATTTAAAGCTATGCATATCTGCGTTTCTTTTTCTCCCCATCATCACTTTACCATGAACTCCTCTTCCTCTCAGCAGTGTGAATGAAACATCGTGAAGTCGATATTTAAAATGGTTTTTCAATGCTACAAGAAAATCCATTACAACTATTTTATGACATTTTATGAAAGCAACAATATTAATCTAAAAATGAGTCTGACGCAAATATGATAAAAAATTTACTATTGATTAATATCATTGTACATGAAAAAAAGAACAAAATTCTGACCTCAATCTTTCCCTCCTGATTCTATTTCTCATAAATGTAAGACAATTTTACTTTAAGCCCCCAGAGGAATTAGTACTGATGGAAGAAGAGAGCCTCAACCCACTTTGAAGAAGTGAATTGGAAAGATGTGTGCTGAGCGAGAGGCAAAATCAAGTGCAAAAGAGAAAAGCAAATAAAAATAGATTCATTTTCATTTTCATTAACACACGCGAGAGCAACGGAGGAACATCAACAACCGACCGGAGGCCGGATATAAGTGGATTTATGAGAAAATTACGGGGGTGGATATTTGAGAAATTTGTAAACTTCTCCGGAACAAAATTTCACTCTTCTTCCTTGCGGCATTTTACCTCATTTTTGATAAACTTCTTCCTTCCGTCATCAGCAAATTGACAAGGAAACTGAGTGTATGTACATTTATACACACACTTTCTATCTCACTACGTTTTACCTCAATTGTGCATCACCTGCGTTCACCTTAGCAACCGCTAAGGGGTGATATTTCACAAAGTAACAACACATTTTCCAATGATTAAAGACAGAGTGTAAAGTTTAGTGACTCCCACACCAACAATAATAATTCTACAGTGAATAATTTCACAAGAGGTATTTTAAAAACAGTTTAAATTCGCTGTTGTCTCGCAATTTCTGGCACTTTTGCATGAAATGCGCCTCGCTTTCTTGCAAATTGTTACTCAAACAAACTACACATAACCATCATCTTTCTCTCCTGGGCACAGAGCCAAGTGGCAAAAAAGCATTTGTAAATGTTTCGCTGATCTTGAGGAACATCCATTCAATTGCTCTTGAGAATTTTCCTACGTTCTCCAGAAATAAAAATTCTCTCATGCCGCCGCGCACACACTTTCCTCTGTCGTGCAAAATTACATTTTCTTTATTTTATTTTACGACTATTGGGCGTTTTCTCGAGCCCCTCCCCATGGGAAAATCATGAGTGTGATAGGCAAGAGGACAAGAACAAAAGTACAAAACAAATGGAAATAAGAAAATATAGGGGAAAAATAAATGGGGAAAGAAAATAAAATAATTACCGTGTCTAAATTAAAAAGTGATGATACTTTCTTGAGGAATCCACCTCCGTCTTGTTGGCGCTTCTTCTTTCTCGTTGTCATTCTTTAACACTTTTTTTCTGTCTCCGAGTGTTTTTCTCAGACTATTTCTTTGCCAATTTTCCTCTTGGCTTTTCGATGGTTTGCCGAACTTATTTCACGTTAAAACGACCCCACACACAAGCTATTCATGCAAATTATGCAAGAACACAATGAAAAAACTCTGTTCTCAATTTTAGATAATAATAATGCAAAAGTTGAACGAATTTTAATATAGACACAACATGAATTACACATATGGTTCTATGCAGAAAGAGAGTGAAATGTACTCGAGTGACTAATAAATTGATGAAAATTAAAGTGAATTAAGCACTCATGTTGTCTTTCTCCTCGGCTTTTTTCGGTCGGACAACAGCAAAATTGCACAGAAAATACACTTTTCGGGTCATAAAGTGGCTACTTTTTTTTAACTCTCTAGCTAAAATCAACACAGCAAAAGAGTGCCACTAATTCAGGGCTTAAACAGAACCACGTCTCTACTTTAAAACACCTGTAAGCACAAAATAATAGTTAATACATGAAAAAAAACTGGATAGAAAAATTGGTTTGTTGTTAAATAATAAACAAATTAAACAAATAGAGGTCAATTGAATGCAGCAATTAAGTTGACACTACTTGCAAGTAATTGGGAATAATTTGTACGACTAATTATGATTATTCTAATGAGAAATTGAAAGGCAAGGCGCACAATTTTAGTGTGGAAAAAATAGTCTCTCACACAGGAAAACTTGTCGTCATTTTCCTCGCGGGACTAACACAAACTATCTTTGATGATGGCAAAGAAAATATCGGGTGGAGCGAAAAGGATGGAACTAGTGTGTGTCAATTTGTCAGTATTAAATATTATTTCGCCGTAAGCCAAGCACACACACTCGCGCACTCGCATAAGACTTTCGCCTTGGATGTGTCGGTGCAGCTCAAGAACTTCACTATACACTTTGCCTCTTCGTGTCCTCAAAGCGCCGGAAAGTTGTGGAATTTCATTCGGAAGAGATACTTTTCGCACTCAACCGACGCACACCCTCGATCCCCAAAGCACTTATGCTGCAGTCTGCATTAAATTTAACCCGCGAAAGTGACAAATACCTCATGAAATTTCCACCCAAATCACACACAGATATGCTATAAATAAATACACAGAGCCATCTTGGCATATTACCGATTACCGATTCATGTGTCATCGTCCCTCCTCTTTTTCATATCTGCATGTTGCCACGCTTGGAGCTGTGAGCCTAAAGTCGGGCTTGCAGTTGAGTTTCGAAAAGAAAAAAACGCTTTTCCCCATTTAAATCTCCCCCCAGCCAACCAAGTAATTTTCCTCATTTTCCACACCAACAAATACATTCCAAGCTTTTAGCCATAATCTCCTCGAGAGTTGAATATATAATGATTGGAAAACAAAGGAAAGAGTGCTAAAATCTATTTTCGTTGTGCAATTTTCACTCTCACGCAGATGAAGAAAAGAGGAGATCCACAAATTCCTGAGGAAATTTCAATCACTCATAAAACTATATTCTACACAATTACCTCCTCTTCCTGTGCGCCACAAACCACGCGAAGAAACCCCCGCACTTTCTTTTGCCCACTGAGAAAATCTCTCTCTCTGTTACACCGCAGAAAATCAATTTTAATATTTAGGGCACGGATCGTCATACTATAAATTTTCTCTAGAGACTATATAAATAAAATTGCCCGGAAATACAGTATTTTTTCCTTCTCTGATTCTCGAGACTTTTTTTTTCAACGTGCGCCGCCAACAAGCCGCAGATAGCGTGCAATAAATTAACCCTTTAAGAAGCTCTTCACGCAATTTGCACAGAAAATTTATGATACTCTCTCTCTCTATCGTCTCGCAAGAAAAGCATCTTCTTACAAATCTTTGAAGAAGACATCCACACAGACATTATTTACAACATTTCAAATGTGTTTTATTGATAATGTCACGAGTTTTTATTGAGCAAAAGAGAGTTTTGCAATCTTGTGTCCATTTACTCGGAGATATATTCTTGCAATGCACATGAGAACTCTCATTTTGGGGTCATGAAAATTTACAACCATTAAAGGAAGTGGAAAAGGCACGGAATTGGCTCGAAATTGCTGAATTTAATCAAAGCTAAATTACGGCTAAGGCCAGAAACACGAGAGGTCGTGACCTCATTGATCTTCAACCCTCTCGAGAGGATAAATTTTGTGCACGAGAACAAATCATTTGTCACTAATTTACATTAAGCAAACGTTGTCAATTCATCTAATGTCAAATTATCATAATTTTGTTGTATTAATCTTCACGTTCCGAAAATAATTGAGATTAATTATTGATAAATAAAACATGATATATCAATTTAAAAAGTGCATAGACTTGAACAACATTTATTCACTCTGCAGACACGTAAATTATTAGCACTCTATTGGCAATTCAGTAAGTTTAATTTTCCAATTGAGTTACAATTCCATTCAGGACTCTCAAACAGTGTCTTCCCAATCATTTAATTAAATTAATAACCATATCAATTTAATTGGGAGTACATTTGAATTATATGTAATTAATTTGCTTCTCTCTGTTGGTTTTTCTCCCCCCTGGAAAATGTCACAAATTTCCCCGATCGCCCTCGTTCGTTCCACCTAACCTCAGGTGGAATCAATAAAGAGGATGAAAATGTGAAATAATGAAATGCCACTCAGTCACGCAATTTCACAAAATGCATGACTTTTCTTCTTTCTCTTTTTTGTTCCTCAAGCACTCCTTCTTCTTCGTCACACTTCACGATATAGAAAATTCCCTCTGAAATAACAACGTCTAGGGTGATGTTTTCCCTGTTACACGAGAACAAAGTGCATTTTCTCCATAGTGACATATTTGAATTATTAATTAACTTTGCTCATGAACTGTGAGAAAGCTAGAAGAAAAGGTTTATACATCCTTAAAAGTTTACTTCCCTGAGAACAATCATGTTCCTAAGAACTATGAGAAAATACTTCGCAATGAAATTCCATAAATTCCAATCAATCTCTATCATTCCCTTCTATTCACGCACTCTCACCCAATTTTCTTTCGCCCCTCGAGAAGTTTGCGTATGTGAAGGAGGAAATCACGACAAAACATTTGCAGACTGTCTTCACTTACCAAATACTTTGAAGGCGATTCAGATTTTCGTCCACCAACAGGTTGTTGATGCTCCTTGTCTGTGGCCGCTGCCAGTGATGACGATGGAGGAGCTTGCTTTTCACTCTCCTTTTTCTCCGCTTGATGCGCCTCTTCACCGCTACGAAATCGCTGTTGATTCTAGAATGAGCAAAGAAGAGTGCAATCGTCATTAAATATCTAATTCTATAGACTTTCATGTATCAAAATGCACAACAAAGATGTGAAATCCTCAACAACACAGGAATTTCCCGAGAATTTGTTTATAATCCCCACCCATACAAAATGTGCGCTAATTGTTGCCGAGAAACTCTGCAGAAGCGTATTTCTCGTGAGCCAAAAAATACATATGGAAGATATTAATCAGTTTGGCATAAACATCACAGAGCCATTAATTTGTGGTAAATTCAAATAAGCTCATTATCACCATCGATGAGGGAGAAACCACATTTTCGACGGGAAATTTGCCAATTTTCCGCGAAGGGGTGTAACATATTACTTTGTGTATTGAATTTTCTCCCTTCATCCTTACATGTGTGCAGCAGCACGAGTACTGGGCTCGATCATTGGTCGGTGAGGCCGTGGGTGTTCTTCGACGCTTCTTAATCCTTAACGGAGCTCTAGCACCCACATAATTGGAGAATCGACGCCTCGAATGTCTCACAATTGACACCCAATCAATCATATTGGGTGCAAATGGGTGGCTTTAGGTGGGAAAGTAGAAAGTTTTGCCGGAAAAATCACTTTCACTGGATCATTTTTCATTCGCTAAAAGCTGTTTTCTCAAATTTCACCAATTTCCTACAATTTAAGTCAAACAATGCATTTTCAAAGAAAATTAGTTCTCCAAGAAGATATCTTATTTGTCACTGTTTCTGTCTCCGCATTCATTGTCTGATGCGTAAATTCACTAATTACACGGAAAATGCCTCCTTTTCACACACAATAATGCATATTTATGTCTTCTTCGCATTTTATTCTCCCCTGAGAAAAGCCAATTCACTTTTTTTCAAACTTGTTTTGTATCTATTTCACACAATAATTATATATCCGTAGTCTGAAAGTGTACACAATTTTTCTCAAATTAATCCGCACACACATTTTCCACGTCGACAGAGGAGGAAACAGTGGGAGCCACACGCCAATCCCAGAGAGGATTCCACAACTGACTCATGCAATATTATGTCTCTGGCAAAGTGGAGCAAAAGTGTCTCGTCGGACGCGAAAATCGCCTTTGAAATCCCAATACACCAGAGAGAAAACACCTCATTCTTTCGCATATCATCGAAAAATCTCCCCAGTGATCCCATGCAGAGCAGCAAATTGGTGTGAGAGAGAAAAATCGTTGTAGGCTATTTTTAAACTGGTGTGCGCGAGAGGAAAATCTCGACATGGATGGAAATAGAGGAAAAGTGAAAAAAATACATCCCAGGGATGAACAATTCTGCGTAAACAATTGCTCAAAGCATTTTTTTTCTCTTCGACAATTGGAAAACTTTCTATCGCCATGCAAATTTTCCTTGCGCAGCCAGGAAAATTTCAACACGAAATCACTTCTTTGTAAAACTTTTCACTATGGCTGAATTTGCATCACTGCCCAGCCAGGACAATGTAATAACGATGAAAATGTAAATGAAAGTGTGTCAAATGAAAAAAAAACACAATGAAAATTCATTTTCAGTCTCTCCTGGCAACGAATCAGAACATTCAGGAGCAATACTGCGTTATATTTGCAAAATAGTTTGGAAGCGTTGAAAGGACGCGCGATGCAGGAGCAGCTTTAAATTGATAGAGAGGAAGACATTCAGGAAGGAATTCGGTAATAATCTTTCTGTCGTAAATTTTCCTCAAAAGACTGTAGCATTTTCAAAAGGAATTTCTCCAATGTCATACTCTCAAGCCATGATTTAATAGTCGTCTCGTGAAAATAGATATTGAGACAGAAAAATGACATAACATCCTTGTCAGTTACCATTATCTTCCCCCCAAAAACTTTATTGAGTCATTTGTTGACAGTGAGAAAATCACCCAACCCTGAGAAAAGCTGATTATAGTCATACAGTAGTGAAAGAATAGACACTGTGCGAGAGTAGGATAAAGAGAGATTTCCACTATGGTTGAGGTGATGAGAAGCCAACAGAAACGTCGGCAGACAAAAGTACAAGGAGTAACAATGGAATGATACCAAGCAAACCACATGGTGTTAGTTTTCTTTTCTCTCGGCCTCCTCCTCCTCCTTAAGGCACTTGAAACTTTCCATCCCTTTTTTTCTGATCGAGACGTTGTCAAAAGTACCCCAAACACACTTTACAAGCATTGAATTGAAATGTTCCAAAAAATTTTCAACTGATGCGAAGAGACATGATGAGAATATTCAAAGATTTTTTTTCCAGGCAAAGAGAAACACCCATATTTTCAAGATTTGCATGTCCCTAAGGTAAGAAATTTCCCCTCTTTGTCCGCCCACAGTCTAACATATTTACTGAGAGGTGAATTTGGAAGAAAAAGATTTATTCGTAGCCGGAGAAAATTAATCAAAGCTCTGCGTCATTGAACAACAAATGAGATGGAATTTTTATGCTATCCTTCTATTCAAAAGAAAAACAGTCCTATTTCAACAGAAAAAAAGCCCAAGAGTAAATAAAATACTCCATCGAGTCTTTTGATCACATCCCAATTTTACCCTTAAATGAATTTCTTTCATTCTGAATGGGAATTAAATCAAACAAGAAAAGTGACATTCCCCAAAAGTAATAATCATGTTAAACGGGGGACCCTTAAACTAATGACATGTAGCTTATTAATGGAATATTCCTCAGCCCTGCCCGTCTTCGAAGCGGAAATTTACAAGAAAATTGCATCAATCACTTTCAAATGCTATTCACAAATACACATTTTTATCTCACTCGATCTTCCTTCACAAGCGAGACACTCGTCACCACAGACGCTCACTCGTCTTGGAGCTTCACGGAGAACTAAAAGCTTCGCAGACACTGTTGAGAGAGAAAATTCCATTTTCTCCCATATTATGAGAATTTGTGGGTGAAAAGGGTGGGAAGAAAAGTGAAAATGACGCCACGAGTGAATCCACAAGGAGGAAAATTCACCATATTCTCTGTCTCTCTCTCGCCGTTGTTATAGGTAACGAACAATTTTCTATGAGAGATAGAGAGAGAGGTGACCAGAGAGATTGACTGAAAGCCCATTTCCCTCTCACATTTTCTCACTCAATTTCCCCAGAGATTTTCGATAGGACAGGCCCTTTATACGAAAAAAAAATTCTGGGAGAAAAGAAAAGCCATACAAGAGAATTGAAAACCAAAAGGCCATACGGAAAATTCACTCGACAGACAATTCGGGGAGCAAATTACAAACAGACTCTTGTTGTGACAAGAGAATTCTCATCAAAATTCCCGCTTTATCATTTTCCAAGCGCGCCCTTTTCATCAAAGCGTGCCTTGATCATTTTTTCTCCCTCTCAACTCAACATTACAGATAAACATACTAAATAGAAAATTTAGAGTGAAAGAGAGAGAGAAAATCCCAGATAACAAATGCGAAGGAAGCCAGAGGATGCGTATAGCTAGGAAAATTGTTATGAACGAGGCATGTGCTGAATTTCCACACGAACAATAGGGCGAAAACCTTATTTTCGTCTCTCAAGAATTACCCTACATCCTTCCTCAACATCGTATCTCACGTTCCACCTTCGCGAAGACTGAAAACGATCGTTTTATCAGATGTGAGACTCCATCAGAGACGAAAAACTTGAAGGAGGGAAATATAAATCGAATCATTTTCACTCTCTCCCTCACACACACATACACATTCACACACAATTCTCTCAATTGGGAGCTTTTCCACTCTCCACCCACAGCAGTCATTCTGTGGAAATGCCTGGGAAAAGAATGACTATACAAGGATTTTTAGGTTTACCGTTTTTTCTCCCATCATCACTTTCACTCTCAACGGAATAACATGATATTATCACACAAGATTGGCGGGAAATTAGCGGTGAAACGGATACTTATTTCTTATTGTTCTAACCTTAATCTTACATATTAATTACCTTCCAAAAATATATAAATGTAGACAAGAAAATCGCATAATAAGAAAAATCACTAAAAACAGTACAGAAAACGCTAAGATTTTTCAACTAAATTGTAGTTTATTTAGTTGGAATGCTATTAAATATAAAATACTGCTAATCATCTTTCAGAAAAAAAACTCGTTCCTTTTCTTCTTTCTCTCATGAGAAATTTCTCTTGCACTTGATTGATTTCAAGTCTGGCAATTTCCCTGAGTTAATAAAAAATTTCCTTATCGTGAGATGAACTAAAACTTTTTCCACTGTAATGGGAAAATCTGCTGAAGCGTCCGAGATTGACTAAAATGTCGTTTTTCTCTATATCCACCATGTGGGTTAATTACAAATCCCCCGGAAGGAAGTAACAAAGTCAATTTCCTCATACAAAAAACCATCTCTCTGACCTTTCCTTATCGCACCTCCGTTCTCCACTCCCCCAGAGACTCACGCCAGAATAAGTACTTTCCTGTCTCTTTTCCCTTTTTGTCTCTCATTGCGAAAATTGCCGTCCCTTCTGTGAGCAAAAAAAATTGGGAATGACGATGAAAAAATCTATTACATTTTTCTTTTGCCTCTTCTCTTGGCTTGCCCAAAACTCGGAGAAAATTCTTCATTTTGCTCTATTTCTCACTGTTTTTGGCATGTGTTTTCGTTAGGAAAGGCATTTTTCCCAAACACCCAGTGATTTATTGAGCGAATCACAGTAAAAGTATCTTCAAGAAAATATGTCGCCACACTTCTTCGCCCTTCCTCCCGTGTTACCCCTTCGAAGTCTTCCCATATTGCGACCATAACATTGTCTCCTCATCCCCTTTACTCTCAATCAAACTATCATCATCGTGATACTTGAAGAGTTTCTGGGAACATTTCTGGGCGTTTCCAAAGTTATTGTTAAATGGATAACACAAATGCAATTTATATCTCTGGTATTTTCATGAATTTCAATCAGCAAAGGATCATTTGTAATTCCAATTTGTTTGTTTATTCAATATCAAAGAAGAGGTTATATTTCACGATAAACGTGAAGAGAGAATTTATTCCACAGACACAATTTATATTGTTGAATATTCGATTGAAATCTCCCATGATTTTCCATTTAATTAGAAGACTTGTAATATTTCCCAACATCTCATTATCCCAAAATGTGTCTTTGCACGGAAATACTGACCAAATAAACTGTGGAGAAATTATCTCGTCAGCATCTAAGCTAAATTTAGAGATCTTATTGCAGATATTCATTAATTTTCCCATCACAACCATGAAATTAGTGGTCTTTCACTGGCATTCATATAAAATATATATACATTCATATGTTTATACTCTGAGTGCTCATTAAAAATCACCCTCAAATTTTAATTAGTGTCCAAAATCCCTGAGGGCAGCTTTGTTGGAAGAAAAGAGCTGCGCCCTGTGATGGAATTGTGTGCCTATTTTGTCAATTACCCGGGTGACGCTCAGAAAGCAGCCCCTAATTCAATGAACCCCTGTGGGAAAATGCTAATGCGGGGAGAATCTGTCACTGAATTGGCGCGCGAGAGAGAGACGATGTGAATTGACCCATTTTCCCACCAAACTCTCCCCCTCAAATTCAATATTATCCAGGGCAAATCCCTGTGAAAGTGTGTTTATCTCTTCCACCCCTCCGAGCGCGATTCTATCAAATGTGTGGCTTTCAATTTCACCCTTTCCTCAACCACTGTCACACCGGCAAACCCCAGGCGATAGATTATTAAAATTGCCACCCACTCGCCGCCTAAAAAACTAGGGAGTGTTATTGAATTATTCTAATATACACTTGAGGAGAAATTTCAATTAGCAATCTCACTCCCATCCCAAATGTAGCCTAATTAATCAACATGTCAATTTGCAACAATACAGAAAGCATACTTTTTGCCAGGGAGAAATTGTATTGGAAATTAATGTGGAAATATACACTCAGAACGTCGAGTTGATGGAAACAAAAAGAAAAATGTAGACAAAAAGCAGTAATTTCTATAAAGCATAAATCTATAATTTGACAATTCTGCAAGTCCCTATCAAATTACACACATAATACAGCTCGACAGCAGTCAAAAAAATGATTTTCAGTCACGCAATGGGAAAACCTACCTCATTTTCGGCATTCTCCTGTTGCTCCTTCAAATTCAGCAATGCCTGAGTCAGTGGCAAATGCGCGGAACTTCGATTTGTATCACTCTAATGTTGATGAAAAGAGGGAAAAAGCACTTTCTTTACTAATTGTTGTGAGCAAAGGAATTTATATGTGTGCGCGCGCGCGTGTGTGTGTGGAAATCAACAAGAAAAGCCGGGAAAAGGACACGCCTAAAGAGATAATTTACTCGCGAAAAAAGTATTAAATTACCTCAGATATTTTCAGTGCATTCTCATGTTCCCATTTGCTGGCAATTTGGAGTGTTTCCACGGTTTTCTGCTGTATCGTCTTTGTATCATCCAGAAGGGTTAATTCGTAGAACTCTTGGATATCTGTGGAAAGTAGGCAAATTGTTAGGGAAGACCAATTAGTACCAAGAAACCTAATTAAGAAGCTTCATAATTGAGAAATTACAAGGGGTATAAATATACAATAAATTTCATTTTCACAGTTTTCCATTTAATGATCATCCTTCCCTTCTTCCACGCTCTTGAATTACATAAAAGAGGGCCCTCCCAAGAGGGATAGTCATGTCGCATTCACGCTGAGTGTGGGGAAGGGATTCTGCTTCGACACAACTAATTTGTTGTGCTGATACGAAATGTATCCCTTAATTTTTCCCTCGTATATCAAATTTGCCACTATACACTGTGTCTCATCCATATTAATGTCACTCTTGCCCACGAACTCCAACGCCTGCACGAAGTGCTGCAAATCCAATTGATGTGTCTGCATGATCAGATACACTTTCTTGAATAGATTTCTGTAAGCGATGATCTTCAGCTTTTCCACCAGCAGATAAATTCCAAACTTGATGAAAAATGCTTCGTGTTTCGCGATCACATCTTCAAATTTGCGAACATTTCCCTCTCGCAGGGCGCACGCCAACTCATAGAACTGCAGAACATCGTACATCTTGAGTGTCTCCTCCTTGGGCATGTAGCCCAACAACATCTTCACCGGCACGAGATAGATGAGGATTAGTCTGTGAGAGAAACAGATTAATAAGCACGTCTTCATGGTGATTTGTGGCTTGACAGTCACCTTTTGTTCTTCGTGTGAACCTTCGGACACATCTCAAAGGCGAAAGTGAGATACTCCTCGGCGCATTTGTAGTCTGAATCAAACATAGCCTTCCTTCCCACAAAGTACTTGTACGTGATCTGCTCAGCAAGCGGAAAACTGTCTTTAAACGCTGAACTCTCTATGGCCCGAATGAGTGGCTTGCAGAGATGTAGTTTGTTGATTCGGAAGTAAACTTTGAAGAGTTGATTAACCAAATTCAGCATTCCATGGCGCTTTGTGTCTTCATCAGCAGATCTGAAATGATAAGGTCTTTCAGTATTGTAACTCATCATGGAATGAGCAAAATATCTTCACCTATTGTCCGCCGTGCAGATCCGAAAACATGCCATGAGTCCTTCAGCCGCCTTCTCAAGAATTTCTCCCGGCTTTGTGCCAATGCCACACTCCTCGCATTTCTGCGCCAAGAGCCTCAAATCCAGACACGCACTGTACATTATTGGGAGGCACCAGTTCTCCTCTTTGAGTGCCTGAAGCAACTTTATCACCGCTTGAACGCAGGCTGTTTGTTGTTTGTACGCCTCGTGGACATCTCTGGGTGTCCGATTGAGCACCCTCAAGCACTTCAAGTGGCAGCAAGCAATCTCATCCAGAGGCGGCTCCAATGTCTCAACGAGCATCATTCCTGTCTTCGACTCATCAACGCTGATGAGGTTTGAATTCAAAACATGCTGATCTTGCAGAGAAATAAGTCCTCCCAGCAATTGTCCATCTTGGGCGTCAAATGCCCGCTGAATTCCAATTAAATATCCACGGAGATTCATGTTCCAGCCCATTCGCAACTCTTCTGATGTTTCATTTATTGAAGTCCTGAAAGCAAGAGAAAATCAATAGTCTCCCGGAATTAGGTTATGTTGACAGTACTTCAAGAGGCACATTTTCCTGTGAAAATACTCGATTGCCAATGAATTTTTCATTGGTCATCAATTCACGAGATATTTATATACAGAATTCAAATAAAAACTTACTTGTAATGTGATGAGAACAAGTAGAAAAGCACAGAAAAATTGGATGGAAAATCTAAACAGAAAATCCAATAGCGCCACTCCCGGCAATTGAGAAAAGTTTCCACGCGCGCGCAAACTCGATGAAAAATTCATCGACGACGTTCAAATTTAAAACGTCACCATACGTTTACAGCACCACACAGAATATCACGATCACCAAAAATCTTATTTTGCACTATTTCCATTATATGAGGTCAAAGATTTTGTGACACATTAATTATGAACTTATCGTAAATAAGAAATATATATGCTCACATTTATATTCGCAGCACATGACAAAAGGAGAGAGCGAAAAATGTGCGAAGAAAATTGGTTCTATTTTTAATAACAATGTTCTCATAGACATAGGAACCAACACTGATTTTTTATAACTTTCAGTCAAGAAGTGTGTAATCAAAGTTGCCAACAATAATTGAAATCTTGGCGCCCGATTTTAATAAATATTTAAAGCAAAGATATTGAGCATGTCGAGCGTCTTCAGCATCTTGAACTCAATTTATTATGTTCCATTTGATTTCATTTCAATTCATATTCCGAAATTCTTCGTGTGCATTGAAAATTGTGCTTCTAATGACATGTTACATAGAATTCTAGGAAATCAATAGCAAGAGCTTTGCAAACGCATCGTTTCAATTCCCATGTCTCAGTGTCGACCACATAATTATTTAAAAATAGGTATTGGAATCAATAAGGCTCTCATTTAGTCTAAATCAGCAATTAACCTCTGTAAATAAGTGCACATGAAGGAAAATTATGTGTTTCAATTATTCACACATTTTCAGTGAGGATTTTGTGATTTCTTGGATATTATGAAAAGTTTCTCTTCGTCTTAGAAATGTTTTTCACAGTCTTGAAATTTTTTTGAAATATTTCACAGAATTCAATAAAATCTGGAGTCTTTGAGGAAACTCTAGTCAATCAATTACAGAATATTTTATTATTATCGCAATTCCATAAAATCACTCCCTCTGCTCATTTTCAACTAGAATCCTTTGTTCTCTGGAAGTTATATCTAGTGTCACAGTGTCTGCAAAGCAAAATGATTAATATATCCTCAAGTTTTAAGCTACAAAAGCAATGTCTTTTTCACGTTGGATTTTGGAATCCGGGAACCATTCCCTACTACCCTTACTACACCTTCTTCATTTGGTTCTTTATGATCTTTCTGTACACACTCTCTCAGACACTATTCGTTTTCACTGTGCAAACTCTTCCTGAGTTTGTAGCCTCTTTCTATCTTGCCGCCTCTCAAGTGTATTGTGTAGTGAAAGTCTCTCATTTTTACTACAATTTTGCAAAGGTTAAGAAGTTGATTAAAGTTTTTGAATCATCACTCTTTCAACCACAATCTCACGAAGAAACTGAGGTCATTGCTAAAGCACAAAAGCGAGTAGAAATGATAAACAAATATTTCTTTTCCAATGTGTTGGCGATTCTTGTTATGTACGTTATGCCGCCGCTTTTCAATCCCAAAGAGAAACACCTATTTCTACAAGTCTGGTAAGGTCCCAGTGAGATAACCAGAAAAAAATACCCGCATTTTCCGTTTCAAAAGGTTTCCATGGAATACAGAAGACACTATCAACTTTTACCTAACGTACGTCTATTTAAGCGCAGGATTACTCGTGTGCTGCATATATATCACGTCTATACAATCAATGCAATACACATTCCTGATTCTATTAAATAGTCAATTACAAAGATTGGGTATTCGCATTGAAAAGGTATATTTATGTTTATAAATTAGTAAGATTTTCGATTAATTTTGAATTTATTATCATCAGTTGGGATATGAAACAATGGCTGTTGACGCTAAAATAAAAGTGGATGAAAAGATGGCCGAAATTAATGAATATGCAAATGACTTATCAAGAAAAAACGGAAGTATTCACTATGGAGAAGTTGTGAAATGCATAATTTTGCATAAAGAAATTCAACAATTCCTTCAGGACTTTCTCAATATCTACAGAAACATAATATTTTTCCAGTGTATAATTTCAACATTCAATTTCTGTCTAACAGCCTATGAAATACTAATGGTATGATTGCCAACAATCACTTTACCATCATCATTATTAACTTTGTGATGTATTTTACCCGTTCAGACTTCTGGCCAAATATTTGAATTGTTTGCAAGACTCATTCTTCTAGCCGTTTTCTTATTTGAACTATTTGTCATTTGCTTTACTGGAAATGAAATTGCTGTCACGTCACAGAATCTCTCTTATAAAATCTTCAGCTGCAATTTCCTAGAATTCAATAAACCAACAATGAAAATCTTAAAAATCTTTATGATGATGTAAGTCTCACTTTACAAAATTTCCTCATTCAAATTCTAGTCAATTTAGTTGACCAAAAAATGTCTTTTTTCTTATACTTGCAGAACATCTAAAGAAGTTGTAGTTCAATCTGGTAGCATTCTCACTATAAACTTAAGCCTTGAAGTATTTATTACAGTATGTGTTTTAAGTAACTAAACAGTGATCGATAAGTTATAAGATTAATCTCAACATTTCAGATATTGAAAAATTCATACTCTGTGTTTGCTCTACTTCAGTCTATGCAGTAATTTATTGAAATCTGTAAACACATTTATAAACAGGTAATATTCTATAGAATTTCTATGTTATATCAATATTTTAGATTAATTTCCCACCTTTTCAGCTAACAAGGACATCCTTCTCGGCGTTGTGTTAACTTGAGCCCTTTAAACACCTTAATTATTCACCTGTTTTTGCCTCACTAATAATTGAGTACACCCGTGATGAGAACTTTCACGAGATTTTCGCAATTTTAACGCCACATCATATGAAATTATTCAGTAGATAATGTAAAACTTAAGCCTTTTTCACAATATAAACACACTTCTGCCAGCCTTGTTGTTTAATTAGTATTTCTCACAAAAATGATAACTAGCAATTTATAGAATTTCAATATCTATAGAGTATAAAAAATCACACAATATAATTTAGTTTCTTAGGTTGCATTTAAACTTAAACCCTTTGTTCGTGAAGACAGATTTAAAATAAATCTTTAATTATTTGGAAACATTTTATCATATTCAGTTTGTCTCAATCTGAAAAAATATGTTAATTAAGAAGTGTTTTATATTTCCCAGCTTTTTTCTTCCTCTAATTCTTTTCATTTACTGCAGATTTATGTATATCTCAAATTCCGCCACTGCGCTTTGAACCGTACATCTGTGCGCCCATTACTTTAGGAAAATACAACTATCATATAAAACAAAACAATTCTCAAGACTCTCTCGTTCTCCTCGCCTTCCAAAGCAGATCCCATGACAATTTACTTCATCACTGCGATGCCCTTCTTTATACACATCTTCATAGAATTATTCATGTCCTGCAACACCAGCCAAGTATACATTGCATGGACTTCAATGAGATCAGCAATGTCATCTTTCCGTGTCACTGGTACAACAGGAAATGCGACTGCGAGGCAGAGTAGATTTGCCCAAGCCACAAGTATTTAATAGCCACATTCGAAGAATAATAGTCATATTCATATTCTGCACAAATGACTTGTACATCATCGCAGCTGGAAACATCTTTATCTCCAGTCACAAATGCATTTTGGTGTTCTCTTTCCCTTGGTTTAACATAAATTTCCATTTTTTTTGTCGCTTGAAACTGATGATCACGAGTGAACATTCGTATTTATGCAGTACAATGTCAACTCATGGAAGAATTTACCGCAGTTTACGATACCGCGACACAAAATTACACTGTACTTAATTATACATTAACTTATGTAAATTTGCTAATAAATCAACGTAATGTATGTAAGTCTAAAAGTTTTACTATAAAACATATCATTGCGATACAATAAAGAATTCTTACAATTTTTCCATAATTGTTTTTTACTTCTTCCAGAGCATTTGCCATGTTTGGCTTCGTTCACATAATAATGCTAATCCTTTCGTGCTTATAAAAAAGCGCATAGTTTGTGGCTAGCAAAGGGTGAAATTTACAATGTAAATCTCTTTTAACTACCTATTTTCAAACCACCTCACATTGTATACCCAGTATAAATGCTGCGCCAACAGGGAGCAGGAATAAATTTCCTTTCCTAATTATTCCCGCATGAAGGTACAACTCTTCATTTGCTTCCCCCGCTTCCCCCCATTTTACCTCAACCACATTACACGCATGTGGAAAACAAAGGGATTTTTCATTGTCTTAGGAAAATGCTAACCAATGGCGGCATTGAAGGGTGATTGATAGCTGCACAATATACATTGTTTAAGCTGATATTTGGTAAAGTTTCCTAAATTTTCCACTCCCTTTCATCCCTTATACGTATTGGTCTCCTTCGCTGTTGGGGACTTTATCGAAAAGTTCTCCCAGTGGATGAATTTGTAAGTGATATATTTCTATAAATAGAACAAACCAATATCACAATATTCTCCTACGGGAAAAGCCATACCTTTTCTCTCCTCTCAACCATGTACATGCTTTCACCTCACATTGGCGTTGCTATGGCTTTTCCCATACAGTCACATTGAATTTTCACAGAGTGACGTCATGTGGATCCTTTAACGTTTCTCCCTTCGCTATTTTTCAATTCATTCGGGACTCTCTCTCTCTCTCACACACTCTCTTTCCCTCTCTCTCTCTCTTAATCGCTCTTCCCAGCATTCGACGCTGGAAAATCATTGAGGCTCTGCTGCATGGCAAAAATGGAGCTAAAATGAGAGATTTTCTTCTCTTTGATTCACATGATGACGTCTCTTTCTGAGAGTTTTCCCATTGGTGACGTCATTTTCCGATATATTCACTCGTATCATTTATTTTGACAATGGGAATGGAGGAAAAGCGTCATGTGTAATAACATGAAAATAAATTAAACTCCATTTGTCCACCACCAATTACATCTCAAGGCATTCAAAAGCATCTGGCCGCAGAGATATTGTTAAACAAGAATGATTGATATCTGTATACTCTGTAGATAAATTAAAATAACGTATACTTTCTATATTTGCATTAGTTGAGAGCTCATTAAGTCTATCATTTCATCATATGCTTGCTTTTTCTCCTCTAATTGAAAAGGACCTAAATAAACCAATGAAGTGAAAAAATCTGCACTGTCTGCAGAATTTCGAATAGACAAACATAAATAATTTCTAAGCTGATTCAATAATTTCAACGATTGGCATGACACACTATTTAAAACAACGTTTTCTCAGCAGATTCAATGCTTGTAGAGAAAAGCAAATAAACATGAGGGAATATGTTGGATAAACAACTTCATTCATTGACCTCCTAATCGAAGTGAATGCATAATAGTTAAAATTAATTTAAGCTGAGAGTAAAGAGAATTTAGATTCGTCAAATTTGTTACGCCATCACCGCACCACTAGTTCACATGTGTTTTGCGAAATGCTTTCGGCACAACGAAACCGCATATTTGAGAAAAGAGCCACAATTTATCAGAATTTATGGACAACTCACCGAGAAGTGCTTGGAAGAGACGAGACTTGAAGATTCGAATCACTCTCTCAATGGCAATCCTCAGGGCACGATCCTGCGGAGCCGACAGTCTCGAATGATAATCCTCGAGCAGTTCCAAAGCCCGGTGAGCCTCTGTAGATTATCGTTGAAGAAGGAAGAAAACAAATTCATTAAATATGTTATCAAGTAACTCACTTTTCACGGTTTTTTAGCAATTTTTCATTTGTTCAACGAAAAATCTCTCGCAGAGAGACTCGATAATACGAAGCTGTGCAATGACTCTCTCAAATAACATCTACTCAGTATGAAAGCTTGTAATTACGATTAAACTCATCACAGTAATTTGCGGTGATTTCAGAATTCATCAAACTTCCGGTCGACGATCTTCTTCTCACTTGATTTGCACCCCAAAAGTCTCTGATAATTCCAATAAACTGATAAAAGGACACAAATACTTGCGGAAAAGTCATCATCGCGCGTCTGATAGCAATTGATGTTTATCACCTTCCTGCTAATCGTCAACTGATCGGTCAATTGTACTTTTGTCATGCTCATTTAAGATCGTTCATCGTTCCTTTTCTTCTCCACCACCTTTGAAATCTTCGCCATTCACACTCATGAGATAATTTTCACAAGCTAACGCTCACTGCAACAATTACTACAAGTACATATAATTAGGTTTGCACATTTTATTTTTGGTCATGTGTCCTCCTTCTCAACACTCCCTCCCCTGCACTCAATTAGCCGATGTGTGGTGACCTTTAGTCTCAACATCAAAACATCATAACATCAATTTATGTGAATTTTCAAGTAATATTTTTGCAAGTATTGACGAATTTCACATGTACGCTCGCTTTATCTACAATATGATATTGAATTAATGCCAATTTTTTCCTTCTACATTTCAGCAACGACGAAAATGCGTCTTCAAGTATCAATGACAAATTGTATTCACTGTCCAGATCAATTATTTTGAAGATTAATTTGCACCCACATACATTTTCATTGTACTTTTTCTTCAGTAAATAAATTCACCCCCCGTAACAATGTCATTATTATACATTGAAAGCGATATCTTCTCAATATCCCTTCAACTCTGCAACATTGATCCACATCAACCTTCCGCGCTTCAGTGTTCTGTGCATTGGCTAAAGTGATGAAAATGTTACAAAAAGAGCTAAAGTGAAAAATAGACGAATAAAATCTACAATCTAGACTCACAATTTATGACATGATGTCATAAAATGCCGAATCTAGAACAATTTTCATTTCTTTTCTTCACTTACGCCCAAAAATGTCTGTTTTTTCGTACATTGCTGCTGTTGTTGGTGGACAAAAATAAAAAAGAAGCATTCAGAGGAAAAAATCAATTGATTGTGTGACAGAATTTCATGTGCATTGGAAAACCCATAGAATGTTATTTTTAGAAAGAAACAGAAAAATACAGAAATTATTAAGAAGGAAAGACTGCGAAAGAAATATTATTTCGGCTTTTCATTGTAAACTCACCCATTTTCATTCATTTTCTTCTCTCTCACAAAATTCTGTCAATATAAATTTTCATGATATCTCTTTTTTTTGCGTGGACATCTACACAGTGACTCATTGGGGAAAATAAAGAAAAAAGAGGATTGAAAAGTACAGTACAGACAAGGAAGATTTCAGCAACAATCATGTGTTTACAGCACATTTTATTATGTAGTAATGCTTCTAGGGCGAAATGTGTGTAAAAAAAGACTCCACAAATGAGTTCTTTGTCCTTGTACCTACTCATATAATCAAGATATTTTAACATAATTATACGACGAGTTTATTATTTTCACAAATAAATAGCCACAGATTGTGCGACAGAGATTTCGCGAAAAGAAAATTTTAAATACAAGAAAGTTTTACTATTACAACAACTTTTAATATTGAAGAAATTTGCATGGAAATTAAACTTCTTACAAAAATTATTCACAGATGATCTTCGTCTTGAATCTAATTTAATAAGTTCTCCAATTGAACAACGCCACACCAATTATTTCCAATACTCGCATGGTCTGATTTATGCTCGCTTTAGGACAAGGTGTCAACACGTGAAATGCATAATATCATCTGCAAATGCAATTGTATACGAGCGACACTGCAAAGTGACGATATTTAAATGAATGAGCAGAGCAGATGAAACTGAGCTGATGAGGAGTATAAGGAGTGCAGCATGGGTATAAATGGAATTAATGCAGAAATGTGATTGGGAGGCAGTGTGGAGCATAATTGACAAGCACTCCTGGGGATGAGAATATGGTTAAATAATCGATTGTGCCCACTGACTCATTCATTCACAGTGGATTCTGTCTATTTTTAGACAAACCCATGTACATATTTCTTCCTTTTTTCACCGCTGAATTTATGTAGGTGAAACCTAATAATAATAATAATCAGTTGGACGGTCAGAGTGAAATTACATTAATAATAAGTGGGTGGTGTGTATTTCACGAGCTTTTTCACTCTCCTCTTTTTTTTCCTTTTGCCTTTTACCATACATTCCTCAGACTATCGTAAAAATTCCAATGAGACACTGAGAAAGTGTGAGTGTGTGTCTCAATAGCCGGGTTCTCTCGGAAAATTCATGGTGTGGGAAAAGGAAAAGTGTCTCAGTGTCATGAGAAAAGTCACACAGCAGCTGAACAGACGAAACAATATAAAGTCATCCAAAAATGCTTCGTGTGACTCTCTCACTTTTCTTGCTCTCAATTACAATTTTACAAACGAATTTATAAATAATTATTGAGCCTGGGGTGACAATTTCACACAAAAATGTTTGCCTTTTATCGCCCCTTCTCTTCATTTCTTTCATTCGCTCCTCATGAGGAAATGTGATGCGGTAAAAGGAAAAGTCAAGTGGCGAAGACACATAGAATTTCCCTGTCTATCACAGATTGAGAATTCTTCTTCTTGATATTTTCATAACGAATGAAATGTTGAAATATTTTATTGATTCACACCACCTCCCCTGGGAAATGTAAAGGGAAAGTTTTCCGTTGATGGAAACTCGTGGGAATTCAGTTCATTCTATCTCCAAGCGCACTCTATCGTTCGGAAATTACAAAGGAACACTGACATTGTAAAAAGGATGTAATGTATGTATGTCTCGAATTCTGAGAGAAATACATTTTCATCTGCCTTTTCAATTGCAAAAACCATTTATATTGTCATAGAATAAAATATTTTCCATGTTTATCAAATTGGATGTTTGCATATGTGATCATTTCACGGACTATTGACTGAAATATTTATTAATAGTTGAATGATTATAAAATATTTATTTTGTGGAAAACTCGTTATCAAAAATCTCTTTTTTTTCATTTTCGTTCTTCTGGCCATGATCACTCTGTATTTTCCGTGCAAATTTCCCGGAGAATTTACTATATGTATGTAGTCTTCTGATGAAGCGAAATCTCTCTCTTTCATCCCTATCGCGCTCTTAATTCATAGTGTGAATCTGTTTGATTGTGGCACAAAGATAAGGTAAACAGAGTTTCTTGAGAAGTTGCAGTCTAAGCACAAATTTATCAAGAGAGCGACACCACTCATGAAACATAGCCACACTCGATGATTCGATTTGCCGATGAATTTTGCATGAGAGGCACTTTTACCTTGCTTCTTCACTGGCATCTTCCTTGTGTGCTTCTCCACTGCTGGTGAAAATGCCCAGAGAGTGTCTCTGAGTCGAAAAACTGCAATTTTCTTCACTTTTATCTCCTCCTATTCCTGTGCCTTCCTGCAATTTATCTCCGGACAGCACCTTTTTGCCTCTCTCCTGCGTACAGTGTCATTCTTCACGCTTTTCCATCCTCCGGAAAGGATTATCACGCTGGAACAACGTCTTTACTCTCCCGGGGATGCCACTACAATGTGAGATGCACACTTGCGAGGGGTCAGTGAGAGCGGATACGAAGGAAATGGGTGCCACAGGAGACTTTGCGAGGCACAGTGAAAATCCACCCCTTGCACCACCCTCGGCAGCCTAACTCCAGTGGAACCCGTGAAGATGGTGAAGATTGAAGTCCTCCGTCACCGTGTGAGACACTCGGGGAATTTTTCACCTGCTCTTCGACCCAATTTTCCTCAACTTTTCCGACGTCGTTCGCACACACACGCACACTTTTGGGGTACTCTCCCTCTCCTACTCTCGCGCCACCTTCTTTTTTTCAACCGCACAACTCGAGGGAGGAGAAATTCGTGGGGTGGCCACCTTTTCCCACCGACTTTTTGCACTCCACACCAATCGCAATGTCTTCTCCGCACGTCCGGACACTTGTTTGACACCCTGAGACTTCACACAGAAACGAATGTGAGCAAGAAATTGAGGGAAAAGAGTGGAAAAATTGAATTTTCACAGAGCAGGAGTACTAAACACGACACTAGCGCCAACCATCGGGTGCGCGCGTGCGCCCATTTTTTTCACCACGGCGCTGTCACCATCTGACAGCATTCTGACATGCGCGGTGAATTTCTCGCCTTACATAACCTCAAAGCGGATGGTGCAGGAAGTTCGCGGTGTTTTGAGAATCAGATTCAATGGATTTACTCGTGAAATTCAAGTTTCCACGCGAGGAGTACGATGATAGAGAACTCACCGAGCAGAAAATGCTCGCTCTGCAGTATGAAATTATCAATGATTGGAAGAAAAAGAAAGAAACGTGAGGAAGAAGTTTTCCCCGGTGTGTCATCTTATACAATCAGAAGGTGTTTTCTCCTTTCCAGGGACTATTTAATCAATGGACCACCAGCTCTGGGCATTGTTGGAGCACTGTGTGGTATTTATGTGAACAGTTACTATCGTAGGAAATTGAAATTAAGATCTTTTGGCAGAGGAACCTCTTACTTGCCAATCGTTGTTCTACCAGCTCTTGTGGCTCCTGTGGTTCACAAAGTGGTCAGGAAATGCTGAGTATATGTCTAGAGCTCGTCTCAATATCCTCTCTTAACAGATGATCCAGTCACACCTGCTTCTCAGGCAATACGATTGCCCTGTGTGCATCCAAATCCGCGCTGGACTGCTCCAGGCAGCCGTGGCAGGAGTATATCCAGCAATTCTGGCTCCATTGGCCAGCTTCATGTTCGCTACGCGACACTTCACCTACAAACTCCCGTCCATCACGCAAAGCCCCATGGAAGTGTTTCAATTGTGGAAAAAACTCACGCGCCCTATTGCCCTGCCTCTCTTAGGAATCTGCTTTGGCAATTACTTATTTGGCATGTACATCACTTCCAGGCAGATAGAGGACTTCCACTCAATCATGATACAAGTGGACAAGGCCACATCTCGTCTAGAGTCTGGTCTAGATGGGAATGTCTCATAATGGACGCAGTGTGGCATCAAAGTAAATAAATGTAGAATTGTCTTTTTGGAAAAAAGTTTGTCATTTTATTCGTTAATGTCTGAGAAAAAACGCTAACGCCAAAATTTACAAGGATTCCTTCGCACATTCTTTTCATAATTTCACTCTTGGTGATCAATGTGGCTTTTCCATGCGATGGAAACCGCGGCAGTGAAATATTCTGCTCATTCGCAGAGAATCCTCAATTTGCATTTTACTCTGCGTTCCATTCTAAATTACTAACACACGATATTTCTTAGCGATCAGTTTCTACATCGAATTTTCCCACCCGAAAATAATTTTTTATGTCTTTAAAACACTTTTTTTTTGTTATTCCTACACTCGAACACACTGCAATAGATCCGTTTAATTAACTATTTTCCACACACGACACGATGAAAGTATGTTAAACAGTTTGTTCTGAAAAGTCACATTTTGAGCGAGAAATTACAAATAATGTTGGAGATGAATAGCTTTTACACAAGGAAGACGAAACTAAGTGAAATGCCGATGAGCTTAAAAGATCTATATAAAGGCTTTAAATTACATATAATATGAACCTATTGCAGATTAATCGAGTGCTTTCACCCTCGCTTTTTATTTTCTTACCTTTGTAACGTATTAAGCTTAGTCAATAGTCATTAAGAACGATTACACTTTTACAGCTACATTTTCACACATAGCAGAAACAAAGGTTGATTCATTTTTTTGGTAACAACTCAAAAAAAATTCGGGCTACAGAGTTTTTGAAAAGAGTTAGACTTTCAGGTACCCAATATTTTAGCCAGGAGCTGTTTGTTTTTCCAATATCTTTTTTGTGACTCATCGCCCTTGTCCGTTTATTTAAAAAAGAACGATCCTAAGATTCCTTTTTGTCCTGAAATTGCGTCGCTTTTTGTGTGTGATTTAATTAGAAAATTTATTATCATCTTTTAATAAATTTAATCATGACTATTTCCTATTTTTTTTGGATTTACGAGCAGTAAGTAGATTATGAAACGAAAATAAGAACGAACAGGAGTAAGAGTTGAAAATTATTCTAGCAACTATTTTTTTTAACGTTATGTGAAGTATATATTGTAGTGGTTATTTCATCATTTTAATCAACTTGTCGCAATTATGTAAGAATTAGTTTTGTTAATCGCTTCGCTTTTTTTTATTCTAAAGTCTCTCTAAACGTTCAAAAATATAATTTTAGTATTATTCCGCATAATTTTTCTCTCCCTTCCCATTTTCTTTATGATCCTAGTAAATCCTCCTCTCCATTTCTCTTATTCTTGGTACTATTATTCATGCCTCGATTGATCCCCCAAACATTCCCTATGCAAAATAATAGAAAAAAATACCTCGCGACTATACTAATATTCCTTTCTCTCGGCTGCACGACGGAGAGAGATGTCTGAACCACGCGCATGTGGTTAGCATTGCATTTTGCCGTACTGTGATTGTCTCTCGAGAATCTCACGGTACTCGTTGTACGTCATGTGCACCTCCTGCGATCGGTAGCGCGTCAGCTTGATGCCGCGCCGAATCTCGGGGGTGATCTGGGCACGGAAGCCGCCCTTTCGCAGCAACGAGTCGATGGTCTGCGTCTGATCCCAGCCCTGCTCTGTCGCCACTTGCGGCAAGTACGTGGCGGTGCGCTTGCAGCCGCGCTCGTTCAGGAACTCTATCCGGATACCGTGAACGCCTAGAACCCAGTCTAAGTATCCTCGAGCCTCTTCGAATCCCTGTCAAGATATTTGACAATCAGTCGATCGGGCGATGCTTGGGCAAATGTAATTTTCACCTGAAGAATTGATACGGAAACGGTCAGTCTTGGAAATTCATCACGGGTAATTGGCGAAAATCTCGAATCCTTGAGAGCACTTGTTATTGCATATTCACGGAGTCCTGAGAAAGAAAAAGAAAAGCCACAGTGATTTCAGATTTCCAGTAAGAGGAATAAAAAAGAAATATTTTTATTTTGCATGAACATGACAAACGCTGTTTGATAAGTGATTACGTTTGTCTGGCTTGAAAAAAAAACGAACAGACAACTAAAATTTCTAATTATACATTCATGCATTTCATTTGGATCTAATCTTTTGAGAAAAATATGTTTTTGCCTGAGTGTAAGTGCATAGCGCTGAATGTTCCTATACAACCGCGAAGTCTGCGGTCGCGTCCGATCTTCCAGGTCACAAACAATGGGCTGAAAGACAAGAAAGACTCTTCTTAGCAAATATTTTCAAGAAAAACTAGTGTATTTTCTTGGGACAGGCGGAAAAGGGAAGGAAAAAAGGCCCTTGTTCAAAGCACTCTCCGTACGAGTGTGGTTGGAGTCCCGGGTAAATGTCAACGAACTGAGCAATCGCCCTGAACAACAAAGGAGTACTTTACGGTCACTTTCAAGTGCCTATAATACATTAAATCTCCCATTTTTCCTGAGATTTATCCGCGTGAGGTGTTAAAGAAGCATTTGAAGACATTTCTGTAAAAATTGCGTGCACACAAGTCGGACTCTTGGCAACTTACAACGCTTCATTGGTGAACAGGGGATCCGCAGGACCTTCGATGTTGTTCAGCTCGCAGTAAAGCACTTCGAAGCAGAAGAAGCACATGTCTGGAGATGCGACACTCTCCACGAGCTCCCCATTGCTGTGCCCATTTGTTGAACCATGTCCATTCTGATGGGAGTAGTTATTGGGCTGGTTCAGCTTTTGCTTCTTTGTACCGCAGCAACTCGCGCTTGACGCCATTTTCGCCTTGTTGACCTGCGAGACCGTGTCTTGTCCTCTCGTCAGAACCGTAAATCTCTTGTGGAATTCGCTCTTTCTCAGTCTCCTTGCCTTCCTTCTGGCTCTTCTCTCTTCACTTTTAAATTCACTTTCACTCGTGAATTTCTTGTCAGTTTTCCTCACTCTGTGATGCAACACAAAGAAACTGATTCAGACGTTGTCTCTCAAAAAGTAACACAGCAGATCCTCAGGGACAGGCGTGCGGGGGAATCAACTCTGGATGTGTGGCCTCGTCGCCCACGGGAAGAATGAAGTCGCTGTGTGAGGGGGAGGGTGGGTGGAAGAGGAGGACTTTTCCGTGAAAGACAAAAGAAAGGCGTGGAGTGAAAATTCGCTCTAATCCCTCCGCACGACCTCTGAACACGCACAATTTCACGCAAATTCAGCACTATTGCATTCACTGGGCATCACGCGAGTGAGTTTGAACTATAAATTGAACATAAGATAATTTCTAGGGTGACTTTTCAGGCTTCTTCTCAGATTCATTTTTCACAAAAGAGGGCCATTGATAATTCGGGCTGCCACACGCGCAGCTGTCAGAAACAGACTGGGGTTACCGTGTGCGATACTCATCGATTTCCGTTGCGCGAGACATCTGGCGCAGAAATTGTCCGTTTCAAATTCTGCGAAAATTGAAACCGAATGTATTGAATGATTTTTATGTTATCAAATGATTTGATCCATAATGATATTTTATAATGTGGAGAGGGTGATGCTTTCGTGTTTTATTCATATTTTTGCAAAATAAAAAAAAAACGTTACAAATTGTGTCCATAATTTTGCTAGAGCGGATTCGTGAAACCCATTCAAAATTCCCATTTTCGTCTGATAGGATTCAATTGCGCTCTGCAGCCTAAAAGGGTTGAAGAGGGGAAGGAATGGCATGACCCACCGATGGGGGCACAATAAATATTTATGGGTGGCAAACAACGGTGCATGAGCTAATAAATTTGAATTTGTGTCTGAAATCATCTTCATCACTGCCACACAAGCTGTCCGGGAGTGAATATTTGCGCTCTGTACGAGACTCTCTAGCAGTGTTGGGGATTGAAAAGTGTCCACATCCACAGGGTTTCGGTTGGGAGGAGTCATATTTCTCAGGCAGGAGAAAAGCCACAGAGTTGACACGGGAATTCCTCTGGAAAAGCCGCACACACAAATTGAGAGGTCATGCTCAGCTCGAGAAGGGTTCCTCCGGAAAAATGATCCGCCACGATGAGAGGTTGAGACAGAGTTGAGATGATTGTAGTTCTGACAGATAATCATCGTCGTAAATCAGGAGATATAATTGTAAATCTATTAGTAAAATTCTCAACAACTCCGTCGCATAATGTTTCCTAAGAAATGATCGATTTATGCATAATTTATATGCAATATCTCACGTTGACACATGCAAGACGTTATTTTAAGTCCATCCGTGCACCGAAGAGTGCAGAAAGGCAAGATGTGATTTTCTTATCTGACGCGTTGAAAAATGAACATGGAAAATGGGGGCGAAACCTCATCTTTCTTCCCTTCAACTCTTATCTCGCCCGTCTCGTCCATTTAATATAAATTGCTCAGGATTCTAGGAATTTTATTTTACACTTATACAAAATCCACTGTGTCGCGCAATTTGTGAGCAAATATTTTGTAAGTTGACTTTTCTACCTGTGAATATTGTCCCAAATTTAATACTACGCGAATTGCTGACTCAAGTGACAATTTATGTAACTGATATTGTACTAAATTGTTTACTCTAAGCAGGTTAAATGCATAAAGTGGTGAATGAATTGTCTCGCTAGACAATCAATTTCCCTTCCAAATGTGTGGACACTTCAGGTGTGAATGATACGAACTTTTTTTTACTGTAAAGATCATGATAAACACACAGTCATTGGGTGGTTTGCCATCAATTGAAAGTAGGGCTTAGAATTCAGGTATTGGCGACAGTTCTGCTTTTGATTTGTCATCTAAAAAATCATCTGTGAGAGTGGTTTGAAGGTAATTCCGATGGGGTGTTGTTCCATGGAGAAGGGATGAAAGCTGGAGAAAATTGAGCAAATCCTTCAAATGCTCCATTCAGGATGCGCCTGCGATGTACCAGGGCGTCGCCATTTCTCTCGCGCTCTCGCAAATTCATTCTCTCTCCCACGAGGATGTGTGAATCTGAGGAATTCTTCTCTGAAACTGGTGTTCCGAAGAAGTGTGTTTTTTGCCAGTTAATATTGAAAACAAATCCTCTCGCTCTCCACGGCCAAAACGCTCCTCTCCAGCACCGTCTGCTCTCCCTCTCTCTCTTCCTCTCATTTGTGATGTGACTGTATGGAGGGAAAATCCTTCGGGGTGTCTCTCAGGACTATGGGAAAATGCAGCAGGACTCAGTCGTGTGTATTCATTCACACTGAACAGACACCTAGAGGCGAAGAGGTGCTCTTCGGCAGATAGAGTATCACTCTGTGGGTCGTTCAAATCAAAAGTACACACACACAAAATTGCAGAACGGATAGAAGAGAAATTATAGGAAAATTCTGTTGAATTTTTAGTGACTGACCAGACAATTGTAATTCAGATCGTCATAAACTAAACTGAATTCATTGAACAGTGCAAAATTTTCACGAGATTTTTCTCTGGTTCATCGGCGTGTGTGGAGGATTTTCCGACAGAATTTCATACTGAGTGTGTGTATGTGTCGGCTGTAGAAAGGAATTTTCACATGTTTGAGATTTTCCATCTGGTCAGGCGGGAGGGTTGAGAAGAAAAGTGACTGAAAGATACTGAAAAATGAATTGGCAGGGACAATAGAGCGACCACGAAAGAGTCGAAATATTTTCCTCCATGTGATCATTGAGAGAACAGAAGCGGAAAAGTCGAGCTTGAGAACATCGGTGTGGTTGGCAAAAACTGTGAATAATATAGAAGTGAGTTTATCTGCAAAATATTCTAAAAATTGAGCAATTTTCCCCGAGAACTGCCTTCTAGAAACATGTGAAAGTGTGTCTGCCGAAGGGAAAGTGAATACGATTTTAAAGTTACACACTCTCTCTCGCTCTCTTGCAACTGAAAATGCATAAATTGAGTGTGGTGTGATAATTTGCGAAAAAAGAGTGTTTCCTGCTTAAGAACACACACTGAAGAAGGGCGCGGAGAGTTATATCGAAGGAAAAAAAAACATCGATAGAGGGAAAACGAGGAGAAAATTGCAGCAGATGTTGATGAAGCTTTTTATCACCATCTCATGCTTCTCCACGGTGGTTGGGAAATAAATCGAAAATATTACCACTCAGGAAGGCAGAGTTTGCTCTCCTTGTCATCCACGAAGGAAACACTTGAGCACCTCTGGAAGGCAAACAAGAGATTCTGTGGCGTGGAGAAATAAACAGGCGATATCATGTGAGTGTCTGGTATGACATATTAAGTGAATTTATTCCGTAAATATAAATACATTATTCAGCCTTATTGACCTTTTTATCACCTCATTCGCGAATGAAAAACGGGACATTTATCGGAAATCTCGTAGTGAGAGCGAGAGAGAGCGTGTGGGAGAGAAAAGGAGTTATTGTGATTTTGAGAGACAGCGTGAGAAGGACAAATTCTTATGTAACACAGATATTCTGCTGTGAAAGATGCCTCCCACGAAGGGATAAATTCTTTTTTTCTGTCAGTGATAGCTGAGAATTACAAGTGTTTTTCTTTCTTTTTTTCACCCTAATCCCACCCATCGACAGTGAACAAATTGCAATATTTTTCTTCAATCTCTGATAACATGATGTCTTCCCCTCCCGCCATCGACGAAAATCCATACTTTCCCTCTGTCTACACTACCCTTGGGAGGAGATTCTCTCCGAAGAGTAGTGCATATTTTCTCCTTACATTCCCCGAGGAATAGATTTTTGAATGTAAGTCATCTGTGATTGATAGCAGGGAGATGTCTTGGCATATTTTTTCTCCAGAAAGTCTGGAGTACAAAAGGGCAGAAGTCACAGGGAATAGACGTCTATCCACCTTAGAATTTTCCACTTAATTGCAAATCAGTCATCGATACAGATCAATATGAGAGCAATTTTGACACATTTGATGTGATTAGAGAATAATTGAAACTAATATGAAATAAGCGCATTTATGAGCCTCCATATTTAATATAGGCTTGCGTGTGATTATTTGTGTGTTAAAGTGCTTTGGCAAAACCTATTCAATTGTTAGGCACAACAAAGACCTAAAATACGGAAACTATTTCGAATTCCTGGAATAACTTTACTATATTTGGCAGTGGAATCGAGAGGTGTAAAGATTACAAAATTGATACATTTTGACCTTTCTTTAAACGTCAGCCCTTCAAACGGCGGATGAAGCATTTAAATAAAGAAAATGTATGTTTTTGACTGTTTTCGACAAATGCTTGTGAATGTCTCGTTCAAACGAAGGGTGATAGGATAAGGTGTTCCAAAGCTAGCATGTAATTTCGCGACAAACTAATACATATTGTATGTATGCTCGTCAAAAATGTCCCCGTGCTTAATTAATTTGGACACATTGCATGTATTGAGTTAATGTTTTCACTAAATGCAACTTTTATTTCCTCTTCAATGTCAAAATCATACCACCTTCTTGGGCGACACATTTTTTCATCATACTTCTTCTACAATTGTTATATGTCTGTGCCTTTGGAAAACAACATCAAAATATACTTTGTGTGATAAAATAGGGAGTGAGTGGCGGAGAGAAGGGGGAAAATGGCAGAGACAGAAATGAAAGAAAAATTCAATTTCCAAACAGGAATGTTGGCTCGTTGTTGTGTAACTTTCGGTTTATTTTCTCCTATAATGCCGTGGCATGAGTGGGAAGAATGAATAGTAAATTGTTTTTGTTTATTTGAGTATTCTGTGCAAAAGCTCTTTGGGTAAGTGTGACGGCATGCGAGAGAGAGAGAGAGGCAGATGACAGGAGATACTCGCCGTAGAGGTGCCTGGTGGGCCGATTAATCATATGAGTGAGCCACAATGAGGCAAATCCTCATGCCTCTTGACTCTCTGTGCTGCCGAAACAACAACATAGGTGGCAAATGGTTGTTAGATCGACCATGAGTAGCCCAGCACAGAGGCTATTTGATTGTTGATTTAGCAACACACTATTCCGAGAATTGAAAAACGCCATATCGTGTAGATTCTACTCTGCTCCTTTTATAAACATTTTATTCGCAATTTAATTCAAATGTATGCGAAGAGTAAGACTTTTTTCCCATTAATCATGGATGAATATTGATTTTTACACATATACATACGGTTTTCAACACATTTTCTTCCAATAAATTGTGAGAAATATGCACATTTAATATCTTTAAGCATGTGCTAATATGAAATATATCACTATGATTCTTTTATCTAAAAGCGAAGTGAATTTATGAGTATGAGAAGCGTACTTGCACTGAAAAACTTACCATAAACCTCAATTTTATGCTTAGTTCGACTTTTCATGTTTATTTAAACTGGGTCTTTTGCCCTATTGAGAAATGGAGTCCATGAGAGCAATCTTTAAAGTCACATAAAAGCAATAGAATGTCGTTATTTTCCGAGATTGCAGTGAAATATCTCCGTAAAATGTATTTGCCATAAATTGAATTCTAGGGGAGAAGAAAGGAAAGCCAACAATTGCTATCAATTGCTTATAAGTTGGGTCTCTCTTCCAGTGAGTGTGTACATTTTATGAGGATTTCAGGCAATATGTAATGCAATATGAGGGTAGTAAGATGAAGGCGGCAAAAAAAGGAAATGTTGCCGTGGCGAGAGTCAATGAAAAATTCCGTTTTCCCCTGGCATTTCCTTCTTGCTATTCTGTCGCCCTGCCGAAGAAATGGTGGTCGAAGAGGAAAATGTAATGATAAAGTGAAAAAGTTTATGAATTTTTATTGCCATGCTTATTTTAAAGTGAGGCATGAATATTTTTCATGCCTCACCCATGCTATTTTGTGTTTATCTCTAATAGGAAATGACTCGATGAATTTTGCCGAAGAAGGAAACTCGTGGCTCCTCAGGGAGGCATGTGATAAAGTAAAAGGATGTACCGCATAGAATTTTAAATAAAAAATGAATCTCGAGAATGTGTGGTGGAGGGGACAAAATAAATTAAATATAATCTGCCGTGAGTTTCTCTCATCTTTTCACATTGTATCTTCTTGCATATGTAGGCCGTATTGGATCTGTTGAAGGTAGAATGTCTTCTCCAATTTTCCTGGAAGCAACGTCTTTCTTGAATGTTCATGCATGACCTATGTCACAATATTTCGAGACATGTTCAAGGATATTCTCTCAAAATATCTCAAATATCCTGCAGAGTGCAGAACAGATAAGTGACTTCATGAAATATTACACCCACTGAAATATTCCACGACACTATCACGAGAGATCACGGGGACAAATGACCTGTGTACAATCCAATCCAATTAACTTGACTCTCTCGTGGTCAAAAAAGGCCATCGTGTTGTGGTCAAAATCCAAAAAGGTTCTACCTTTCTCATGGGCGGTTGGTGAACTTCACAGTGTTGTAGAGAGACGTCAAGTATGTGGAGTGGGTGCAAAAAGGGCAGGCGAATGTTGTGGATAGAGTGTCAAAAAGCCGCAGAGATTTTCACATTTCATCCCATATTTGCTCAAATAAAAATATATGTGGTTAAGATATATTCGTTCATAGCCAAATTATATACGAAATCGATGTGATTTTCACTCAATTTCCATCAATTTTCCTCTCCACTGAGTCTCAATCCAACACATTGTCGCAAATACGAATAAGGATATGCGGAAAAATCTGCCCTTTATTATTTCAATTCTCGTCACAAACTTCCTATTTGACTATTTAACAAAAAAATAAAACGCGAGTTTTGCATTCACGTTCTATTTTTTTTCTAAATCAAACGAAACAAGTTGGTGTAATACAGAAAGGCTGCATTTTTGGAAACCGTTTGAGAATTCATTGGGAATAATTTCGATTTTTTATCACGCAAAGTCATTGTATGATTGTTTTGTGGCAAAAAGATACAATATTTCCTATAGTGTCGCGCTTTTTGTGGGGTGATTGTGGATGAATGGAAAAACACTCGGGATAAATTGAAATTACAATGTTTTGCGGCATACAATGGAGATGGAGAGTCATTGTGAATTATTGATTGATTCGAGTTGAGAGGGTTTCACAAATGAATAGGCAATCTTCTGATTTTGCAATATTTCCTCCATTCACTCTCTCTCTGTGGCATAAATGAGATATTCTCAAAGGGCTACTTTAATGGACTTTATATTTTATGGATGATATGTATGTATTTTATTTTACATCGTAAAATTTTGATTCTTATTAGTTTCGATACAGTTTTCACCAAACATGCATTACAATAAATTACACTTTACTTTGCAAATCTCAATAAAACTTTTTTTTCTCACTGTTAAATTGTGAATATATATCTTATGGTTTCAAACATTATGGCTTTTCCGAAAGATTGAACCGAAATTTCCAACCATAAAAATGAATACTTTATTCTGAATTTTCTTGAATAATCCAATGGCAATGTTGAGGGGTATAAAATTATGGTTGGCACACCAGAATGTTGTTTACTTGTGTGTCTAATCTATCAAGATGTTGACTATGAAAATTTGCAAAAGGCAAAAAGATGATGCCAACAATTGAGTTTAACCCCTCTCGAGTAATATCAGCATCGTGAGCCATAAAATTTGCGCGAAAATAGGAAAATTTCACCAGTGTTTTTTCCACCCGTGCTACATTGAAAGTCAATTAAAAGTCCTTCCTAGGAGTAAATTACACCCATGTGAAGTGGCTTTAATTCACAGGGTAGGGCATTTTTTGTGTGTGTTTAGAAAGTGTTTCCCCCTGCGATGTTCGAAAACCCTCGGGGGTGGAATTTATGTTTTTCACCAGAAGTGTGCTCGATCGCCAAAGGAAGGGGTGTGGGCCAAAAAGCCGTGCCGTGCCGTGAAAAATTGCCACAAAGAAGAGCAGGCAATAACCAAATAAAAATTTCATACAAATGATGTTGTGAATATGTGACGAATATGATGCGAGAAAGAGTGTGCGAAAAAGACGTGGATCAGCGTGAGAAGAAGGTAATTGAAAATGTTGTGATTCACAAACCATTGGAGGTCTTCTTAGTGAATCAGCATTAAAACTACATAGACTACACATATGTTATTTGGCAAAGATGTGAAATGTTGCAGCGAAAGGAGGTGAATGTCGAAGCACACCTTAAGGAGATTTAAAAATTTGTCACTCACATACACACGAATTTTCCATCTGTTCTCCTACACAGTAAAACGTACAGGATATATATTTGAACGACGGTAGAAATAATCACATGTGCAGAAGGAGACATATTGGATCCAATTGGGAAAATATGCTGCAAGTATTGGCAATTGGGAGCTATAGCATAAAAAGATAAGTCATATGATATTATTTAATAGAGACATTCGCTGCCTTTTCCGACTCACTTCACTGTTGTCTCCTATTCACAGAGGAAATCCACCCGAGAGAACATACTCCAATGATGCAGTGAAAAATTGATAATTGAGCGGGAGGATAGAAGCTGTGGGGCGTGTAAAATGATGGCACCAGTCTTTATCGCCATGTCATAGCAACTTTCTTTCTTCTACACCCGGAAAGTAATCGAATCCAATAAATAATTGACGGCAGATTTTTCATCATCATCCTCAATGTGTCCCAATTTAACTTTTATGCTGTCTTGTGTCTGTTCTTCAAATCCACGGGATGGCACATGTGGTGTGTGTGTAATAAATTCTGCGGAGCTCAATCGCTGCGCCCCTTTTGCCGGGTGCGGAGGCTGAAGAAGAGTGAAGACCACAATGGCATGAAGAATGAATGAAGGTGATGGGCAAAAAATGCCCATACGGCTGAAAAGAGTGCGATTTTCCTGGTTGACCGCAGTCGAGAGGAAATCAGTGTGGCACTTGATGTTGTTGTGGTCAAGCGGGATAAACGACGTGTAATTCACAGCAATTTTCCCATGCTCAGTCTTTCTCTCTCTCGTGCCGCTGAAAGCCAAGAGATACGGGAAAACTCTTTAAGGGACCTCAACAGAGGGATTGGGTGAAAAGCCATAAAGGAGATTTTAATGGTGTGTTCCACCAACTCCCCATTCACGACCGCTCCAAATATGTACATGTGTATGGTGCGTCTTTCTCACTAACAAGGCAATGACTGAGAATGCTGGGGCGAGATGGTGCACAGTGTGTAATAAAAAGTTGAGAGGAACCACTATAAAAGGAGGAGAAAAATCATGGGGTGGGCGTAAAAAATCGTTTCGGGACATCCAATTTGCTTTTTCCTTATTCCTGTCGATGGCGAAAGCCTCAGAGTGGACTAAACAGATGACTTTAGCAGATTGCTATATGATTGCTCCATTCAGCACAATATCCGCTATTATTAGTAGTTTAAATCGAAAATGATAATTTTATGTATACCTTTCACGGCATTGTACTTGGGAATGAGCGTATTCTCTCATCTAGAGTCTCTGCAGCTCTGTCGACTTGAAATTTGTCGGGAAGGCTTTTATTAGATTTTTCACCTGACTCCCATTTGTTGTCTCATCTCCATCATCACGATGATGGTCTCCTTCATCGATTGCGCAAAGTGAAGGGAAGGATCCATGGAGAGAAGGAATTTTAATCGGAAATACCATTTCCCCTCAGGTGATTTCCATCACACTATGTCTTATGTATGTGCCTATCGAGAGTGGGTGAAACTCCTCAATACATTGCATTTCTCACACGATAGATCAATAAGTGTGCAAGTGGGAAAAAAATTTACGGACAAAAAAGCCTACTATATACAAGAACTACAAGTGGAACAAGCGTATAAAAATTTACAATAATTGTTGCTGTAGTTTGCAATGTTGTACATATCTATGTCAAATACAATTCCATGTTGCTTGTTAAAATTTTCCCCATTGGCCTCTCATATTCATTGGGATGCCGCATGAAAATTCTGGATGTATTTTGCCAACAACAGTGGCAAACCATTCCATGAAATCATATTCAAATGACGAGTCAGTGCATTGTTGTAGCGTCAATTGAATAAAATATGAAATCAACACACGATTCCGAAGGGTAAATCCAACTGTTATTGTCTCAAAAAGCACACCATCGAGTCATGCTCTGGGCCAGTTTCTCATGGTCCTTTTGTTTGTCACTCTCTCGCGTTTTTACCATTGCCCGAAAAGGGATCAGTAGTGTTAGAACTTGTCTCTTATTTTGCAAACACTTGACATGACGTGGTGACAGGGCGACAAAGTCATTTATCATAATTTGCAAAAGGAAAATCTCTCAGCACGCTCAATTCTTCCCGCAAATGGTTGGGTTTTTGCAGTGGAGCAGCCTGGTTCTCTGTCAATTGAATTGATATCGTGACAGATTTTGACCGAGTTTCCCACAGAATACAAGCTTTACAGTCAGAATTTCACCTCTTTTTAAAGAAAGAGAAACCTACTAGCAATTAAAGTCGACTTACTTATGTAATTAATATACGATAAACTGAAGATTTGTGATTGTTCAATACAAAAAAGTAAAAGGAAAACAAATCCTTCGAACGTTTCAGTTGCTGGCTATCTTTAATTTTATAAGTTAGACTTAAAATAACGGTTATGTCTATTTTTATTTACTCTACCAATGCCGCATCGTTTATAATTTTTATGATTTTCTTTCAGAGCGCTCGAAACACAAAACTGCTGTGCTTATCACAGTAAATGATAAAAGTTTTATTTATTTCACAAATTTCATACTGTTGTAAAATACGAGACTGTTTGTGCTTATACACAGAAAGTCTTGTCGCGCTCTCTTTTTGTTTTTAGCCTGTCCTTTGTGAAGTCGCGTGAATTTCATAAAGCTCTCTATAATGCGCAATGATTTTCCATTTGAAGAGATTTGAATCTGTTGAAGGCGCGCTCCTTCAAAGATTTTCTGTCGTCTCTATGGTGCAAATTGTTGTATTTTTCTGCATCAAATGGCAAAATGTGTGAATCTGTACCTATTTTCTGTCTCTTCGAGGAAAAAGAAAAGAAATCGTAGAAGAGAAGAAAAAATCAATTTGCCAGAGATGTGTTGTGTAGGATAAGGATAAAAAGAGGCAAAAAGCAATTTAATTGACTTGTCTGAGAGACTTAAAAAACTGAGATATGTGCACATAGTTTGATGGGTGAGAGAGTGGAAAAGACCGACAAGGGTTTTGTATGTGTAATTCTGCATTTGATGGAATAATTCCTTTTTTGTCCTTTCTGCCATTTTGTACATGATGTTCTCCACTTTCTTATCCACTCTCTATCCGTTTTTTTTTTCTCTCGACGCGCCACCGAGTTGGTGTACAATTGCGAAAAATAGAAAAGAAAGCAACGAGAGAGGAGAAAATGGAGCTGAAACGAGTGAATCTTTTGACCTACATTGTTGTCCCGTCAGCCCGACAGTCACACCACCCACACTGTGACTGCATCCAATGGAAAATATGTAAATTCTCCCTCTATTCACTCGACAAAGGGTGGATGGGCACCGCTTTGTCTCACCCTTTTGCAGGAGAGCCACCCACCCCCACGACGATTTCCGCAAAGCGTCGAGCCGTTTTCGGCGGCGAGAGAACGCTCTGGTGGGAAGGGTATGAATAAAAAGGTACCAACTTGCCAACACCTCTCAGGTGTGTATTTTTTGCACACATAATTTTCCAGGGACATGAAAAATTATGCTGAATCGTATTACTTCTTTTTCGCTGTGACATCAACGCAGAATGAGTCAAAATAATGTTTTAATTTTTTTTATCAGTCCCTCAGGCAAGGACACATGAGAAACTGAAGATGCATCTAAGGGAACTTTTCTGCTCTTTTTGCACTTGTAATTTTCTATGGAGACTTTTATTTTATATCCTCAACACAACACAATTCTCTCTTTCTGTCTCTCTCGCAGCATAATTTATGAGAGTCAAAAGTAGGTCCACCCACAAATCCACCCGATGTCTTGCCTCTAGATAGCCATAGATATCGGTTTGGTGTGTGTGTGTCGAATGTGTGTGTGTTTGTGCACGTGTGGGTGAAAGGCGAGAGGATGGAAAAGTCAGTGAAAACCAGGGGTAAATATCTGTTGAACCAACAAAAACCGAGATCATATTAAATGTTTCAGATAAGTGGCACAGAGAGAAAACAGTAATTTTTTACACCAAGTCCGAAATGAAACGAAACATAATATTTACACGTGGTGTGGTCTAGAGAAGTTTACCTTTTGTATGAATAAACAAAAGTTGAAAATTTTACTATTACTTTTGTGAAAACTAATAAATGAAATTCATTGTCGAATATCAATTGAGAATCACTAATTTCTCTGCTTCCATAGAAACATAATATTTTGCTTGGACTTATATTTCTGCGTGATTATGAGAGTGAAGGGCTGTCAGAATGGATGAGTGACTAATAAGGGTTAACAATTAATTGTTCTTGCCGTTTTTACTCATATTTTACCCCTTGGCCGCGATGAAATATCACAGAAAAGACATTTTTCAAAAATTGTCCAAAGTGACAAAATGGATTGAACTCAAGATTGTGCTTCCAAGAGGATCGCGCTATTAGATAATATTGACCACATAACAATATTTGGAGCATTCTCTACGGCTGCTGGCACACAGTTGTGTTGTCTCTGTGCTTTTTTTCATTCCTCTCCCGCAACTGCCACAAAAGTTCCAGTGGCCTAAATTCCAGAAAACTTTTCCTGCATCGACTAACTGGTGCGCTTCTGAAGGTGGCATGTGAAAAGTGCGAAGAGCATTTTTCCCCAGGATAGTGAAAAACTCTTCCACTTGTGGCGATGCAATGCGAATAATTTTATCCAAATGAACTTGTGATGGACATAAATGGGAAGAGGAAAGTGAGTTGGTAAATGTATTCGTGGGAAATTGTTATGCTGTACCAGCAATTAAATAGTGCTTGAGAATGATTATGATGGGAATTTTCTCGACATATTTTCTTCAAGGTGAAAATTTCTGTTCTACACAGTCATTTGCTAGCACACACTTGAGTATGCCTGAAATTTCATGTGCTTCCAGGGAAATGAGTGGTTTTTCATTTTAATGGAGTATTTCCTTGGGAGGAAATGGAAAAGGGCGTTCTTATATGGTTTCCTTGAGTACATTCCATTAGCATGATTTTTCTCATAATCAATGATATACGCAAGGATGTGCGCTGAGGACAGAAAGTCAATTAATTTTAATTTGCAATGTGCGGTTCTCCTTCAAACAGTCTATCTCATACTGGTATTCCAATTAATTTCCTCTTGCAGATGGAATAATCTTCCGGATGATGGTGTTTTTGGCGCACGAGGAGAATGATATCGTCCTGACCGTGACGGCGGAAGCCACAGCGTGGAAGTCAGAGCTCCAGTGGAGGGTGAAAGTCACCTGAGCGCGGCCAGAGCCTCATAAATAGTGCTTCTCGTGAGATATATTGATGATAATCGAATAATTTATTAAACGCAATCCAAGGAAATGAGATGAAGTTGCTGCAAGGGGTGATCCTCATGATTCTAACAATGCTATCAGGTGAGTGGAGATTATGTTTCTATCATATCCCAACAGACACTTCGTATTATATCACACTCCACTCATCACTCATATAGTAATCATCCCACTTTCATCGCATGGCAGGTGAAATTAATTAACTGTGGTCACGATTATCTCCTCCTTTCGACCCATCTTTAATCCATAATTCAATTGGATGCTTTCCCAAACTTCTTTCGTTCTCCTTCGTGTGGGGAAAATTGAATCTTTGATGAGTATTTCGGCATAATTTCATCAATATTCACGACCCTCTTCAACACTAAAGACTCCACTTCGCTTCAACAAAAATAACAATGTGTGGAAAATGTCTTAATTTTCTTTTTCCTGGTAATCGAGGGGAGGAAAAAAGTTTCTTTTAATTTAAAAACCGCACGCTCTTGAGTGTGGAAATTCATGGAAGATGAATGACCCAAATTCCCTAATTGTATATTTTCCTTTTCTTCTCTCTATGAGAATTGAATTTCACGCAGATTGGGAGAAGAAAGAAAAGATTTGAGGAAAAACATTGAACCACCCATTTTGTCCATCACTTTTCCTTCATGTTTTTCATGTCCTTTCACTTGATTTCTTCTTTCATGACTCGCGCTGAGCCTCTCATTGTGCTGTTGTGAAAATATACCACACATTAGAGTTGAATATTATAGATCATACATTGCACTTACGATTTAGGCTTGTGTTATATGAAGTCTTTAGAAGTGTATATCAACCATTTAAGGATGGGAGAAAAGAAGTGTGAAAATCATATTTTATCTTAAATTTGATGAATTACGCTTCATCAGTTCTTGTTCCCTTCTTTTACCTCTAATGTTGGCCCATAAAGACAAACACCAAGTCTCTTATAATGATCATAATCTCTATTGTTTATCGCTATAAATTACCTCGACGTTGCTACCTTTTTCCTGGTCCATCTTTTCATGCCCTTTTCCACCATGACCAATCTATATCTATCTCTGGCCCCACCAATATCCATGTATCACTTTTGGTGAAAGAACCGATGGGAAATGTGCGGTGCATGTGGGAATACGGAGTATTTTTCTCTGCGGAATGGCAAGGATATTATGAGCCATTGAGGTAGGTATACTCCTGAAATTATCAGGAGTATTACCGTGTGCGAGGAAAGTCTGTCACACTGACTTACCAATTGCCCCATTTTCGGCTCACTCTTATCTTTAGCAGCACTATGATATTTTCCCAGGCACACCAAACAATGCAACATCACGGAAGAAGTGAATTTCGTCCCCGGGGTTGATCACTCTCAATGGAGAGTGTTGAATAATTTAGCAGAAAGCACCCCAACAGCTTCATACGGGTTATTTCCAAGAGGGGAGCAAAATTTTAAATTTCACCTCTATAGAAGGTAATGGAGAGTGTTTCGTGGTGCAAGAGTTTAATGTAATTTTCAATGATACGAAGAGCTTGAAAGCTTCAATGGTCAAATTAAATTTTGGGTGGTGGAAGCCAAGTAAATGTTTACTGTTGTTACTCTTTTGATACAGTTGTGGTCAAGAGCATTTTAAATGGTGTCTTGGGAGAAAGGGAATTTTCCTCTTAGCTAAACTTTCTCATTGTTCCGCAAAATCCGGAGAAATTCTGTAGCGATATCTTTTCCAAGTTATTTCCGCTGAATGAGTAAAGAAATGCTTTGTTGAATTCTTTTTTACAAATGAAATTCTTCCTTCACACAGAGCGACATGTGGACAAAGATCTTCGCAAATAGGCGCCTGTTTTATGCTCGCAAATCCCTCAGCTCATGAATATTTTCCACACAGATACCATGAAACGAGGCTCTAAAATGCAAATATTTTGTAAAGTAGCCCTTCGCAAATATTTTCTTCAATATTTCATCACTTTGCATGGACTATATGTTTATTGGCTTTGGCAAATGAGAAATATCACATATAACGCTGGTATAGGTGTAATTTATTACTAAATTATGCCATTTGCACATCCAAAATCTCAACCCTAATTTGTTGGCTCGCTAAAGCGAAATGAATTAGATAATAACCCTCTTATTTGCATTTATTAAATTTCACAAAACCATTCCTATGTTTCGCCAAGTATAAATCATTTTTATTACTGTAAAATATTTCTTCTGCCCATGTTTCATTTCTGTATCGCATTAGAGTCAACAAAATAATGTGCAAAATTGCCCAGAAAATTGCTGTAGACGAATTTTCAAAATTTCAACAAACTATATCGTTAAATCCGGCTTCGTGTCAGTCTTAATGAATTTCCATTTATTGTAAAAGTTTTGCCAAAGTTCCTTGATAATTCTGATTGAATTGCATTCCTGACCTTCTTTTGTTATCCTCTCAGTGTTGAGAGAAACTATGTCAATCTCGGGTTGCTTGTCGAGAAACTCCCTCATCGTCACTGACCATGTGAGAAATGTTGTTCACTTCTATAGACAATGTCAGTGCAGCAACAACATAATAACTATGTGGTGACGCAAGTTTGTAAATTATAATGTTTCCATGCAAAATTGTATCATTTTCCTTAAAATTACGGTATGCTGGTGACAAATATCAGATGAAGACATTTGGAATGTACATTTATGTGCCAATTTAGTGTGCAGTCCAGTGTCATGTTTTGTTAGTTCACCATGTTGATTATCTAATGATAATATAATCCATTTGTGACTGGTTAGATGCATTTTTTATTATCCTTACCGATATGTTTGGGAAGAGTTGTCCCACCATGGAAAGTGTATAGAAAACTATATCACTTTGAGTCTCTACATGTACAATCTTCACCTTATTTGTAGCGTGTGCTTTTTTCCGGGAAGTAAGGAATTGTAGAAGGAAACCACACTTTCAATTTAAACTTTCTCAATGGTACAAAAAGAACACTTTTTGCAGAAAGTAAGGGTGCAAGATGGAATGAAATTTCCCAAACTGTTGTCAGTAAAGCGAAAAAGTTACGGTGAAGATGGTTTATGAACGGCGTGGACATTCAATTAAGAATTCTAACGATCTGTTCTGAAAGTATCTATGCAGTTTTTTTTTTATGTTGAACAAATTTTATCTCACCGTCCTTTAACGTTCTCGTGTCTTCGTTGTCAGTGCCATTGAAAATAGAACAGCATCAATAGACGTTTAACAGTGTAAATACAATTAAAAATTCACAGGGGAAATTAACTTTCACATCGCTTTATTGTGTTGAAGCGTCTTATGTCTACAGGTTCTCAGTATTGACTTCAAAGAATATGGTTTTGTTTCCCTATCGCGAAATAAATTGGGTATAGTGAATTTCTTACATCGGTTTTTGATCTTGGCATGAACTTTTCGAGGAGATAGCAAAAAAGTTTCACGTGAAATTTAATTACTGAGGCGCACTGTCGAAGCATTGAGGAGCACGGAAAAATAGGTCATTCCATTACGACGATGTAAACCTCTCTTTCTCCCCGAAGAACTTTCACGTTTCACACTGAAAGATCTTTAGGCGGAATTATTTTTATCGCCCTTTTTCTACTACTTGGAAAGTGCACTTAATTTGGAAGAAAAATCTTTCATGAAATTGAATTGTGCGGGAGTGTTTTTGAACTTTTTTCTACCCCAACACCATGTATTGACTCCAAGAACTTGACTCTGTTTTTCCTGTGTCCGCACATTACGATGTGATCTTGAGTTGTGTAACTCGTAATATACTGATTGAGTTTCACACCCAACATTTCTCAATTAACGCTTTCTTTCTGGCCATAAACAAATTTTTGCTTGGTCTCGCAAATCTGCCCAACTTTTCCGCTCATAAAGTACTTTTGGGCTGTCGACAAGTTAAATTTAAATTGAAATTTAGGGGTCTGACTTTCTAATTGATTTATCTTTATTGCCGTCTGATCGATTAACACCCAGGAGTTGATGCTGAATTTTCTTAGAGACATAGCAATTCGCCTTATCTTTCTTCCACAATAAATATTGAGTCTTTTGGGTGCTTTTATACCCGAAAACACACTTCCATTACGGAGCTTTCACATTCAGCGAATAAATGCAATTAAGTGTAATATTGGAAAATTACACTGTAAATCCTTCATGATGGCATAAAAAGCGTCTGAGATGCAATAAAGCGTAAAAAAGACGCTGCAGAGAGTCTCTAATAATCGGAGTGCAATTATCTTTATTATCATTTTATCGGTCAATAAATGTGAAATTGACGGGAAACAATTGTGCAAAATGTGTACATGTATCCTCAATTTGCAGAAATATTTTGAGAAGATTAGGTACTTAATCTGTCCACATCGCATCTTGGAGGGGGGTCATAATTGAAATAATCAAATTCATAAATTAATTAATGAGGGATTATTGTTATGGTATGTGGGTGTAATTATCGGATGACTGTGGGTGTCTTGTATCCATGACTTGCTGGAGTATTAGAATTTTGAGGCAGACAAAGAGGGGATGATAAATAATGAACGGACAACGGTGTCTATGCTAGTAATTTCTATGTATGACTTGATATCCATTATGATTATTTGATTAAAATATGTGGATTCAATTTCCAATGGCGTGAACCATAACGAAATTCAATTCGACGAAAGCAAATTGTATACTCGAATATTTCACATTTAGAAAGAACACTTATTAATTGAGCCTCCACTTTATATTATTTCTGGGTGATAAAGCTCAAATGGCCTTTTAAGAGCAACCCTTCATGTCTGTCTGATTAATGAAGTCTTAATGGATGAAATGAAACAAGACCGGAATTGTGTGAAAAATCAGTGCAATGAAAATGTTCAGTTAATTTATCCTGTTAATTATCCTCCCCTCGGTTAGGGGTTGAAGCCCGACTTGGGGGTTGGAGAGAGCAAAAAATGTGAAGGGCCTCTTTGAGTGCGTCCGGGGGTGACCCACACTGTCCAATTTATTCATTTCTCCCTTCCGGACGCCAACATGGGCAAATTATCATCGTCGGCGTCACATTTGCCGCCGACAAGAGTGTCAAATGGAATGGGTGGGAAAGATCAAGAGATTTCAGGCGAGGTTCCA